GGAAGGGAGGGAGGGAGGGAGGGAGGGAGGAAAGGAAGGAAAGAAGGAAGGATGGGAAGGAGGAGGAAGGAAGGAAGGAAGGAAGGAAGGAAGGAAGGAAGGAAGGGAGGGAGGGATGGAGGAAGGGAGGGAGGAGAAGGAAGGTAGGAAGTAGGGAAGGAGGGAAGGAAGGAGGGAAGGAAGGAAGGAAGGGAGAGAGGGAGGGAGGGAGGAAGGAAGGAAGGAAGGAAGGAAGGAAGGAAAGAAGGAAGGATGGGAGGGAGGAGGAAGGAAGGAAGGAAGGAAGGAAGGAAGGAAGGAAGGGAGGGAGGGAGGGAGGGAGGAAAGAAGGAAGGATGGGAGGAAGGGAGGGAGGGAGGGAGGGAGGGAGGGAGGAGGGAGGGAAGTAAGGAAGGGAGGGAGGGACGGAGGGAGGATGGGAGGGAGGAGGAGGAAGGAAGGAAGGAAGGAAGGAAGGAAGGAAGGATGGGAGGAAGGAAGGAAGGAAGGAAGGAAAGGAGGGAGGGTGTGAGGCAGGGAGGGAGGGAGGAAGGAAGGGAGGGAGGGAGGGAGGGAGGGAGGGAGGGAGGGAGGGAGGGACGGAGGAGGAAGGCAGGGAGGGAGGAAGGAAGGAAGGAAGGAAGGGAGGGAGGGAGGGAGGGAAGGAGGATGGGAGGGAGGGAGGGAGGGAGAAAGGAAGGAAGGAAGTAGGGAAGGAGAGAAGGAAGGAAAGAAGGAAGGGAGGGAAGGAGGGAGGGCGGAGGTAGGGAGGGAGGGAGGACGGAAGGAAGGATGGGAGGAAGGAGGAAGGAGGAAGGAAGGAAGGGAGGGAGGAGGAAGGAAGGAAGGGAGGAAGGAAGGAAGGATGGGAGGGAGGAGGAAGGAAGGAAGGAAGGAAGGAAGGAAGGAAGGGCGGGAGGGAGGGAGGGAGGGAGGGAGGGAGGGAGGATGGGAGGGAGGGAGGGAGGGAGGGAGGGAGGGAGGGAGGGAGGAAGGAAGGAAGTAGGGAAGGAGGGAAGGAAGGAAGGAAGGGAGGGAAGGAGGGAGGGCGGAGGGAGGGAGGGAGGGAGGAAGGAAGGAAGGAAGGATGGGAGGGGGGAGGGAGGGATGGAGGAAAGAAGGAAGGATGGGAGGAATGAGGAAGGAAGGAAGGAATGGAAGGGAGGAAGGGAGGGAGGGAGGGAGGGAGGAAGGAAAGAAGGAAGGAAGGAAGGAAGGAAGGAAGGAAGGAAGGGACGGAGGGAGGAGGAAGGAAGGGAGGGAGGGAAGGAGGGAGGGAGGGAGGGAGGGAGGAAGGAAGGAAGGAAGGAAGGATGGGAGGGAGGAGGAGGAAGGAAGGAAGGATGGGAGGAAGGAAGGAAGGAAGGAAGGGAGGGAGGGAGGGAAGGAGGGAGGGAGGAGGGAGGGAAGTAAGGAAGGGAGGGAGGGAGGGAGGATGGGAGGGAGGCGGAGGAAGGAAGGAAGGAAGGAAGGGAGGGAGGGAGGGAGGGAGGGAGGGAGGGAGGGAAGGAGGATGGGAGGGAGGGAGGAAGGAAGGAAGGAAGGAAGTAGGGAAGGAGGGAAGGAAGGAAGGAAGGGAGGGAAGGAGGGAGGGCGGAGGGAGGGAGGGAGGGAGGAAGGAAGTAAGGAAGGATGGGAGGGGGGAGGGAGGGATGGAGGAATGAAGGAAGGATGGGAGGAAGGAGGAAGGAAGGAAAGGAAAAAGGAAGGGAGGGAGGGAGGGAGGGAGGGATGGAGGGAGGGAGGGAGGAAGGATGGGAGGAAGGAGGAAGGAAGGAAGGAAAGGAAGGGAGGGAGGGAGGGAGGAACGAAGGAAGGATGGGAGGAAGGAGGAAGGAAGGAAGGAAGGAAGGAAGGAAGGAAGGAAGGAAGGAAGGGAAGGGAGGGAGGGAGGGAGGAAAGAAGGAAGGATGGGAGGAAGGAGGAAGGAAGGAAGGAAAGGAAGGAAGGGAGGGAGGGCAGGAGGGAGGGAGGGAGGGAGGGAGGAAGGAAGGAAGGAAGGAAGGAAGGAAGGAAGGATGGGAGGGAGGAGGAAGGAAGGAAGGGAGGAAGGAGGAAGGTAGGAAGGAAGGAAGGATGGGAGGGAGGAGGAAGGTAGGAAGGAAGGAAGGAAGGAAGGATGGGAGGGAGGGAGGGAGGGAAGGAGGAAGGGAGGGAGGAGGAAGGTAGGAAGGAAGGAAGGAAGGAAGGGAGGGAGGGAGGGAGGGAGGGAGGAAGGGAGCGAGGGAGGAAGGAAGGAAGGAAGGAAGGAAGGAAGGGAGGAAAGAAGGAAGGATGGGGCGGAGGTGGAAGAAGGAAGGAAGGAAGGAAGGAAGGAAGGAAGGAAGGAAGGAAGGAAGGAGGGAGGGAGGGAGGGAGGGAGGGAGGGAGGGAGGATGGGAGGGAGGGAGGGAGGGAGGGAGGAAGGAAGGAAGTAGGGAAGGAGGGAAGGAAGGAAGGAAGGAAGGGAGGGAAGGAGGGAGGGCAGAGGGAGGGAGGGAGGGAGGGAGGAAGGAAGGAAGGAAGGAAGGATGGGAGGGGAGAGGGAGGGATGGAGGAAAGAAGGAAGGATGGGAGGAAGGAGGAAGGAAGGAAGGATAGGAAGGGAGGGAGGGAGGGAAGGAGGGAGGAGTGAGGGAGGGAGGGAGGGAGGGAGGGAGGAAAGAAGGAAGGATGGGCGGAAGGAGGAAGGAAGGAAGGAAAGGAAGGGAGGGAGGGAGGGACGGAGGGAGGGAGGGAGGGAGGGAGGAAAGAAGGAAGGATGGGAGGAAGGAGGAAGGGAAGGAAAGAAAGGAAGGAACGAAGGGAGGGAGGGCGGGAGGGAGGGAGGGAGGAAGGAAGGAAGGGAGGGAGGGAGGGAGCGAGGAAGGAAGAATGGGAGGGAGGAGGAGGAAGGAAGGAAGGATGGGAGGAAGGAAGGAAGGGAGGGAGGGAGGGAGGAGGGAGGGAGGAGGAGGAAGGAAGGAAGGAAGGAAGGGAGGGAGGGATGGAGGGAGGGAGGGAGGGAAGGAGGATGGGAGGGAGGGATGGAGGGAGGGAGGAAGGAAGGAAGGAAGTCGGGAAGGAAGGAAGGAAGGAAGGAAGGAAGGAAGGAAGGAAGGAAGGAAGGAAGGAAGGAAGGAAGGAAAGAAGAAAGGAAGGAGGGAAGGAAGGAAGGAAGGGAGGGAGGGAGGGAGGGAGGGAGGGAGGGAGGGAGGGAGGGAGGGATGGAGGGAATGAGGGAGGGAGGGAGGGAGGGGTAAGGAAGGGAGGAAAGGAAGGAAAAATGGAGAAAGGGAGGGAGGGAGAAAGGAAGGATTGTTAGTGTGGGGGTTGTCAGTGTCTCATGGGAAACTTCAGCCTGAGCTCCACACAGGTGTGGCTTCCACAGCAGCTGCTGGAACCTGTTCCTTTTCACTCCGGGGTAAGTTATTTTTCTTTCTCTGAACAGTCCTACCTTCCACCAATCCCCCACCCCCTTTGTCTGGGTTACTCCCCGCGACAGAAGCTGTGACATTGAGCCTGTTTACCTGTGGGTGAGGGGGGTCCGCTCTGGTGTTTGCTGTGCGCAGGCTTATCTGTCCCTGTGAGAACTGTCAGGGCCCCTCACAGGTGGTGTCGGGGGAAGGTCCTAATGGCCTCGGGTGCAGGAAGGTCTCCCAGGCAGGTGTGCAGCCTCCTGTGAGGCCGGAAACTCAGCAGACCTTGATGACACGCGCTTTCAGGGGCCCCTGAACCCAGTTATTCAGCTTGTAGTGGGATGTAATAATGGTGGCTATTGTTCTCTGGTTTTCTTTTCTTTCTTTTTTTCCTTTTTCGTAGGGGGTGGGAGGGAAGCTGTGCTCAGGGAGCCCACAAGCCACGCCCCCTGACACTAAGTCAAGTGGACCAGAGGATTAGATGCTCCTGCCCAGCAGGGCCACTAGAGTAGACCTGGGGCCATGTGGTATGGGTGATGGGACCCCGGTCCTTTACATGCAAGGCTGGCTCCTGGCCCCGACCTTTCTCCCCAACCATGACATCTGAGCAGTCTCTATGAAGCGAAACAAGAGATAACAGAGATAGAAGATTAATGGGATGATATGAGGGGATAGTTAAGCCTCTCCAAAGGCTGTGGTATTGACATCACATGGTCCCTAATGCAGCTCCACTAGGCAGCAACCCTGAGCATAAGACTGGGAGTAGCCCTTGAGCACCACCAGGGACAGCCAAAACAAAAAAGAAAACAAGGGCAGAAGAGATAAGACAGTGGGTAGGGCGCTTGTCTTGCTTGTGGCTGAGCCAGGTTTGATCTCTGTCACCCCATATGGTCCCCTGAGCCCTGTCAAAAGTGATCTCTGGACAAAAAGCCAGGAGTAAGCCCTGAGCACTGCCAAATGTGGCCCCCAAACCAAACCAAGCTAAAAAAAAATCCAGATCTCAACTGAGATAAACAGTGAATCAGAGAGAGAAAGAAATAGAAAGAGACCAGGAAAGAGGAGAGGCCATCCGAATCAGACACTTCTCTTCATTCTCTGTTGTGGGAAGGTGGAGTTACATTCCCTTCTATTCTAAGAGAGAATTGAGATAAGGGTTTAGATGCTTATCTTATACACAGATGTTCAAGGTATGATCTCCAGCACCCTAAGTGCCATCGGGAGTGAACATTGAGCACAGAGACAGGAGTGAGCCCTGAGTCCTGAGCGCTGCCATGTGTGACCCCCAACCAACCAACCATAAAAGTAAGTGAATAAAACTACTTTCCATTAGAGCTCACTCTTATATCCTTGCTGCGACTCAAAAACTACTCAGGGTCCCAACAGGACACTGGAAAGCGGCGCCCTCGGCTCACCATTCCAGGCACATGGTATAGAGTCAGGGACTTTTTTTTCTCTTTCCCATCAAGCATCTTTCCTCTTCCCAGACTGGTGGGAAGATTGCAGTCTACTATTGACCTCCTTTGTGTGTTTGTGCAGATTAAAGGCTCCACACTGACAGCACCTTCCACCACCTGCTGTTTCCTTGAAGCTGCTTCCAAATGATAAGGCTGTGGTATAAAAAAAAAACAGCCTGGGCATTGGAGCCAGAGTACGGGAATGCCTGGAACATCCGACAGGGTAAGCCCCCCTTGAACACTTTCTCCCCCCCAAAAAACTCCCACCACAAAGAAGCTCAGAGCAAGCACCCCGAACTCAGTTCTTTGTTCTGGAGCGGTCTATGAGGTTCTTGAATGAGCTTGTCTGAATTTATCGTAGATGCTGGGCATCTGGACACTTGCGCTTTGCCTGCTGGGAGCAGTTAATGGTAAGAAACTCTCATCACCCCTTGAGATGGGCTTTACCCCCAACTCTCAGCTCCGGCAAGGCTGGGACAGGCTTGTAAAAGTTCCAACAATCCCTCTGAGGTGCCAGAGAGCAGCGGGTGTGGGAGTCTGTTTGAGGGGGACCCACGTTAGAGCTTTCCAAGGGGAACCTGTGAGGGGGGACCACTTTAGAGCTTCTTCCTGACTGCCTGCCTCCATGCCCAGGTGTCTGAGGCCCGACTTTTCCAGGTAACACCATGGATACCTGCTTCACAATATGCCCATTACAGAGCTCAGATCTCAAGGGCTGAGAGCCAGACAGGGTGGCATCGCTGGGTCTGCTCCAGACCCGAGGCCGGGCCTGGGGTGAAGCAGACAGTGGGTGTGGCTGAGGTGGTCCCTACCACCAAATAGGAGAGTGCCTGGGCTGAGCATCTGTAGTGGAGACTGCCCCAGAGCTGAGCCCTGAGCAGATCTGGGCTTTCTCCGCAGGGAAGGAGATTTGCTATGATTCCCTCGGCTGCTTCTCTGACTCGGAGCCCTGGGGCGGCACAGCCATCAGGCCCCTGAAAGTTCTTCCTTGGAGCCCTGAGAAGATTGGAACACGCTTCCTGCTCTACACCAATGAGAACCAAAACAACTTCCAGGTAAGGCCTCTGACTTTGCATTGGCAAGGTCAATGGGGCACGGGCTGCACCCAGTGTGGAAAGGGAGTCCTTAGCTCTACCCATCCTCTCGCCACCCATGCTCTGCTCCATCTTCATGCTCCAGTTGCACCTCCAGGCCTAGCCAGACCTGGAAAAACCAGGTCTTTGATTGATGTGAGTGAATGGTCCACATGGCCAGAACTGCTTGCTGATGATGTGACTTCTGTCTGGGGCAAAACGTTTAACGAGAACTCAAGAACAAAGCACTTTATTTTAATGAAAGTTAAGACTGTGAGTCTCAATCCAGGCCCACCTGAGGTAGTGATGCCTGACTTGTGAAGATAGGAGCTGGGAAAGGGGCATCAGGATGGGCTTCCTGGAAGTTGTGGCTTTTATACTAACCTTGAAAGGTCATGGCATTGGAATGGAGTTGGGAGAGGGAGAGACAGACCGGAGAGGCTGAGCTGCAAAAACATGCAAGCTTTCTGCTTTTGTCACAGATTCTCCAGCCTTCTGATGCATCAACGATTGACGCATCCAATTTCCAGACAGACAGGAAGACCCGCTTCATCATCCATGGCTTCATTGACAAGGGGGATGAGAGCTGGCTCTCCAACATGTGCAAGGTAGGGTCCACTACGCCTCTCAAACCTTGTGCTCCTCAAAGTTCCCATGATGAAACATTGCCTTCCCTCTAAGCAATCACAAGAATGAGCTCAGCAATGGGATGCATTTCCCTTGTAGGGACCTTCATGCAACTTATATGCATTGGAATTGCATCACAAAGATCAAAACTTCCCTCCACGTTTCTGTACTGTACGACTAAACACATATATAGCGCTGGATTCCAAAAATTTTTCCACCCATGATCCGTTTTTGTCTAGAAGTGCAATATGGGCGAGTACTTCAGATACACCTGGGATTCTTGATGCAATAGGCTTTGGATTAATTTTTGGTAATTGCATGTTCAGAAACTTCTAACTGTGGCCAACTTTTTTGCAAACCCACAGTCAGTTGCTCTATATGAGTCTGGGACCCTAGTTTAAGAAATAGGGTCTAAAGCAGTGCTTGTTGCCATGGGAATAAACACTCTGATTTCTGGAGAGTTCAGAAATTTATGGAATAATAAGGGATTGTTATAAATGAAGGATTGTGGATTTTTTTTTCTTCAAATCCTACTCATATCCGTGGGAGTCAATAGTGATGAGAAAACTCAGATTGCAGTGTGGGCAGTGCCTAAACTATGCACAGTGCAGCATCCATCAGTCAGCAGGACACACATGCACATATGTGCGTGCACACACTCACAGACGGACACGCAAAGACACGTGTGTATGTGCACAGGGCAGGGAACAGATAAATACACACACAAGATCACATCATCCATTCTTTTCATGTGGACATTGACTCAGTCTTTTTTTCCTAAGATGTGCCCAAGTATAGTGCCTTTCACACACATGACCCTGACCTATCATGTCCACAGGAATAGTCACAAACACAGAACATTAGCATTTTGTCATACTTGGTCTAGGCTAAGCTTACTAGACTTTGACCTCTCACCTTTTCTGTCTCATTATCAATAAGCATCTTAATGTAAGACACAATTTATACACCAAATAATCCATATTTGCAAGATATTTCTGAGGGCTGCTTTTAAAAATCAATCCTGAGAAGATAACTCTTTTCTAGTTTTTGTATCAGGCAGATGAGAAGTTCTCTGAATTTGGGGGGGGGAATGAAGGGGTGTAGGGGCCACACTCAGGAGTGCGCGGGGTTTATTACTGGCTCTGCACTCAGGGATAAGTGCTGATGGGCTTAGAAGATAATATGACAATGCCAGGAATCAAACCTAGGTCAGTGGTGTGCAAGGCAAGTGCCTTACCTGTGGTACTATTTCTCAGGCCCCTGGGTTTTTAGCTTATAGTGCCAGTTTAAGCTTAAGTTGATGTGTTATTAGCACAATGTCTAGATTATACCTGTTCCCTTGACATCTAGGAATAGGTCTTCCTTTTAAGAATTTTCAATCTTCTAAATATAAAATTCAAACTAATCTATACTGATTCCAAATATTTGAAAATGTGTTTTCTCCATGAAATACTTTGTTATCCTGACAATAAAGTTAATGACACTTCCCTCTCATCTAAAAACTTAAGAAGTAACCCAGCAGGCTAGTAGTTTTGCCAAGAGGCAAGAGGTCAAATCTCCCAAGTCATCAGTTGACCACCAGAGATGGCTCTTGAAACCAGGCTTGGTCAAAGGAAACTCTCTTAGCTCTCTTAATGATGCATCTCCAACCTACACCACTTTATTGAATTTGCCGGAAGACAAAGAGAGTAGTCAGCCTTGAATAAATCCACAAGCTAGACAAGAAATGATTGTCAGGATGCCTCAGACGCTCTGGTTTAACACTAAGGACATTTTCTGATTCTGGATAGATGGCTTTCACATGCCCCCAGCAATAATACCCTGGTGTCTCTCCTTTGCTAGAACATGTTCCAGGTTGAGCAGGTGAACTGCATCTGTGTGGACTGGAAGAAAGGATCCCAGACCACCTACACACAGGCCGCCAACAACATTCGTGTGGTGGGTGCTCAGGTGGCCCAGATGATCAGCATGCTCTCGGTGAGTGGACAGCCCACTGCAGGGGCAATGGGAGAGGAGTTCCATACAAAGAAGAAAAAGAAAGGATTCATCTTTCTCAGAACTCATTACGACTCTCTAAAACTCACTTGAAGGAGGATGAACTAGTGAAAAAAATGATAATAACACACTTCAGGGTGGGGATTTTAGGATAATCTTCCACTGGCAGAGAGCTAAACAGAGGCCTTGGTTAGCCAAAGAACTCAAAGAGCACCAAATGGAACACCAAAGGCTCTTTTTGCAATTGGTTGGCCCCCACGCTGCTGTCCTGTGGATGTTGGGGATTTCTGTGCCATGGTTAATTTACCTATTCTTTCTACTTTCATCTTCCATCTCTGCAAAGTCTTTAGTTTTGTTTTGTTTTTATGTTTGTGCTTCAAGCAGAAGCACAAAGGGTCCCTAAGGCCCAGAGGACAATATTAGGAGTTAAATGGGATGCCTGAAGACCATTCAGGTCTTTAGCTGGACCTCAGGCAAAGATTTGCAATGACAGGAGTGTGGTCAGGGTTCTAGTGGGAGGACTACTGAGTTTTATGTGGGAGAGGGGATTAAGAATGCCTCCTGGGAAGAAGGATGGCAGAAGCATGCTGAAAGTAGACTATGGACCAAACATGATTGCCACTCAATGCCTTGTTTGCAAACCACAACACCCAAAAGGAGAGAGAGAGAGAGAGAGAACAAAAGGGAATGCCCTGCCACAGAGGCAGGGTGGATGAGGGAATGGGGGGTGGGAGGGATACTGGGACCCGTGGTGGTGGAAAATAGACACTGGTGGAGGGATAGTATAATTGAAACCCAAGCACAAAAATTTGTAAGTCTACAACTGTACCTCAAGGTGTATCACTAATAAAAATTTAAAAAAGAATGTTTCCTGGGAAGAAACTTCTGAGTTACAAGCTGATGGCTAGGTGTGTCCACAGGAGTTGGACTTGGGGCAGTGGCTTCAGAGAGGATGAGTGGATGACAACAGCAAGTGGAGTCCACACCAGGCCAGAAGTGAAAGAATATGGCATATTTGAAAAGTGCACAAAGGTTTGGCTGAAAAAGAGTTTAGACACTCTAGGTATTGAATCAAAAAAAAAAAATCTGACATGCCACCATGGGGTTGGTTTTTATCTAGAAATTGGTATGGATACCGAAAAACTGTAAGCAGAGGCTAGACATTTCTGGGTGGTGTGTTACTAGAATAACCACTCAGAAATAAACTGAAATGCTATCTTCCCTCTGCAGACAGACTACAACTATTCACCTTCCCAAGTCCACATCATTGGCCACAGCCTGGGCGCCCATGCAGCTGGTGAAGCAGGGAGCAGGATTCCTGGGCTAGGAAGAATCACTGGTAAGCCCCTGGAGGTGGGGTTTCTGATTGGGTACATAAGGACAGGACCCGGAGCCCCCAGAATGCGGTATTGGAAACTTCCTGGAATGAGCAATATTGATCATCTATGTTGCCATTTTCAATAGTCAGGAGATGTCATGGCACAACTCCAGGGAATGTGGACCCTGGAATTGAGCAGTATACAACCCAGGCAACCATACTCTTTGATCCTGCTGGTACCTATAGCCATATCTATTGTGCTACAGCACTGACCATCTCTTACAGGGTTGGATCCCGTAGAAGCAAGCTTCGAGGGTACCGCTGAAGAGGTTCGACTGGACCCCTCCGATGCTGAGTTGGTTGATGTGATCCACACAGATGCAGCTCCCCTGATCCCATTCTTGGGTGAGCCCTGATGACCAGAACTACAAGCCTGTGCACTGGGGTTTCAACCAGAAGGGCCCTGCATTGTGATAAACTCACTGCTTTTCACAACTTATAGGGTTCGGATCTAACCAACTGATGGGTCACCTTGATTTCTTCCCCAATGGAGGGCAGGAGATGCCAGGGTGCAAGAAGAATGCCCTGTCACAGATCGTGGACCTCGATGGCATCTGGTCAGGTAATGTTGAGCAGAGCTGGGTTGCCCCTTTGCTAGGCTGAACAGCACCTTTCCCAGAGCAAATCTTCAAAGTAAGGGACGAGAGAGATAGCACAGGGGTTAAGGCATGTGCCTTGTGTGCAGCCAAACATGGTTCAGTCTCCAGAATAACAATAGATCCACCAAGAAAGGCCAAGAGAGATAACTGAGCACAGAGCCAGGAGTAGGCACAGCTGCGTAACCCTACCCACTGGAAAAAAAATATGAAAGTACTGCTCTTGGAGGACATTCCCAGCCTCTTCCAGCTCTGAATGCTGGAAAGTACAGCTCTACATCCTTTGTAATTTCTCAACTCTATTGATTTGTCTGCCCTAAAACATGGTATTGGGCAACAGAGAACACAAAACCATCACTTAAAAATTTCATTTTCAACAATCAGTTGGAAAGTACTTAACAAAGAAGAAAACTTCATCAGTGTCACTAGGAAGGCTATGTGGGGACCAGAGAAGATTTAAAGGAAGAGGTGGGGGGAAAGGAAATTCCCAGAAAATCATATATAACTATGACTTGAACAACTGTCTTTCTATTTTCGTGAGCATAGTATAAAAATGCCCTTGTGTTGCTCTTGTCAAATCCCATCTCTGTCTTGGAGGACCCTCAGCCTGGTGTCGGGGATATGGAATGGCCCTGAAGTTAGAAGTTTGGATGGGCTGAGACTCCATTCCCAGTTTGTCTCAGCAATCTATAACTTTCAGGCTACAATCTGCAGATTGTTCTGTGGTGGGCAGAGTGGCAACAAGCTCCTCAGGAAAGCACAGGGGGACACCTAAAAAGCACCAAAAAAGAAGCTGCTCTAGATTAACTCCTTCCATGAGGGCAGGATTAAAGGGTTTCCTTAAATTTCTGAAGATACTGGGGCCAGAGATAACACATAGGTAAGGCATTTGCCTTGCACATGGCTGACCTAGATTCCATCTCCAACATCCCATATGGTCACCTAAGCCAGCAGTGATCCCTGAGCACTATTGGGTGTGCCCCCCCAAAAAATAAACAAAAAATGTTTCTAAAACTATGTTCTTACTTTGGAACCATTCCACTTGGAGAGAGAGGCAGGGAAGGGATCATATCCACCCACAGAAGCTACTTGCTTATTTTCCCAGGAACTCGCGACTTTGTGGCTTGCAATCACCTACGAAGCTACAAGTATTATTCAGAGAGCATCCTCTACCCTGACGGGTTTGCCGCATTCGCTTGCAATTCCTACAAGGACTTCCAGGCTGTAAGTTATGCTCCTGCCTTGAGAGCCATTGGGGAACAAATTTCCCTTCTTCCCAATTTCTGACCACTTTCTGCTTGGTCTGCATAACTTCTTGGAGTTCAAAGGCTCTGGAATGGAAGGAAAAGAACTGAGACTGGAGAACAGTAAAAGTTCTCCAGGAGTCACAAGAGAGAGAGAAGAATTCTGGGTAATCAACAAGAAGTTGTCCATTTGGGACCAGAGCAATAGTCTAGTGGGGAGGGCATTTGTCTTGCATGTGGCTGACTTGGATTAGACCCCTGACATCCCATATGGTCCCCTGAGCACCACCAGGAGTGATTCTTGAGTGCAGAGCCAGGAGTAACCCCTGGGCATCATCGGATATGACGCCCCCACTCCCCAAACTAAAAGCCAAATAATTTGTCCATTCAATGACATTTTATTTTATTTTTATTTTTTTATTAATGTAGGAGTACTGCTATTTATTCAGCCACTGATTAGGCTGATTGAATTGGGCATGAACTCCACCATTCAATGACATTTTAGAGAAGCTTTCTTCAGGAGGTCAGGATTGAACCTGGCTGGGAAAGTCAGTCTTAGAGCTGAGAAGGAAGACAAGGAGTGCGCATGTCTGAGCAGGGCTGAGCAGGAATAGGAGCATTCTAGTGAGAAGAGAAGTCCCTTGTCCTGGAAAGGAAATTTGAATGCTGAAGCTCTATGTACCAGACATAAGGGAGGGTGGGAGTGTCTGGAGTAGGTTGGAACTAAGCAGCTTGGAGCACAGGGAAAGAAGGGGATGATACCCAGGTCCCTGCCTGTTCAAGTTCAGCGCAAGTGTGAGAATCTCTTCCTAGTCACATGCAGCACCATCAATTCAGTAGCATCAATTCAGCAGCTTGCCCCTAAAGAGCCACCACTGGAGTATTTATACCTCGGGAATTTGCCTATCCATAATCAGGGCTTTCAGTCCCCGAGGAAACTGTTAATCAGTTAACGAATGATGTCATTGATCTAACCTGAAGCCCTGGCACCAAAACTTTCTAAAGTTTCCCCCAAGGACTGTATCCCAGGAAAAAACCCCACCTGTAAGGGTTGATTTAAAGTTGTCTATTCTGACCCAAGAGATACTACAGGTGTTTGTCTTGCAGGTTACCGACTCAGGTTCAATCTTCCAGCCTCTAAGCCCTATCAATAGTACCTGAGCACCTCTGGGTATGCCCTAAGGCCAACAACAACAAAATGTCTATTTCATTCACCTCCTGTTGCAAATAAAGACAAAGGAAATTGCTCCCCAAAATGTGCAGATCATGCAAAGATTCATGGCCTGCAGTGTAATGAATCTGTTCTTATTAGGACAAGTGCTTCCCCTGTCCAGATGAAGGCTGCCCTCAGATGGGCCACTATGCTGATAAATTCGCCGACAGGACCCGTGAACAGCCCCAGAAATTTTTCCTGAACACTGGAGAGTCCAGCAGGTTTGCGCGTAAGTTGCACTTTGACTTCTGCACCCTGGTAAAGACAGTTTTGTGAGAGACAGGACTTGTCTCTAACAAGAGAAGAATCTGTGTATCTTCCACTTCATTCTCTTGCCATGAAAGAAATAGACATAAGTAGCATAATTAGAGCTTAGAGCAATAGCAGCAGGTAGGGTGCTTACCTTGCATGCGGTTGACCCTCAGGTTCAAATCCTGGCATCCCACATGATTCCCTGAGCAGCACCAGGAGTAATTCCTGAATGCAGGATGCATAGTTACCCCTGAACATTTCTGGGTGTGACCAAAAGAGCCAAAAAAAGAAAAGAAGAAAAAAAAAGTAGTTTAATGAACGAGATAATTAAAATTCCTAAGCCTTCATGGTCATGCATCCTGAGTTTTTAACACTCCCTACTTCATTGTTCTTTTCATTTTTAAGGCCATGTTATCTGCACTTGTTCTTTAAATGCATCCAACAATCATTTATTTGGTTCCAGCTCTTTGCTGGGCTAGGCACCTCTAAAAGTCCAAATTCTCCATTATCCCCTCTGTTCGTGGGCCAGGTTGCCTGGTTTGAAGGTAGGGTGGTCGCTAATGGAGTGTGGATGAGGATCAGGAAATGGTAACGTCTTTGGAAGTTCTGCTGATTCATTTGGAATGAATCCCTGGCACCCCTGTGATAGCCAACACCCCCTGAGAACGCACTGTCAGAGACTATGTGAACAAAGATATAATTATAACGTGTGGCTTGTATGGTTTCCAAAGTCAGACTGATGGCTATATAATCTCTATAAAAGGCAAAATGCCATTGTTCCATGAGTTTTGATAAGTGAATAGTCATGTAATGATTTCCACAATAGAATATTGAACACCTCCACCACCAGGCCCATATATTTCTACTTAGAATAATTAAACAGTCCTTGTAAGGATGTGCTGATGTGTGAAATACTTGCCAATATTTCATAACAACAATGAAATTTTCAAAAAACCATAGAGCCATTCCTGAACTAGGAATTGATTTAGAGGCCTTGACTGTGCTAGATACTGGGGATTTGGCATGAGTGAGACACTCTCTGCATGAAATTAAGAGCCTGGCCTGGAAGAAAGGAACAGAGCGAGCAGTTGCAAATGTGATGAACTCATCTTGGCAGTCTGCTACTGGAGCACAGAACCATGTCCTGAACAGAGGGACACGAGGGACATCTGTAAGGATGTCAAGAAGTGTTGGGCAAAAGATGTGTGTGTGTGTGTGTGTGCATGTGTGCATGCATGCGTAAGTGTGTGTGTGTGTGTGTTTGGGTACTTCTATTCATATGTGTGTGTGAATGTATAAAGTATGTACATGTGCATTTGTGTTTCTGTGTGTGAGTGTGCGGTGTATGTGCCTAGATATGTAAGTGTGCAAAGATTCTCTGCTTATAGGACCTGTTCAGGTATAAATCTGGCTGACCACTGGTCCCTGCTCTGTGCTGGACACTCACTGGGGTCCAGGAGATATGGATCTAAGACATAGCCCCTGTCCTAGATGCTCACACGACTGCTCTACTGAGCTCTGCTTCCAAGAGAGTCACATCCACGTTCCTTCCCTTCTTCCCTTACTTCCCAGCACTCCAGAGCAGAGCAACCCCCTAGAACTCCCTGTAACAAAGGCTCTGCATTGTGCAGTACAGGAGCAGGCCTCTTCTGGGGGCAGCTTAGGTGTTGGAATGTGGATATTGATGCAACACGAAATTCCCTTGGACTTGACTGCCGGCAGCTCCATGAGGCTCGTGACCTCTCGAGCAGGAAGGCAGGTCTGGAAAGGCAAGCCCGGAAGCGGACGCCTCCATAGGACCTAGTGTGACGTGCAGTTTCATGTGTCGAATTTCTCAACTCTCTGATGCCTCCCTTGAAAGGGGCAGGGCAGGAATCTGGGATTGTGAGTCAATAATTTTGCCCACGAAGAAATAGACTCTTTGCCTTCCCACACACAGGCTGGAGGTACAGGGTCTCCGTGACGCTGAGCGGAAGAAGAGCCACTGGCCAGGTCAAAGTGGCTCTGTTCGGAAGCAAAGGCAACAGCCACCAGTTCGACATCTTCAGGTAAAGCTCCTGCTTTATGGCCTCATCTCGCTCATCAGCCGGCACAACCTCCAAACCTCCACTGATGCACTTGGCATCCTTTTATTGGCCAATTTTAAATTGCTCACTTGATGTGTTTAAGTGAATTTCAGACTTCTAACAGTTTTTTTTCGTCTACTTTAATAAGCCCAGTCTTTAGTTCTTTCTTTTGCAATAGATCAGATTTTATTTTTTTTTATTTTTATTAGTGAAACACCATGAGGTATAGTTTTAGACTTACAAATTTTTGTGCTTGGGTTTCAGTTACACAGTGGTCGAGTATCCATCCCTCCACCAGTGCCCATTCTCCTCCACCACCAATCCCAGTATCCCTCCCACCCCCTATCCTCCCATCCCACCCTGCCTCTGTGGAAGGGCACTCCCTTTTGTTCTCTATCTCCTTTTGGGTGCTGTGGTTTGCAAAAGAGGCATTGAGTGGCAATCATGTTCGGTCTATAGTCTACGTTCAGCATGCTTCTCCCATCCTGGGCGGATCATCCCAACACCCTTTATTTGGTGCTCCCTTCTGTATCTGAGCTGCCTTTACCCCTAGAGTGTGTGGCTGGCCTCCAAGCCATAGAGTAAACCTCCTGGTATTTATATCGGCTATTCGTGGATGTTAGTCTCCTATTTTGTTACTTTATGTTCCCCAGATGAATGCAATCTTTCTATGTCTGTCCCTCTCTTTCTGATCAGATTTTAAAGACAAAACCAAAATCTACTATTCCTCCCAGATCAGATCATCTTCTGATTAGCACAGTGAAAAATTCTGCTTGTGCTTAAATTCAGTGGATCGTGATAGTATTACCGTACAAAAAACTTCATGCTATTCGCTTCCTGAGAGGGGAGTGAAGAGCATAAAGGAATCTGGTTATTTTCTATGTTTTAAGTAGAAATTAACTTTAATTTGAAGAAACAATGTCTAAATAATTGTCAGAGGTTTTCCTCTGGCTTTCCCAGTTCTCCATCCCTCCTGTAAGAATTCATTTGAAAAAAAATAATCTCATGAAGCCACACTAGAACAGAGAGTCCCAGTCTTATTTTTCACTAGAACTTGTTCTTATAAATTTAATGTTTCTATCTTTCTTGTTCTTGTTCTTATAAATGTAATGTTTCTATTTTTCAACTTCAAGGGGGATCCTCAAGCCAGGCTTCACACATACCAAAGAGTTCGACGTGGCGGTGGATATCGGAACCATTGAGAAAGTCAAGTTTCTCTGGAATAACAACGTGGTGAACCCATCCTTCCCCAAAGTGGGTGCAGCCAAGATCACCGTGGAGAAAGGGGAAGAGAAGACAGTGTAAGTTCTGGTGATAGTACCTGCCGGAAATCTGTGTTGTTGATGGAATGATGGGAACTCACCCCAGAAAGACACTTGTGGTTATGTCAGAAAAGAACAGACAATCCACAAATCAAGTTTCTTTTACCTCTCAGGCAAACACACAACTACTAAGTGACAGGGACCATAAGCCACTCCTATTGGGGTTTCCCTTCTCCATCTGAGGAAAACATGGCCTTCCAACAACAGAAGAAAGGGGAAAGAGAGTGAATATCTTAGCCATGGCTTGCAAATAGAAGTCTGACTATTTTGTGAAAAGGCTAAATTTTTCAAATTATTCAAAGCATTTCTGACTGGGAACCAGTAAGTAACATTATATATATATATATATATATATATATATATATATATATATATAGGCCCTCCCATTGTTCATCGATTTGCTCGAGCGGGCCCAGTAACGTCTCCATTGGAGACTTTGTTGTTACTGTGTTTGGCATATCGAATACATCACGGGGAGCTTGCCAGGCTCTGCCGTGCGGGCGAGATACTCTCGGTAGCTTGCCGGGCTCTCCGAGAGGGGCGGAGGAATCGAACTCGGGTCGGCCATGTTGGCTGCGTGCAAGGCAAACGCCCTACCGCTGTGCTATCGTTATATTTAAGAACTAAGAGGTGGCTCAAGAGATAGAGCAAGTGTCTGAGATGTTATGGGTCCTGACCCCTTCCCCGGCACTATGTGGACCCCCGAGCGCCACTGGGTATAGTCCCCATAAAAACAATTCTATTGTTGTTGGGTGCAAAATAAAAATACGTGTTAGGTCTGATCTATTCTCAGGACACCCTCTCATCCCAAGAATTAGTCACCTTATTGGGATTTTTTGTCCTACAAAGGAACTGATGAGGACAAAGGGTCCAAAGAGACAGGCCAAGGAGATAGTGTATAGGTCAAGCATACATGCCAGACCCAGATACCAGCTTAGCACCACCAGGGAACAGCATTGCATGCCCTAAGCCCCTCCAGGATTGTCCTAGGGGACCCAGTACACATCCTCAGGACTTAGCTCAGAACCACCAACCAGCCCAGATGGTCAAGTATCACTCAGAGGGGAACTGGGTACCCTGAGAACTACTTTTGAGCACCCCCAAAATAGAGATAGTTGTCCCCTATTTATTCCCCTTTTTCCTTCTTTACCCCTAAGTGCCTACTGGATGCCCAGCAAAGAGCAGAGATGCAGAAACAGAGTCTGCTCTCCAGCAACTTGAGTTTGAGCTGTGGAGGCAAAGTGAGACTCTAGATCCATGAAAGGTTGAATGTGAATCAAGACTCAGGGAGAGGGACCAAAGAGAGGGCTGAGAAAATGGGCAGTGCCCCAGACTGTGAGCGGGGAAGGGCTCACAAACCAGAATGAAGAGGGTCCACCAGTGGGGAGGGTCACTCAGGCTGGACACCAGGTGGTGTGTGAGGAGCAGGACTGAAGGTAATGGGGTAGGTCCTAACCCAGTGCCATGATGCTGGTCTCTCTCCTGTGCTGACTTACAATGACACCTACTCACACAAGATGAACTGACAGGAGTCCGTTGGCATTGCTGCAAGTGCTTACACTCTTACCAGAATGTTGACTGGGATGTCTACACAGCAGACCTTCCTGTGCCTAGGGAGAAGGAGGGTAGCACATTGGTACCAAGTATATCTGATTTCAAATCGTTCCCTCAGTCATGCTAACTATACTTCAGCAAAGACTGCAGCCCTCAGGTGAGGAAGCCCGACCCCTCACAGGCCTTGGTTTTCTCCACAGGTACCACTTCTGTAGCGAAGGATCTGTGAGGGAAGACGTCCTGCTCACCCTCACGCCCTGTCAGAACACCTTGTAGAAGTCAGGTGAATGCAAATAAAATCTGGTCATGCATCAACTCAGTGTCCGTGGTTGATGTCCACTTTCCCCCGTGGACACATCTGGATTCATCCCCTGATGGCACATCTGGATTCAAAACACTTAGGAGATTTCCCACAGATTCAGGCTTCTCACCCTTGACTTCCCACCCCACAGCCCTTCCTCCAGACTCCTCGGCTCTCATGCTCAGTCTTTTTCTCACCTCAAAGAATGGTATAAGAAGCGGAACTTGAGTGTGGGCGCTTAGGGGTCCTGAGCAGAATCCTTTACCCTGCCCCCCTCTTCATCCTTGTGTGGAAACTGAGACCCTGGGAGAGAGAGAAGCACTCATTCAAGCACTGGTTGAGTCTGGAGGGCTAGATCACAGCCAACCCGTGCTCCAATGTGGCCTCCCCGTGGTGGATGATTTCATGTGACAGGACCCCTGGAGGGTCTGGCTCTTGGAGGTGTCAGGGCCTCCAGTATCTGGAGACCATGGAGGACACGTCAGAGTCCTCACTCAGCCGGCCTGAGAGGAGGGTTCCTGACAGGACATGTTGACACAGGTATATGCTGAGGGGAACCGAGCTGGCATCCACACTGAGGAGCCCCCAACTAGGGCTTGCCCTGGACCCTGCCCACTCAGAGAGCCCTACAGTCCCTGTCATGGTCCAGGGAGGATTTGGCGGGACCAGCAAGGTCACACGCTCTTTCCTGAGTTCTGAGTGCATCCCCTCTCAGCCCCCAGGCCCCACATCTCTCCACAGCAGTCTGGGTATTTACCATCCCCCGGCACCTCAGTTATTCCTGAACTCCTGCCTGGGCTATAAGCAGGCTCCAGACTGTTCTGGAAAGGCCACAGGGGTAACCATTGAGTGACCCAGGAGCGGCCATTGGTGAATTTTTTCTTTTCAGAGAAGAGCACGGCATGAACCTAGCAAACAAGGGTGATGACAAGGGCAGTTGGGGATGTGAAGCCAGAGATAATTGGGGTTGCTGGGTGGTGAGAATTAGCAAGGCTGGCATGCCTGTCTTCACTCAGAATCTGGCAGTACCTGAGCAGGGCTGAAACATGGCCCAGACCTCTTATGTCTGCTTGGAGAGCCGAGAGAGTTCTTTTTATTAATGTTACTGTTGTTGTTGTTGTTATTATTATTATTATTATTATTATTATTAGCTGGAGTGATAGCACAGTGGTAGGGCATTTGACTTGCATGCAGCCTGCCCGGCCGACCCAGGTTCAAATCCTCCACCCTTCTTGGAGAGCCCAGCAACCTACCGAAAGCATCTCGCCTGCACAGCAAAGCCTGACAAGCTACCTGTGATGTATTTGATATGCCAAACACAGTAACAACAAGTCTCACAATGGAGACATTACTGGGACTGCTTGAGCAAATTGATGAACAATGGGAGGACCGTGCTACAGTGCTACCATTGTTTATTATTATTATTAGTATTATTTTATTTTTTAATTGAATTACTGTGAGAATCACAGTTACTAGGCTTTTCCTGATTGAGTTTCAGTCATATAATAGGGCCAGACATCCAGACAACATTGCCTGGCGCTCACCAAGCACCCAGGTCCGCAGCTAGGCAGCACCCCAAGGGCCAAAGAGCTGCCTCTGTGGGTTCTACAAACAGTGGCTCTGCTCCACGTTTTCAAGATGATTCAATTTCATCTCCAAAGCATGAGAGCGGCAGGGCATCTGTGGCTCCACACACAACCGTGCTGCTTCTAGGTCCAACCTACAAGGTGTGTACCAGGGCAGGGCTTGGGTTCGAGGCCCAAACTCGCAGGAAGACAAACTTCTGAGACTGCAGGCTGAGGGGGCAGCCTGGAGGAAGAGCCCTTGCAGCTTTGTAGCAAGAGCTGAGAGGATCTCGTGAGGGTGGAGAGTGGATCCCAGAGCTGACGGAGAGGTCAGCTGGTTGGCCTGAGGAAAGCCTTTCTTTCTGGATGAGAACAACCAGGCTCTCCTGCTCCCGGGAAATGCTCATGTAGAGAAGATGGTTTTAGAACAAGAGGGAGAGTGGGACAGGGTGCCAGTGCAGAGGGAGGATGCAATAGTGAGGGACACAGTGAAAACTCCCATGAGGGAGCCTCTAGGCGGCTTGTGGGGATCCGGGTCTCCACTGAAGGTGCCAAGTGTGTGTCCCCATGCCCCAGTGCATGGCGGGCCCAGGGATGAGCACCCTTGCTCCCTGAAAGCTCTGTCCTCCCCACTCACACAGGCCCTGTTTTAGGGCACAAAATTCCTTTCCTTTGGGGGACTCTTCCTCTCACTCACCCTTTCTGGAGAAGCTCGCATTCACCTTCGAGCAACAAACTCACTTTCTTCAATTCAATCTTTTTTGCTTCATTCCCTGTCTTGTCTGGAAATTCTTAATGATAACATAATGATCCTACAGCAAGGGTCAAGAGTGTCCCCCCCCCCCCCTTTCCAACCAGGGGCAGCCTGAAGAGCACAGCTGCCTCAAAAAGATGGATGGGAAGCACTAGAGACCACGCCACATGGATGGTTGCCCCGTGAAACCCCAGTGGTTGTATCCTGGCCACTTGCTTGGCCCTGCCCAACCCTTCTCTCTCAGTGGCCCCCATGATCACCCGTGGTCTTGGCAGTTGGAGAAGCAGGTTTTCTCTCTTTGGAGCTCACTAACGGGACACCAGCAGCAGCTTGAGCGTGTCCTGGGATGAAGTTCCCACTGATGTCTGGTGGCTCACTCAAGTCAGGGAAGAGAAGGACAGTCGCCTTCTCCCACTCCACTTCTGCCACCCAGGACCCCCTGGGAAGACTAGGACTAGTAAAGTCTTCTATGAGCCCCTGCGCAGCATGGGCCTGAGCACTGGTAGCCCACAAGGTGGCCGTCAGGCCATACCTGAAGTCCACTTGTTCTTCTCAGCTCAGGAGTCCATCCCCACCACCCAATTTTCTCGGGGAGCCGCGGACTCAGGATGGAGAGAAGATTCACTCTTCACAGGAAAGGAGAAACCAGTCCCAGGCCTTACCCAGGGTTTCCAGGGTTCTTGTTTTCACTCACAGAAAAGAATTTCAAGAGCAGACAAGCAGTGAAGTAAAGCAGATCTTATTTGGAGGCCCTTTGAAGGGAAGGAGGAAGAGAAAGTGGGAGAGAGTGGAGAGTAAGAGACAGAGTAACAAAACTCCAGGGAGAACTCAGGCTTCTCCAAGGGTGGAGAAAGCCCCTACATACATCCCAGCATTAGATAGAAAAGCATGAAAGCACACATCTCAAGAGGAGAGATGCTGGCAACATATGTGCTCAGGCACCACATGTGCTCGGCCATGCGGGCACAAGCAACACATGGGCAACGGCAGCATATGCACACCTTTTCTTTGTTCAAGGTGTCTCTTATAGTTTCTTCTTGGGTTGTCTTGATCCGGAAGTTCTGGAGTCTTCTCAGGGCTGGATCACATTTTAATCAGAATAAGGGAGAGGTCCAAGAGTTTTGAGGAACTCCATGGGGAGGGGTCCAAACCTCCTTGGAGTCTGCTGAAGGTCTATCAGGTCTGTTTTCTGTATCCACAGGGTGGATCAGTCTTAGAATTTTCCTCCCAGAAGTTCTGTTGACCTAAATTTCATTGTCGAGGGCCTTTCCCTATTTTCCTGTTGACATCACCACGAGGGGCCCAGGGTGGTGAAAATTAGAAAGATTTGCATCCCTTGGAATTGCATTCACTTGGAATAGGGCGGTGCCTGGGTAAGGCTGAAATGTGACTCAGACCTTCCAGGTCTGCTTGGAGAGCCGAGAGAGTTCTTATTTTCCTTAAATTTGTATTTATTTGTTTTTTAATTGAATTACCACGAAATACATAGTTACAAGGTTGCTCATGATTGGGTTTCAGTCACATAATGTACAACACCCGTCCCTTCACCAGTGTACATTTCCTACCACCGATGTTCCCAGTTTCTCACCCCAACCATTGTCCCCCTCCACCTTGGCCTCTATGGCACTTTTCTTCTTTCTGCTGAGAGTTCTGGGGGTTGGGAATAGAGGCAGCCCTGAGGCCTGGAAGGAGCACAGAGGGCAGGAGCCTCAGCAGTGTAGGCACAGACATGACCTCCATGGAGGGGACCCGGATACAAAAGCTCAGAGAAGGAGCCAGCAGGATTCCAGAGCTGAGTCCCCTCTGGGAAGGACTGGTGAAGCAGCAGGGAGCCTTGCAGAGGCCACTGGAAGTCTGCTGGGGGGTCATACTGGAGGCACTTCCAGAAACAGGTGTCTGGATTCCGACTGACCACACCAGAAATAGACTGTCTCCAACTCCAGAGGCTGACCACACTCGAAACGAACTGTCCCTCCATTCCAGAGCCTGAAAGCTCAGAGCCCCATATCTCAGGGGCTTCCTTCTAAGGGCAGGGCAGGAAAAAATATGTTCCGACCCTTTTGCCCCTTTCGACTTGTAGAAGCAGCACCCCAATCTCTCTTCAAGAGCAAGTAAGGTTCTGTGTTGTGACTCTTCAAACTGACCCTGATTTCTGTTTGTTTGTTTGTTTGAAGGCCACACCCAGCTGTCCTCAGGGCTTATTCCTGGCTCTGCACTCAGGAATTACTTCCTGGTTGGCTTGGGTGCCAGGAATTGAACCTGGGTCCACCACAGGCAAGGCAGACACCTTACCAGCTGTACTGTTGCTTTGGCCCCAAATCGCCCCTGATTTTAAGGATGCAGGACCCATTCCAATGCCTCCCTGTACCTATCTACAGTGTCATGATGTGAGAATATGGGGGGGGGGGGAGGGGCAGGGGGCCAACATATCTAGGACGGGGGAAAAAATCCTACCCATAGCCATAACCCACCATGATGCCAGTTAGTTGTTTGGATGCCACCTAAATTCTGACCCCTCTCCACCTGACACCCACTATTCTCCAGAGGAAAGTTCAAGGTAGGGAGAGCTGACTTGTGGGCCTTCTTCGGACCTCTTCCTTTGGATCCCCTGGATGGCTGTCACTGTGCATTGTGCCTGTGTCCCCCCGACCCTCTGTGGGGCAGGGCAGGACAGGAGGAGGCAGCCGCAAGGTGGTAGGAGGGTCCCTGACTCTGGCCAACCATCAGCAAATGCATGAACACTTGAGACCAGCACCAGGCAGCGAGGAGCAGAAGCCCGACCAAAACAGTGGGCAGAGGCGGGGAGTTGGACAGAGGTCATGCCAGCAGCTCAAGGGCCAGGCTAGGGGAGGGGCGTGTCAAGCACTGACCAAAGGGAGCCAGCAGGTTTGTACCAGCTTCAGGGTGCAGGACATAGAGCTCCCCAAGAGCCATGGAGCTTCCGGGCCAGTTGGCAGGACTCCCCTGGCCCTGACCTGCCACCTGCCACCATGTGGTCGGAGAGCTACTTTTCCCACAGGTGCTGGCCTTCCCTTCCTTCCCAGGGCACATAGCCGGCACCACCTGAGACTTTCAGAAGCCCCAAAGAGGAGAAGGGGAAATGAGCGAGAGGGAAGTGGGGAACCTAAGATCTCATCTTGCTAACGAGAATAGGTGGCTTGTCCCAAGCCTGGGTGATGGTGGCAGGGGTGCCCAGCCACCCTAAGTCTCTCCAGAATCCACCTGCCTCCCATCCCAGCAAACTGAGACCCAGCAGTACCATATGGGCAGAGGGTCCCTGATCCAGGCCACTGCTCCTTCACCCCTAAACTGAACCCTGACATCTTGCAGGCACCACGTCTGGACCCTATGTTGGAATGAGATAAGGGGTCCCCATGCAGGATGTTTTTGCTCTGTGCCTTTGTGCCACCCCCTGGTGCCCTCCAGGCCGGCTGCTCTTGCCTCGGTCCACGCCTGTGCCTGAACTTGGAGCCCAGAGGTGTTGCTTGATTGGTTTCTCATGACCCAGACATTGGCACCTCCAGGGAGATTTCCTCTCTTCTTTGAAAGGAAGAGTGGAAGGTGAGCTCCTTGTGGGAGAATGCATGCTCATAGAGGAAGGAGGGATTTTTCTCATGGCCATGGGTGTCTCTATCTCTCCAGGACTCCAGAGTAGAAGACAAGCTTAGAAGTAAAAGACTGAGTCTGTGATGGCTGATTCCTCCCTCCCAATTCGAGTGTCTTGTGAGTAAGGCTGAGTGCTCAGAGCAAAGCTGGCTTCATTCCCCAGACCCGAGCCTCTGGAAGTTTGTGGTGAACAAATCCTCCTTGATGAGTCCCTCAGAGTGACCAAGATGCCCTTGGGATTAAGACCACCTTGGAAACCAGTCTTAGAAGTTTTTCTGCCTGAATGAGCTGGAACCTTCTTCTTTCCTGCTCTGCCCCTGGGACACTTGCCAGAGGAAAGGCCATTGGCCTCTCAGTAAGAGTTTCATTTTTCCTACCGATTGTGGTAGATCAGGGGCAAGAGACCCCTAGATTGTGACCAGAACCAGGAGATCAGGGGGTCATGGACCCCCTGACCTCCCAGACCTAAAGAGCTTTTGCAAATCTTTAGGTAAAACTACAGAAGCCCTAGGACAGTAGGGATGCATTTAGGATGGTTGATTAAACCAAAGACTCCAGGGACCAGAGAGATAGGACAGCGGATCCAAGCTCAATCCTTAGCACCCCACAGGGTCCCCCAAGCCCTTCTAGGTGTGATCCCTGAGAAGCAAGCCCTGATCACTGTCAGATGTGCAATCTCCCCCCACCCACCCACCCAAAATAACAAAGATCCCAAATGAAAAGTTTCCAAAGTCTCATCCCTTCAAGATAGAAGGGAGGGTGCCTGGGAAGAAGTCTCTAGCTCTGCTCCCCAGCCCCTCACCTCCCTATCAGAAGACCAAAGGTAAGGAGGTCCCAACACAGGCAGGGAGGAGGAGAGAAGATTTTGGAAGCCGGCCAGCACCCCACCCTATGAGTTATTCCCGTCCAGGGTATAACTCTTAACAAGACAGGAAGGAAGGACAGGGGCCCCACACTTCACTATTTGTCCTAGAAGGATCACAAACCACCCATGGTGACTCCTTCTCTCTGGGGCCTGAGGGTGTCCAGCTGTACTTGTCGGAGCTGCAGTGGGAAAGGAATGGACCCATCAGAGAAGGGTCATCAAAGTCAATAATATACAGAAGAGGGCAAGGTCCATGGGACCAGCATAGGTGCTGACGAGCCCGGGACCAGCTGCCGACTCTGGCAACCCAGTGCCCAGGAAGGGAGCGGGCGAGCGAGAAAAGTGGGAACTTGAGAGAAGCTGCTGGAAATGCACACTGGCCCCAACCTCTGCTGAAAGGGAGGGTGCCTGGGAAGAAGTCTCTAGCTCCGCTCCCCAGCCCCTCACCTCCCTATCAGAAGTCCAAAGGTAAGGAGGTCCCAACACAGACAGGGAGGAGGAGAGAAGATTTTGGAAGCTGGCCAGAACCCCACCCTATGAGTTATTCCCGTCCAGGGTCCCCATCTTTTACCCTACTGATGTTGATTCATCATCTGCCAGCATTGTTTCAGGCCCTGGGAGACTGGAGAGCTTGACACAGACCTTGACCTGCCACCACATCGGGTTCTACATCACGGAGCTAAATCGATTATCACAGGGCCATGGTTGCCCAGGGGGACACACCATCAGAGCAGGACAGAGGTGAGGAAGGCCACGCCCCTGGGCATCGAGAAAGGTCTCTGTGAGGATGGTCTAGTGGAGCTGAGTCAGAGGGACAGCCCCGATGCAGGCGAGGGGAGGTGGGGAGGTGTGCTTTCAGGGAGAGGGGGCCACAGGCAAAAGCCCCCACGATGGGCATTTTCTCCTGTTGTCCTGTAAAGGTGACACCAAACAAGCAGTGCTAGGGACAGGGCCCACCAGAGCCTCACCCGGCAGTGCTTGGGGACCATGTGATTTCTGGAATGCAACTCAAGGCTGGGCATGTGTCATGGTCATGGCTCCCAGACCCATGTGCCTGGGGCTCAACACCTGGACTTTAAGGGAGGAGAAAGGAGGTTTGGGTGACACTAGTGAGGGTTGTGGAAGGTGTTTCTGAGGAAGCCCTGATTGATCATCATCCAGGCTCTGCCTCACCTTGCCCCTTCAGTTCTCAGTGGGTCCTTTAGGGGACTGGGGTCAGGTCTGACACATGATCTGCTGCCTCAGCTGCTGAATGCTTCTGGGGCCACACTGGGCTTTGAAGTCTCAGTGACAAAGACCACCCATTTTCCAAGCCCACCAATGAGGACCTCGATGATGACCCATTGAGAAAGGGAAGTCCTGACCTGGATTCATCAACTGCACCCACTCCCCTCCAGCCCAGAATTCTCAGAAGGAAGTATCACCCCATAACATGACTTTTGTGTCTATCGTGAGTCCTCACTGCTGCTATCCTGGGATTGATCCTAAACCTGAGTGGAATTCAGGATTCCCAAGGAATTCAGACACCTTGGGAATGTACCCATCAGCTTCTCTCAGGCACCCCGTTGGCCCAGGATCCAGAAATTCTACTCCAGGCATCCATCTAGAGTAATGAGTGCATCACTACAGAGTGCTGGTCATGTTCCTAGCTGCCATCTTCACAATAATCTCAGAATTGCTAATCCAGCAGTGATAGATTTGCGTATTTTGTTACAACAATACAAAACAATACCGTTGTTGATCCTGTGACACAGGTATCTCTCAGAAAGGTGTGTGTGGCAGACAGAAGACAGGAAGGACCACATACCGGATGGGTATAGAATAGACTAGACTGTCTTTAGCAACAGAAATCTGAGCATTGTTGTGTAAGGAGTGGAAGTCGGGTCATGAGAGGGATTTCTGGCAATTGGGAAGGCTTGTCCTCCTGATCATGTAATACACACTTTTCATACTAATTATACCACTCTCAAGTTCTGAAGTTAAGATATGTGCACTTGGGGGCTGGAGAGATAGTACAGTGGCTAGAGCACTTATGTTGCACACAACCAACCTGGATTTGATTCCCAGCTTCTCATATTCTCCACAAGGTCCCCCAGGAGTGATCCCTGAGTGCAGAGCCAGGACTAAGCCCTCAGCAGCACCAGGTGTGGCCCCCAAAACAAACCAAAAAAAAAAGAAAACAAAAAGATTTATGCACTTTGGAGTATCTTAATGATCAGGCAGTGTAAAGAAAAGCGAAGCAACACCTGGCTGTTCACCCAGATTCTCCACTCAGGGACGAAGGTGGGGGTAGTTGGGAAGAAAACCCGACCATCTTATCTCCAGGTCAAGGTACACCTAGGGTGTCTCCACAGTGCTTGAAAGCAGACTCCATGTTTTGAACACCAAGGGACATATGTTTGAACGTCATTCACTTGAATCATGGGAACATCTCCACCCACAGGAACTTATTCTGTGGCTGGGTGCTTGGAGGGCTACCCTGTGCCCACTACATCCCATGAGTGAAAACGACACGTCTATTGAACATAAGAATTTTCCATGACTATTCAGCTCTGCTAAAAAAAATTCAGAGCCATGAGACAGACTCGGGGCCCAGGTTCCTGAAAGATGTTTGAATAGGAGGTGCTATGGCATAGGGAACCCAAGCTTTTGAGAACTACCTGTGAATTCAGATTCACGGAGCCTAGTGCCAGCCCTGGAGTCGGTTCTGCACCCCCTGAAATCTCACTTTATAAACAGCATGCTCCTGGGCGGAGCAGGGTGTGTATACTTATGATAACCTCGGTTCAGAATCAGTTCGTGCCTCTCCCGCCCTATACTCCGAGGAGTCCAAAGGAGAAGGCCAGAGATAAAAGCCCACGGTCAACTCTGGGACTGCAAGTGGGACTTCTGTTGCCACACAGTAAGTCACAGCTGACACAGGCTGCCAATCCCTGTGTTGTGGGCTGGGGTTGGGCCTGGCCCCAGACTTAGGGTCCCCTCCTGAAAGGAAAACCCTCGGTTTCTGGGTTTGGTCGGCTTTGCTCATTGTCTGTTTGCCTCCACACAGATGCTGCCCTCGTGGACCATTGGCCTGCTCCTGCTGACCACAGTCACAGGTGAGGATGCCCACTTCATCCCTCGGGGGAGAATCTTCTCATTCTAATATCACCGGGCAGGTGGGCAGTGAGAGCCTGCAGCTTCTCATCACCATTTCCATCACTAGCTTAATCAGGATTTCAAGAAACACAGTCCCCACCATTCAAAGTGGGATAGGCTTGTGTCAGCATGACAGAAATGCCTGAACGTGCCCAGCAGCATCTCTATGTGATGTGAATCATGACAAATGCTTGACACTTGATGAACTAAAAGGATGGGCCCCTGAGAGTGTTCTAAAAGAATAATTTTGGTTTTTGCCTTTGATTTGGGGGTATTTATATACCCCAGCAGTGCTTGGGGGTGCTGTAAGTGCTCAGAGGCCTGCCAGTACCAGGGGTGGATCCGGGGATCCCACATACGTTTGTACTCCAGCCCTTTGAGCCATATCCCCAGCCCTGGAAGAGATCATAGGGGTGTTTTGTTGTTGTTGTTGTTTTACGTAAAAATTAGGTTTCATTAGAAAGTTTTGAGAAAGAGTGGAGGGGGGGTGGAGAGAGAGAGAGAAAGGGAGAGAGAGAGAGAGAGAGAGAGAGAGAGAGAGAGAGAGAGAGAGAGAGAGCATGCTCAAGAGAGAACGTGGGCTTCTCCAAAGTAGAGCAATACACATACAAGCATTAGACATGAAACTATGAAAGTTCACCTCTCAAGAGGGGAGCAGGGCACCGCAGCAGCACATGGGCACAGGCAGCACAGGGCACAGGCAGCACAGGGTACAGGAAGCATATGCATGCACTTGTACTTCCTTTGTTCAAGTTGGCTTTTATAGGGTTTCTCCCAACTACCCCACGTGGGGCTTTCTACCTAGATAAGAGTCCGTTGCTAGAGTGATTGCCATGGAGGTAGAGTTGGAAGTAGTTGATATTCCTTTTCTGTTTTTTTTATTCCTGCTGGAGCTTCTCCCAGAGGGAGAGGTCCGGCCTTCTCTGGGTCTGTACTGGCACCAGGTCAATGTCTTATCAGCCCTTCGTTCATGTGTCCACAAGGTGGGTTTTTGCAGCCTTGGGGTTATTTTATGGAAGAGCTCAGTTTTAGGGGAGAAGGTACCCAGAGACGCTTAGTCACTTCCCAACTTGGCTGAGGACTAAAGAGACTTGTCAAATGTGCCAGATCAAGGCCCCATCCAGATCCTCAGGAGCCGTGTTTCAAAAGCTGAACTGGGCATGCATCTGTGAGTATATGAATGATACCCCCAACCCCAGGCTCCAAGTCTAACCCTGATGGCGAAGACAAAGCCGCTGTCAGCCTCTGGCAGCTCCAGACTGCACCTGGAGCTCTATCTGTGAGGCTGAAATGCCTCAGCTACATGCCCCAACCTCACAAGCATCCTGTCTCTCTCTCCTACCCCAGGAAAAGAGATCTGCTACAGCCCTTTCGGCTGCTTCTCCAATGAAAAACCATGGACTGGCATTCTCCAGAGGCCCTTAAACTTACTTCCTTGGTCCCCGGAGGTCATCAACACCCACTTTCTTCTGTACACGAATGAGAATCCCAACAACTTCCAAGTAAGAGCAAGCATGATGTAACACCTTAGGGTGGCTGTGGGGGTCCTCACCTTGATACCTGAGGAATAAATTCATTGCCTAGGAATTTGGCATGTGGGGCTCCACCATCAGGGGGACAACTGAGACCACTGTAGCTCCTGGGGTTCTAAACTATGATGGTATCTGATAAAATATATGGGAACCCCCCACCTCCAGCCATGTACAAGCTCACTCACATGGGAGCAGGACCATCAATGTCTCCCCAGTACTGGGACCCTGTTCCTGGGTGGAAAGGGTCTGGGCATCCTCCAAGTAGAAATCTAGGTGTGAAGACTCCACAATACCTGCTACTTTCATCCTACCTGGGACTGGTAGATGCACCTCTGGCAGGGCTTTGGAGGTGGACTATGACAATCCTCTCCTTTCCCGGGAGCTAGAAGATGGTGGCCGAGAGGGAACATGTAACCAAGCCAGAGAACAGATGGGAGCGCGGGAGAACCCTACAATCTCAGAAATCTTGCAAGGTGCTGCAAGACAGGCTTATTCCAGACACTCTCTAGTAAGTAGAAGAACCAGCTCAGACAACTTTGCATTTATATATTTTGCCTTTCTGCCAGCACACCTGTAATCTAGCATAATTAAATGCCTAGGTGTCAGGTTCAGGTAACAAATGTATATAGCATGCCTCTTCCCCAGTATGGGAAAGTTCTCAGAGAATGGGAACTTGGTGGCTCCTAAAGTAAGAAGTGTCAGGAGAGGGGGTCAGCTTGGTGGGGATGGTGGACACTAGACTTTGGATGGGGAGGGGGGTCATAACAGACAGATGTCAAAATGCCATCCCATCTGCCAGAAATCTTCAGAATGTGAGAAATCAATTAGCATGAAAATAAAATGTGCTCGAATTCAAGAAGTTTATACCTTCAGCGGGCTTTACACCAGCCCAATGTGAAGAGCCAGATGTCATTTTCCAGGTCTCTGACAGGCACCATAGTGACAGAATCCCCCAAACCCTAGAGCCCCCGAGAGAATTTCTGGATGGGATGATGGTGCCATTGAGATATTGTGATCCTCTTCTCGTTTCACGTCCCTGGTGGCTGATGGACCTTTGGAGCTTTGGCCCCACAAACTTGACATACCCTGAGGGTTCCCTCAAGCTGAACCACCCTTAACTGGGTGCTTCCTCTTTTCTGGGATGGGGACTTCTTGGACCACCTAGAAAACCTATAGGCCCTATCTTAGGACAGTTTTTAAATGCATGAAACAAAATACATTGGATTATGAAAGAAACCAATTCCATAGGAAATCTGTTATCCGGTTAAAAAAAAAAGATAAACACAAGAGACAGTAATATATTTATAATTCTACTACCAAGATCTAGATGGTGGCTACTGACCACTGTTATTTAAAATAGCAATGAAATCTGAGTGATATTGCAAGCTACCCCCAAGACCATAAAGGGACAGGAAATTCCCTATTGTTGGCAGTGTTTCCAAGACTTTGTTGTCTAATTTCATCGTGAACACAAATACTAGGCTTCAGTCAGGGATTAAGGATGAAAGAAAGTCCATGTCCTTGGACTTCAGGTCAGGAAATCCCATTTTAGACTTCACAGGAGCTTTGCAGCCTGAGCTACCGAGATTGGCTAAAGTGGCTAAACTCCTCCCCAGCACGGAAAGGGGCTGACATTTCCATTCATCCTCCCTAATCAATCCAGCTCATCAGCTCCACTGACCTTGACACCGTTGAGGCTTCAAACTTCAACTTGAACCGCAAGACACGCTTCATCGTCCACGGCTTCGTCGACAAGGGAGAGAATGACTGGCTGGTGGACATGTGCAAGGTAGGGTCCTCTCACCTGTCCACACCAGGTGAGCTCAGCCCCCAGAGCCATGCTCTGGAACCCCAGTGTTCTGACCCCGGGACAGAAGTTATTGGGAGTGACAGAATCTTCCTGAAACTATGGGAGGAAACCTGGGTCCTCAGGGGCCTCCATTGTCGAATTCTCCCAGCCAACCAAATTCAAGTTCACCTCTAGAGGCTGGAAAGATTCAGTCCAATGAGGAGTTCGCAGAGACTGAGATTATAGCAAATGACCTAGTCTTTGTCTCCGGAGGCTAATATAATACCCGGTGCGACACAATAAACCCTTAAATCTTCCCCTTTAACCACTATGTGGTTGAACTTTGTGTGATGCTAGAGAGCATCTGTATCTGCTCTCTTTTTTTTCTAGCTTCTACACCTTCCATCCCAATCAGGAGACAATAACCACTGGAGCACTTGAAATGGAGCACTTGTAATGACAAGTGACATTTTCATTTTATTTAATTTTAAACATCCCCATGTATCTAGTGGTGACACTGCTAAATAGTGCTGCTCCAAGGGTTTCATGAATTTTAGCAATGAATGGTTATTGGTGACATCTATCTTCCCAGCACATTCTAGGAAACTGATGCTGTACAAATTGTCTCTCTCACTTTTTTTTTTATCTTTGTCCCATTTAATGCTTCTAGCAACATGACACGAATTATGATTATTTTCTCATTTTATATATGAGGAAAGTAAGCCCTAAAGAAGTACAAGGTGGGGCTGGAGAGATAGCACAGCGGGTAGGGTGTTTGCCTTGCACGCGGCCAACCCGGGTTCGATTCCCAGCATCCCATATGGTCCCCTGAGCACCGCCAGGAGTAATCCCTGTGCATCGCCGGGTGTGATCCAAAAACCAAAAAAAACAAAGAAGAATAAATAAAGAAGTTCAAGGCTGAGTGCAGAGGTAGAACACAAAACCGCATCTTCTGTCCAAAAGATATCACATCTATGTACCTACACATCTAGTCTATGGGAGTCACCCACAGGCACTGCCTTTAGGGGCTTAATCAAGCCCCTACTTAAGGGCTCTCTGTTCCTTTGGAAGTTGGGACCCCCTGAGTCCCAGAAGGAGGTCATGAGGACCTGGAGAAGCAGGTCAGAGGTGTGTGGTTCACCACAATGCCCTGGCCTCCAACCAGCCAAGGAGCACCCAGGGCATCTCCAAAAGAACAAAGGATATGAAGTCTTCACCTGTATTCCCTTCAAGGACTGGGATCTGTGCTTGCAGAATAGATAGCCATCACCCTAAATGACAGAAAAGACACAGGTTTAGTAGGATTGCATCCTTAGACAAGACTGGTGCACCCTTCACACCTCAGTTTCCACCTCTGTTAAATGGGGATAAGAATACCCATTCTGGATAGTACAGACAGTAAGGCTTTGCATGAGGTTTAATCTAGGGCACTGCATTTGGCCTCTCAGTAAAGCCAGAAGTCACTTCTGAGTACAGAACTAGAAATTGGCCCTACACAGAAACCACTCTATGTGGCCAGAAAACAATACCATACCCCCCCTAAAAAAAATGTAGTTTGGGCCCAGAGAGACAGTAAAAAAGGTAAAGTGCTTACCTTACAGGCAGCCAACCCAAGTTCAATTCCTACCACCACAGGTGATCTCTGAGCACAGGCCCAGGGAATAGTCCCTAACACTCGCAGGAACAAGATTAATCCCTGAACCCCTCCCTCCCACCCCGAGACAAATACCAGGTTCATAGTGGTTGTGGGACCCATGATAAGTGTGAGGAACTGTCAAGGCACCATCACAAACCAGGTGCTTGAAGGGGGTGACTCTTCCGCCTGCAGCTGTTCAGAGGTTTCTCTGACTTGGTCTTCCTCAGAACATGTTTCAAGTGGAGCAGGTGAACTGCATCTGTGTGGACTGGAAAGGGGGCTCACACGCGGAATACACCCAGGCCGTCCACAACCTCCGGGTGGTCGGAGCTGAGATCGCCTACCTCATCCAGGAGCTGTCGGTAAAACCTGGGGGCAGAGAGGAAAGAAAGAGAGAGGAGGAGAAAAGAAGGGGAAGGAGGAGGAGGGGGAAGAGGAGAAGGAGGAAGAGGAGGAGGAGGAGGGGGAAAAGGAGAAGGAGGAGGAGGAGAAGCAGGAGGAGGAAGAAGAGATGGAGGAGGAGGAGGAGGAGGAGGAGGAGGAGGAGGAGGAGGAGGAGGAGGAGGAAGAGATGAAGGAGGAGAAGGAGGAAAAGGAGGAGGAGAGACACAGAGAGCACAGAGAGACAGAGAGATACAGAGAGAGACAGAGAGAGAGAGTATGTCTCAGGCTGTACCCCAGTGCAGCCCCAAGGACCAGGGCAAGACTGGAAACTTCCAGGGTCTTTCCTTCTATGGTTTGGGGAGGGCCGGTCACTGGGGCCAGTGCCTTTCAGGTCTTCCTGCCTTAGCTTTCCCCTCTGAAATGAAGCCTTCCTTGAGAGCAGGCTGGGCTGCCTGTCCCAGAAGGTCTGTTTTGGAGACTCCCAGTTCCTAGCCCGCTGCTGCTAGGAGAACAGGTCGGGAGCTTGTGCAGAGCGACCACCCGGCGCCTGTCACCTGCCTGCAGTTGGCACGGCGGCCGCTGGTCAGCACTGTTGCCCCGCGCAAGAGCCGGCCTCTGGCCGCTTCCTGCCGAAGTCCTCAACTTCCCGCCCTGTCCTGGAGGGCGCGCGAGCCACCCAGGCCGGGACCCGACGCGCCCTCTCTCCGCAGACCAAGCTGGGCTACAGCCCCGAGAACGTGCACATCATCGGCCACAGCCTTGGCTCACACGTCGCGGGAGAGGCCGGCCGGAGACTGGAGGGCCGCGTGGGCAGGATCACAGGTAGGGAACGCAGAGACAGGGGGAACCTAAGGGTTGCGGGGAGCCGGGACCTGCAGTCTTGGGCATTTCCAGTGAAGGGTGCCCTGCTCTGGAGGGTTGGAGAGATAGGTACTTGCATTGCTTATGGAAGACCTGAGTTCCATCCCCAGCACCCCACATGGCCCCAAGAGTCCCCCCTTGCGTTCAGAGCTAGGAGTAAACCCTGAGCACCTCTAGATGTGGTCCCAACCCAAGAAAATAGAGATGGTTGCCTACATACTTTCATGTATATTCAGACATGCATGACCATAAAAAATATGTTCATAAAAAAGGAGAAAGATGTAAGTAACATATTAGTCTCACAGCCTGGGAATGTAATTAAGTATGATGAGGGAAGGAGGAAAAAAGAGCTGATGTTTAAAATTAGTTTGTTTCCTCAGTATTTTACTGTCGGGAAATCAGTTTGGTTGGCTAAGACGTGCCTCGCAGGAGGTGCTCTGTGCTAGGTACTGCCAATTGAGTAAACAAGTGAATGAACAATTAAGCAGATGAGGTACACACAGACAGAAAATTAGTTTTTTTTTTCTTTTTGGGTCACACCCGGTGTTGCACAGGGATTACCCCTGGCTCTGTGCTCAGGGGACCATATGGGATTCTGGGAATCGAACTCGGGTCAGCCGCATGCAAGGCAAACACCCTATCCGCTGTGCTATTGCTCCAGTCCCTGCAAATCAGTTTTTGCAGCAAAATCAGTGCTTTGCTTTGGCAATTCTACCCAACGTCTAGTGAAGGTTTACTTTAGTTAGGGCGCTGTGCTAGATTGGGCTTGTTGACATGGAGGTTTGATGTTGGTTTGGGGGGATTTTTAATCCACATTTGGTCATGATGTGATCCTTTAATGTAATGTTCAATTTTAGGGGCCAGAGAGATCTCAAAATATTGAGTGCATCTTTGTATGTAGGATTCCAGGATTTGATCCCTGACATTGCTTCGTTCTCTGAACACTGCAGGGAGCACTGAGTACAGAGCACACTGTGACTTAAACAATGTTATTTCTAGCATGCTATAGAAATCTATCTGTCCCTCTTGGTTGTCCCATTTGTTTGGCATATAGTTGGTCATGATAGCCTCTACTGTTATTTCATTTTGGTTTGGTTATCACTGGATTTTGTTTGTTTTATTTGGGGGCAACACCCGACAGTGCTCAGAGATCATTCCAGGTGGCTTTAGGAGAACACATGTGGTGCCAGGGATCAAATCCAGGCTGTCTGCTTGCAAGGCAAGCACCCTGCCCTCTGTACTCTCTGTAGCAGTCCTATGGTACGGATTTTTTAAAGAACTGTTTTTCAGAATTTTTTACTGAGACATCTTGTTTAGGTATGGCCCTAGCAATAGCACAGTGGTAGGGTGTTTGCCTTGCATACGGCCGGCCTGGCAGACCCGGGTTCAATTCCTCCGCTCCTCTCGGAGAGCCCCGCAAGCTACCCGAGAGTATCTCGCCTGCACAGCAAAGCCTGGAAAGCTACTCGTGACATATTTAATATGCCAAACAGAGTAACAACAAGTCTCACAATGGAGACTTTACTGGGCCCACTCAAGCAAATTGATGAACAACAGGAGGACAGTGCTACAGTGCTACCTTGATTTTATTCTTAGCGAGGTATTCATTTGTTGTTTTTATACTACATTCTTCCATATTTTTCTATCTTGTAGAGTCTCATTTGATAGATGTCACACATTTTATGGCTTTCCTTCGTATATAAGTTCCTTTTTTGATCTTGCTACACTCAATATTCTGTCTCTATTTTTGGATTTTTGTCATTTTGAGTATAATGACTCGGGTCGGCCATGTCGGCTGCATGCAAGGCAAACGCCCTACTGCTGTGCTATGAGCGATAGCACAGCGGGTAGGGCATTCGCCTTACAAGCGGCCAACATGGCCGACCCGAGTTCGATTCCTCCGCCCCTCTCGGAGAGCCCGGCAAGCTACCAAGAGTATTCGATATGCCAAACACAGTAACAACAAAGTCTCCAATGGAGACGTTACTGGGCCCGCTCGAGCAAATCGACGATCAACAGGAGGGCCTTTACCTTTACTTTTTTAGTATAATGACAAAATGGGATGCTGAAGCAGGAACAGAATGTCAGGCAGGAGCTGTGGTGTGAGCCCTTAATACTGACTTAGAGATTATCAGTTGGCAAAAGTTCTTTCTTTTCTACTTTCTCATGGTGCTTTCACATGTTATGCCCATTTTCCAGGTGAGACTAGTGAAGGTAACAGTCATTTTACCGTGAGCAGAACCAGGGCTAAAATCTAGGCCCCCGAGTCTGGCTCCCTCCACTCTACTTCTCTGGGAAGATGAACTGGGCTAGCCCCAGCTCCAGGGAATCAATCTAGCCTGGGAGACTGACCAGGACGTAGCAAGCAGGATTCAAAGCAGAATGAATAAGTACTAAATAATCCTCGACACTGTCCTTAGTTAGAACTGAGAAGCACAGGTGATGTTTGAGGAGTCTTCTATGGGTAAGATGCAGATGAGCAGTGGGGACCACTTAAGAGAAGCCCAGAGGAGGAGTCTGCGCATGCTCAGAGTGTGGATTGCGTGGTGGGGCCTCGGAGCTCTCAGAGGACTACTGAGTAGCAGGTGTGAGTGGGGAGTGGAGTAAAGGAACGGGGCTTGGGGTGGGGTGCCTGGCTCCAGACTTAAACATTGGGGGCTTCTGAACATTCTTTGGCAGGGTCGTACTCTCCTTCAGCCTTTCTATCCCAGCCTGTTTGCCCCCTAAGTTTGTCAAACCGTGGAGGTGGGATTACTGGACCTTGTTCTGGAACCTTCCTGCTCGGTTTGTGGGTCCAGAGATTAGATTCCGGTTTGCCTGAGACCCCAGCTTCCCTGTTTTTTCCCCTCTCAGGGCTGGATCCCGCAGAACCGTGCTTCCAGGGCGCGCCCGAGGAGGTGCGCTTGGACCCGTCAGATGCTATGTTCGTGGATGTGATCCACACGGATTCTGCTCCTATCATCCCAAACGTCGGTGAGTTCCGCCCCATCTCCTGGAATCCGGGCCCTCTGGGAGGACAGCAGGTGCCCCCGGCCCCCAGCTACACACAGGTCCTGCAGAGGTGGCAGTCAGCAAGGTTCAACCTGACACGCACCAGCCACTAATGACAGCCAGTGAACCCCAGAGCCCAAAAAGGAGGCTCTGCTCCAACCTGTGGAGCACGGGATCAGCCTTCAGACATGCTTTCCCTGTCAACTGAGAGTAACCTGAGTGGCTCCTACGTTTATTTTTGCTTTATGAGCCATACCTGCAAATGCAAAGCTCATTCTCTGAAATTTTTTATCTTCTTTTTCTCAACCAGTTGGGCTAGATGGGAGCAAATTGGCACCACCCCTAATTCCTATACTGCCTCCCCAGCCCTACTTCCTTTGTTTTGTTTGGGGATCACAGTGTTCAGGGGAGATTTCTGGCTCTGTGCTTGGGAACCACTTCCATCAGTGCTTAGACCATGTAGGGGTCCACGCAGGGTCAGCTGCAGGCAAGCCAAGCACTCCAACCCCAGGGCTGTCTCTCCAGTTTCCCAACCCTCTATTTTCAAATCTTTGGTTACAGTTTGTTTGTCAGAGATGACACACATCTCTAGCTATGCTTCTTCTAAATGAAATATTGATATTATTTTTAATATTCTTGACATTAAAGATTAATTTAACATTAAAATAGTGTTGATATTAAATATTGTGTTTAATTAAATATTAAATATTAACATAGCATTTCAATATCAAAAACATACCCTTTCTTGGCATTCAGACATCATTTTTTAAAATCCAGGCATTTCTTGACAATTTTTTTACAATGATGATCTCACTGAGCTTTTACCATGTGCTGCATTGAACATTTTGAACATTAATTCTAGGAACAACCTTTAAAATTGTATATTTTTGCCATTTCATAGCTAAGAAACTCAGGCTTGGGTAAACTCATTGTCCAGTGGGGAAGAACCTGCAAGTAGAACCTGGATGTGGTCACATTTGTGAATTTCAAAGTCCAAAACCTGGAGCCATTATGTCAAGACTCTCCACATAACAATGTAATATGATGTGATCACGATTACAATAGGATGTAGGAATCAAAATTTGCAAACTTAATGAGTAAGCAGAATTTCTCCAGGGGCTTAAGAGATGGCGATAAAACACATACCTGATAAGTGTAAGGTCCAGAGTCTGATCTCCACTTCCGCCTGGGTCCCCATCTATGGCCAGTTACAATGGACCAGAGCAGCACTGCATCATCAGGCTGAAGTACTGAATTACCAGGAATGGTCCCTGGGTCCCCCAGGCTACTGGTGTCCACTGTTGTATATCAGTACTGGCCAGGGCCTCTTCCCCACAGACACACGAACTAGAGTGTGTCCATGCTCCCCCAGAGCTTCCTTCCTCTCCCCTCCTTTCACTGTTCTCTGCTTCCTCCTGGTCTTGTTCCAAGTGCTCCTGCAGAGCCAGAGACTGGTGGCCCCCCGTAGAAAGTGCCTGCTCCCTGGGGTTGCGACTAAGCACGTAGCCTTTGGGCCCACTCTTCTCCTCCCCGTTCACCTCTACTCCCACTGTTTCAGGGTTTGGAATGAGCCAAAAGGTGGGCCATCTGGATTTCTTTCCCAATGGAGGAAAGCAAATGCCTGGATGTCAGAAAAATATCATTTCAACCATTGTTGATATAAATGGAATCTGGGAAGGTAAGTAAGTGGGGGTAACCAGGTGGATGTTGCCAGTGCGGGAAGAAGCAGAGTTGTGAGTTGGCCTGGCCAGCATGTGCTGGAACTGCCACCACTTTGGGAGGACATTCAGGGTTGGTGTGTTCACAACCATGCTACTAGTCCTCTGATGCTCCCATTTTACAGATGGGAAGACTAACTCAGTAAAGTTATAAATTTGCCTCAGGCCACTCCCCACACCATTTTAGGCCCAGTTTCTGACTGCAAAGGCCTGACCTTATGCCCCAGTGTACATCTCCCCCAGCTCACCAACCTGTTGAGATGAGTGGCAGGCACCTTGGCACATTCCCAACTCTGCTTTTGCTCCTACCACCTCTTTTTGTTCCTTAGGGACCCGGGGCATGAGCATCCATGTGTGCTCTTTCCTCCTTGCTTACTTGCTTTCTTATTTGGAGCCAAACCCAGCTGTGCTCAGGGCTTACTCTTGCCTCTGGACTAAGAATGACTCCTGGTGAGGCTCAGAGAACCATATATGGTGCTAGAGACTGAACCTGGGTCGGCCGTGTGCAAGGCAGGAGCCCTACCCACTGTACTATAACTCCAACCCCAACACTTTCTTGCCCTTCACTGTTGATAGGGCCTGGGAATGGAAAGGGGGGAACAACATGAGCCATGTGTTGGCGGGAAAGGCCTGGAAGTCTGGGGAATGAGCTTTTGTGTATCTCAGTTTATCAAAGCAAGCAGGTCCCCAAACCATAATGTTGCAAAAGCAGTAGGCCCATGCCATTATCAGCCACTTGTTCTGCCCTTTGCTCTGCTCCCAAGACAGCCTGGCTCTCCCTGCCAAACACAGCCTCGAATCACTGCCTACTGGGGTTTATTTTCCTGACCCGGGAGACCAGGGCCAGTTGGTGAGTGTCCCAGACACTCCAGTGCCCCTCCGTGCCTGGCCCAGAGCAGGAGCTCATGTGGGCCGTTCCCTGCTGTTTCAAGATGCCACATGCTGGAGCGAAAGGCAGTGGATAACACAGCAACTGGCAGCAACTGTAGGCAAAGGGAGCTGGTCCCTCCTCTGTGCTCACCCTATGTCACTCCAGGATGATGAGGCTGTTCCTCTCTCCTTCCGAGATGCTGGGGTCACATAGAGGGTTGCCGCCTTCCCGAAGTGACAGGCAGGCACACAAAACAGGAGGTGCCCCAGATTTCATTAGGAAGGCAATAGAGGGAGACCCAGCCCATGGATGGGGGAGCACGTTTCTGTGGGAGAACTCTGACTCATGGGGTGCTGCTCACCCAGGAATAATTAAGTCCACTAGCTTCTGTATTATGGGCTCCCTGGGCAGCAGTTTGGGGTGAAAGAACCAAGTATGAAACTGGCCCTGTAGATTTGTAATGAGCCTTGGCGTGGGCTATACAGAATCCCACTTTGGCTGGGTCAGGGTTACTGGGAGTGCTGGGTGTGAGTTAATATCCACCTCTATGAAAGGGAACAATCTTTTTTCCCATGGACAGTGGATTAAGTTCCCCGCCCCCTCCCCAGGTAGTGGTCCCCAGGTATATTTGGACTTCTCAAGAATCACTCCATAGGAAATTTTGCACCAAGGAACCTGAGAAATAAAAACCAGTATTTTCCACAAGAGGGTTTGGGTTGAAAGAAAAAAACAGGGTAAGAGAGAGTACAGTGGGTAGGTGGGTGGCCTTGGACCACCCACCATTACAAGGCAAGTCAGCAGAATTTCTTCTTTTCCCTCAAATCTGTCAACATCAGTTGCAGAAACTTTCCACTGCTGACACTGTTGTCAGGTGTGCAGCTCTGTTTCTGGGAAGGAAGAGGAGATTCCTCTCTGGGGCCTGATGACTCAGGGTCCTTCAGTCAAATACCTGACCTTTGCTTTGTCAGGAGCCACTCACTTTGTAGCATGCAACCACCTAAGAAGCTACAAGTATTACTCAAGCAGTATCCTCAACCCGGATGGCTTTCTGGGCTACCCCTGTGCCTCCTACAAAGACTTCCAGGAGGTAGGTCACACCTGGACACTGTCACTGGTGCCCCGGTTCTAGATAATTTTCTCCTTTTGGGACTTGGAACAGAACAGAGCTGGAATTCCACTACAAACAGGGAAGCTTCTCTGAAAGCTGAGCCAGCTGCAGTCTCTTCCTCCTGGGACTAGGGTGGGCAGGACGGGGTGGAACAAATCTGGGCCTGGCCTTCATCACCAACTTTTTCTTCTGCACAATCCCATGTACAAGTGGAGAGTGAGTACAGTGAACACTTGGCCTCCATTACCACACCCTGTCCATTATTAACTGTTTTATTTGGGATTTCCCACACATTTGGGAAACACTTTTTCCCCAAAATTAGGTGGAAGTAAACTAAAGCTATCAGGACAAGTTACTTATAAATACTTCACCTCTCATTGCTTAAGAATAAGAATGTTCTCCTAGAAAGCAACATTCAAGACATTCAACATGTATCTATTTGCCTTTTCTAATATTTCACCCACTTTCAGGCTTTATAAATATGCAAATAATATTCTCTAGCGTTCAGAGCTCCCCAAACTTATTTGATCTACTGTACTGCCCCTCTCTCAGGGAAAAAGAAATTCAGTGACTCCCTAGAAATCTCTCTTGTTTAAGCAAAGAAATAGGAAAAAACCCTCAATTGCACCTGAGGCTCCTACTAGACGCCCCCATCCCAATTGTTCAAGTTCCTCATGGGAGCACAGAATCCCCCACTTTGGGAAACACTGTTTGTTCTAGCCTATGTTTTTATTATCCTTTATGTCCCTCCTTTCTTCCAGCCCTCCCTACCTTTCCTCCCTCCCTCCCTCCCTCCCTCCTTCCCTCCCCCCTCCCTCCCCCTCCCTCATTCCTCCCTTCCCTCCCTCTTTCCCTCCTCCCTCCCTCCCTCCCTCCCTCCCTCCCTCCCTCCTTCCCTTCCTTCCTTTCTTCCTTCCTTCTTTCCTTCTCTTTTCTTGCATCTGGAAAGAGATTTTTTCCCTTTTTTGTTGGTGTTCTAGGTGAGGTATTTGGTAGAAAGTCTCACATTCTGAACTTGTTTCTTTGTGATTCGATGGGTGGTAATTGAGTTCTTCTCAGTGGATCACACCCAGATGCTTTCCTTTGACATCTCTTGATCCTGCTGTTTGATTACATGGTTAAGGAGGTGTCTCCCAGATGTCACCATTATAAAATTACCACATCCCCTAAGCAATCTCTGAGGCGTTAGCAGTCCCAAACAACAAACCAAGGTGAAAGTTTTGACTTTCTTATCTGATTCTCTTCTTATACTAGGGGAAATAAAAGTCCAAAACTTCAAATAATACATTTTCAAAAGACCTGTTTATATCTCAAAACTAATTTGGGGGTCCAGAGATATAGTAAAGTAGGTAGAGTCCTTGCCTGCCATGAGGCCCCAGCACCCATATGGTCCCCTGAACACTCGCAGCAGTGATACAAAGCAGAGCCAGGAGTCAGCCTAGATCACCACCAGGTGTGGCCCCAAACAACCAAAAAATAATGAAAAACAAATAATTGTGAACTTAACACCACTGTGTTGAACTAAAGTACATCATATCCCATTCCCTGGGTCTAAGAGGTCATTGTGTCACTAAGTTATTGTCGGAACCTGGATAAGAAGACACAAAGTCAAAACTACTTGTCTTCTTCCTTCCAACTTGCACAACATTCTGCATTCTGTGGATGAAAGATGTGAGGAGGATACAGAACACAGGGCAAGTGGTACTGGGCATAAAATGCAAGTTTTACTTACTCAAAGGGCTTCAACTTCTACCTCCAAGTCAATGATTACTTCCTAAGCTGTCAGACATTTGGGAAACATCAAAGAACGGTCAGGTCTCTTTCTCAAGAGAAACAATTCACAATACAGTGAAGATGGACATGAATAATTTCTTCCTCTGCACTTCTGCTCACCTGGTATCTGTTCCATCTACTCAGTAGAGTCACGTGACATTCCTCCTCCATATTAATATTATTGCTTCCCAGATAGGACTTTTCTTCCCATTAATACTCTCAGGTTTTCCAGGTACTTCTCTGCATGTCCAGCACAGTTCTGTGTGAGGTTCTGATGGTTTATGTGAGATCGTGAATACCCAGGGAGGGGAGATAGATGGTGGGTGGGTGGGTGGGTGGGTGGGTGGATATGTAGACAATAGGATGATGGGATGGTGGCATGAGTAAACGAGGGCATGAGTGAAGGACTATTACTAACAAATTGATTTTTTGTTCTCTAGAATCGTTGTTTCCCTTGCCCAGCTGGAGGATGCCCCAAAATGGGGCACTTTGCTGACCAGTTTCAGGGGAAAACCAATGCTGTAGCACAAACCTTCTACCTGAATACAGGAGAAAGTGATAACTTCCCCCGTAAGTTTCCATTTTAATCATTTATAAATTCTAGTAAATAGGGACCAGAGAGGCAATGTTTTTACCTGGCATTTACCAACCCTGGTTAGATCCCTAGCACCACTTATGGTCCCTCTGATCGCCATCATTCACAGAGCCTGTAATAGCCCCTAAATACCTCCAGATATGACCTAAATCCTACCCATTTTTAAATAATAAGACTGAATTAGTCTTATTAGTCAAGATCCATGGTAGCAACTGACAGAAACTCCATTACAACTGACTGGAATTTCTATTCTATAGAAGAATAGAATATTAGAATGACATATTTTTTTAATTTTAATGAATCACTGTGAGATAGTTACAACCTTTTATGTTTGGGTTACAATCACACAATGATCAAAAACCCATCCCTCTACCAGTGCACATTCCCCACCACCAATGTCTCCCCCCTTCCTCATTCTTCCCCTGCCTCCATGGCAGACTTTATTCCCTGTACTCTCTATCTACTTTTGGGCATTATGTTTTTCAATACAGACACTGAGAGGTCATCATCTTTTGTCCATTATCTACTTTCAGCACACATCTCCCATCCCAACTAATTCCTCCAGCCATCATTTTCTTAATGATCCCTTCTAAATTCCATCTGCCTTCTCCCATCCGCTCATGAGACAGGCTTCCAGCTATGGAGCAATCCTCCTGACCCTTGTATCTACTGTCCTTGGGTGTCAGCCTCATGTTATGTTATTCTCTACTCCACAAATGAGTGCAGTCCTTCTATGTCTGTCCCTCTCTTTCTGATTCATTTCACTTAACATGATATTCTCCATGTCTATCCATTTATAAGCAAATTTCATTACTTCATCTCTCCTAACAGCTGCATAGTATTCCATTGTGTATATGTACCAAAGTTTCTTTAATCAGTCATCTGTTCTAGGGCACTTGGGTTGTTTCCAGATTTTGGCTATTGTGAACAGTGCTGCAATAAGCATATAGGTACAGATGTCATTTCTACTGTGCTTTTTTGCATCCTCGGGATATATTCCCAGAAGTGGTATTGCAGGATCATATGGAAGCTCAATTTCTAGTTTTTGAAGAACTGTCCATATTGTTTTCCAGAAAGGCTGGACCAGTCAGCATTCCCACCAACAGTGAAGGAGCATCCCTTTTCCCCCACATCCATGCTAGCACTGTTTGCTTTTGTTCTTTTGAATGTGTGCCAGTAAAATGACTTGTCTTTAGTCTCATATTGACTTTAAGAAAAATCATCAGTGATATGAGAGTGTGGTATGACTGTTCCAGACTGGGTCACAGGTCCACCCACCACTGTGGCCATTATCGTAAGAGAGCAGGTGGGCAAAGCCCTTGTAAGTCAACTCGTGTAACGTGCCCCCATGCACAATGCTGTGTTATTTTGCCCAGCTTCCCACTGAAAAACAGGTATAAGATAGCAAAATCAGAGGCCAGAGCAGTAGTATAGCAGATAGGATGCTTGCAGTACATGCAGCCAAGCCAAGTTCCATCCTTAGCTCTGAGTCCAACTAGGAGCTATCTCTGAGCATAGTGCCAGGAATGTGCCCTAAGCAACATGAGTTGTAGCTCAAAAAGAAACCAAAACAGAAGATTGTAAAATCATCCATATCCTTTGGTTATAAAGAATATCTCATAGTTACTAAATAAAAGTGTCGTTGTTTTTCAAGGGAGTTTTAAATGTTTTGTTTGTTTTGGCACCAGATCTAGTAGTGCCGAGGGGTCACTTCTAGAGGTTCTCAGGGGACCATATTTGGCACAGAAGCTCAAACCACGGTCTAATGCACAGGTAGCAAGTGTCTTACTTCCAGTACTCTCCAAACCCCAATTTAAATATATATATACATATATATGTATACACACATATCACTTTACAATATACTTTTCACTTCATAGTGTTTCCTGTATGCTCACTAACAATTCTCACACTGCTTATCAGGAAAGGTCTTATCATGTCAAGTTTATATGCCTATTCCCTTAACACAACCTTTCTTTTCTCAGAAAATACATAGAAACGTGTTGGCCTGTGTGTATAAGCAAGCGTGTTCAGGCGTGTTCTCTGTGCTAGTGTTTAATACAGAATAGCAGTGGGGTGGGATGTGCCTAGCTCTCTATCAGTTGGAAACAACCAAATACTGATCTTTGAAAGATGGAGCTAGCTCTGTGGAAGTGTAAGCCCCTAAGTCATATCAGGTGAAAAAGCCAAAAGGAAAACAGCATCACAACTCAGTGAGTGCCGCTGTGGGAGTTAGAGCTCCACTTGGGGTACCAGTGAAGGTATTTTGTTGCAGGGCTTCCTTGGAGAGCTGTGGTTTGGGTTGAAAAACCAGACATGGGCATTGAGACTGCATTTTTCCCCAAAGATCTGTGTTTGTGTATGCACAAACTTCTAGAGCTGTCTCAGTCCCTGTGCATGCAGAAGGCTTGACCCATCCTGCCATCTACCCATGAGGTGTCAGTAGCAACCCCCCCACAATCCAGTTGTGAAAACACAAACTATTTTCAGACGTAGTCAAATGTCCCCAGATGTGCTAGGCACCCCTAATTGGAATGGATTGTATTTGGAGAGCAAACTGGTGATGTCAAGAAAAACTGGGAATGAGGGCAGGCAGTTGTGGTGTTAATAGAGAGAATTTCATCAACATCAATTGAGAACATGTCCACTGCATATGAAAATGACAACAAAGCCTAAGAGAGCACGAAGAACACTACAGTGCTTTATCCAAATGTGAGACTCCAGATGTATCTCTTCTATACACAGATGTACTAACTGGCAATAGAGACATTCTCTGGCCCCTCTCTAGGTGTGATCTTCACCCCCAGCTAGAACCTGAAATCCTAGTAACCCACATTCATTGAAGTAAACCGTTAATCATACTTCCCTTTCCTTTTATCCGTGGGACATTCAGAGCTTGAAGCAAGAATGCTTCAGTAGGTTCATTTTCTTTTTCAACCAGATGGATGAACTGAACTATTGCATTTCTCTGGACAGGTTGGAGATACAGGGTCTCAGTCACACTGTCTGGAAAAAAGAGCATGGGTGGCTTCATCAAGGTTGCTTTGTATGGAAGTAACGGAAACTCAAAACAGTATCAAATTTTCAAGTAAGTTCAATGGTAAAGTGCAACAAAGTTTTCCTAGCAGATTATTCATCAAAGATTGGGGATAAACTGCTTTTTAAATATAGCCATCGAAACTAAACAGAATCTAGCCTTACAAAACCCTTGAATCCTGGATTTTCCAAGCTGGAAAGAAGCCTTACCATTGAACCAATTCACCCCACTGCACATTGAGAATGAAGTGAGGAGAGAAGGAATTTACTAAAAGTCTGTACTGGGGTCTGGGAGATGCCTCAAAGATCTGGAGAACATGCTTTCATGCAAGACTCCTCAGTTTAAATCCCAACATTACATGGTCTCCTTAACACTACCAGGAGTAACTCACACACAAAATAATATTAAGTTAAAACAAGATTGTGCTATCTTTTTTCAGAATGCCAATGGCTGCTTCTTAATATAGGTATATGGATTTCCAATTCACAGGCAAGACACATTTATAGGTCAACTCTCCTCTCCAAGATGCTCACTCTCTTATACACATATGGAGGCATGGAGGCAGCTTCTCAAAAGCACCCAGCTTTGGCAGGGTTTGCACAGAAGGTGCTTTGTAGCAGGCGTTGAATGCATGCATAACTGTGCCGTAAAATTGGATTCAGCTTTTGCACTTTCACATAATTTTTATGTTAAGGTAAAGTTCTTGGATAATTTCCTATGCTACCTCTGAGATAGTATAGTATTTTTTGCTAAACCATATGCATATTTAAACACTAGCCATGATATGAATTAGTCCAGTAATGAAATGACTTTACCTCCAATATTGGACTTCCCCTAGGGGCAAACAAAGACAGTGAAACTTTAGAGTGCAATAGTTTTTCTAAGGTGTGTCTTTCACATGAATGTTGTGATTTTTCATCCCCTAGGTGTATATGAATCATTGGAGGTATTTGCAGAAAAACCACCATTACTTGGAGAAATGATAGATTGGCATCATCCTATATTATTATCTATCTAACTGATAGAGTATTTTATGCTTATGTTTTTAGAGGATCCCTCAAACCAGGAGCAAATTATGTGAATGATATTGATGTGGACTTTAATGTTGGAAAAATCGAGAAGGTCAAGTTTCTCTGGAACAAGAGTTGGCTAAATCTCTTGAAGCGCAAAATGGGAGCTTCCCAAGTCACAGTACAAAGTGGTGAAGATGGAACTGAGTGCGTATCTTTTGTCCCACCTAAGTCTTACTGCCTGTAGTTCCTGATCAATCTCTCTCTATATGTGCAAATTTTTTTAGCTGGAAGAGCAAGGAAGACACAAAAAGATTTTTTAAAAAGGAGTCTAGAAGTAGGAGAATATAAAACTGCTTTATCTCAAACAATGGGGCAAAACAGTTGGGTGATAAATCTCTGAATGAAAGTCAGGTGGGTGCAGTTGTTGATGTAGTTGGTTTTGTGGAGACAAGGACTAAGAGAGATAGACACAGTTGGGATAAATCTCACATCCATTAGAATCTTATTTGCTGGGACTTGGGAGAGGAGGACATAAACTATACTGAAAATATGGGGAAGGGAAGGTGGCAATCTTGAAAGAGATTTGCTCGAGCGGGCCCAGTAACATCTCCATCTCTCCATCGTGAGACCTTGTTGTTACTGTGTTTGGCATATCAAATACGTCACGGGTAGCTTGCCAGGTTTTGCTGTGCAGGTAAGATACTCTCGGTAGCTTGCCAGGCTCTCCGAGAGGGGCGGAGGAATCGAACTCGGGTCAGCCATGTTGGCCGCGTGCAAGGCAAACGCCCTACCTGCTGTGCTATCCCTCCAGCCCTTGAAAGAGAATACTCAGAAAATTGAAGAGGGTAGAACCTAAAGGAAACTTAGATATCACTTAAACCTCAGCAACTCTCACTTAAAGATGAGGAGAAAGATACGGAGAGTCAAGTAATTTGTCTAACCAGTGGGATAAATATTGCCCTTCAAAATGTTGCAAAACACATGCCAAGGCCCTGCTGAGCTGTGTGACTAAGTTGTGCCAGTTGTAAGTGGTGACAGTGCTCGACTCCTGATATGTGCGTGGGAGGATGAGGTGTCATTGTGCCACTCTTTCAGATAGGCAGAGCAGACCACAAGCATGTGATCCCACAAGGACTGAACTCAAATGATCTGGTGTCCAATCCAGTCCTCTTTCCATTGTTCCCATCCAGTTCATTCGCCAGGGTTGATGTGAAACTGATCGCTCCATAAGACCTGGCAGTTATAGCAATGTCTGGATGGTGTGCATTGTTTAGAGAGTAGGTACAGTTATTTCTTTCAAGTGTAGTACAGCCCACACACTAAATACCCCTTCTGTGGGGAGGTCCCCACCGCACAGAACTCCCTTGTTAAAGAGCTGCCTTCTGTAGCTGAGCCTTGAGAGAGGGCTGGTTTAGTGGAACATCCCCTCTCAAAATTCTCTACAAGAAAAGGTCATAGTGACCTGCATCTCAAGGCCTAATCTCACCAGTCTCTGCTGTCTCTAGCGTGACAACCCTCCATTATCTCTTTAGATATTTTTTCTTGAAATACAATGTCTAGCCCATACACTCCACCATCTACAGCATGCAGTTCAATGACACTTTACATATTTGTGGAGTGATGCAAACATCATCACCACCATCTTTAGGACACTTTTAGCCCCTCCCCCCCAAAAAAGACTGTTCCCATAAGCCATCACCCCAAAATCCACTGATCTACTTTATGTCTCCATAGACTTTCCTAGTCGGGAATGGTCCATAGATGGTTCCCTCTAGTACACCCTCCTTTCATAATCAGGTCTTCAAGTTGCACCCATGTTGTAGCTCGTGTCAACACATCATTCCTTCGTGTTGTCAAATAATATTCTCCCATATGGATAGACCGCATGTTATGTGTCGATTCATCCACTGATAGAATGATAGATGGTTCCCACTTCGGGGCTATAGTGAATAAGAAAGAGAACTGATAGGCCCGTGGCCAGGCCCAAAGCTGCACTGAAGACTCCTCATCAGGAGCATCCTGGGACCCACCCAACTGATGACACTCAGATCAGTAAGAGGCTGCAGGAGGGAGGGAGTCTGCAGGGTGATTTCACTCAGTAAGAATATCTTGCACTGAGTCTAGTTTAGCAGAGGCTTTTGGTTAAAGGGATCTGGGTTCCAAGAAGTTGGCTAAATACTGTTTGCTAAGCTGATTCCTCATTCCCAGCAGCCAAAGAACCTCATCTGGTCAATATTTTCCTCCACAGGTATAAATTCTGTGGCAAAGACACCGTGAAAGAAGATGTTCTGCAAGCCCTTTACCCTTGTTAAAAATAAGCTGATGGTCTTGTGTCTTGGTGGCAATAAAGTCATTGATATTTGACAGTGAGGTGCTATATGGACCTTATTCTTGTACTGGGGTCATATATTGAAAGTGACTTTTGGAATTGGCACCCACTTGGTCCCAGGTGATGCCTAATTGTCCTTGTGATCTGCCTTTGCACCATCTCTCTCTCTCAATCAATTTTAGGACAATATCAACCCCCACCTTCCAAACACAGGATGCTGTGTGGCAGGGGCCCATTCTTGTGTCTTTCATTTCCTTGGACTATCAAATAAAATAAATGTCTTTTATTTTCTCTTTGCCCCACCCAGATCTTCCAATTTCAAGCTGGGGCAGACCATGTAAGAGTTGCCTGTGGCTAGTGTCATGTCCAGCAATTACTAATTAGACTCAATGTTTCCTGGGCAGAGGCAATGGAGGAAGAGGGGTTTTCTTTCTTAAGCCTAGGAACGGGAGATAGTATAGAGATTAGAGGGCATGCCTAACATGCATCCAATCTGGATTTGATTCGTGGCCCCCCCTCAGCATCATCAGATGCAGCCCTGGAGGTCTGCAGTATTGCCAAAGTTCCACCATTCTGGCTGCGTATTGGAATCAACTGGGGAGCCTCAAGAGAAAGCCTCATCTTCAGGTAGCCTCCCCCTCCCCCGATACTTGGGAGCTTGAAGTGCTTCCCAAGACTCCCAGGGGAGGAAAGCAGGGCTGAACAACTTCCTTCCACCCCAAGGGTTTGCTGTCAGGAGTGTGTAATGTTCTACATTGCCACACTGGCTAGCTCTGTTTTCTCACCCCACCACTGACACTGATGTGGGAATAATGTGCACTGGTGGCAATGTGCAGATTCAGCAAGACAAGACCCCCAAAACGCTCCACACCAATCTGGCTCCTGGTGGCCTGAACTCTTCCTCCAGAGGAATGAAACCAACTGCAAATATTCCAGATAAGCCATAGCCTCCATGAAGGTCTTGAAAGTTGATGTAGTGAACCGTTCCTGTTTGGAATCCATGGAGGAAATGGCAGCTCAACTGAAAAGTAAACAAAGGGCCAGGGAGCAACAGAGCTACAGAGAACCCTGAGCCATAAGTGTCTGAGATTCCCTGCCACAGGGGCCAAGGGCACAGATTTGAAATCAGCAGTGCAATAACCATATCTGTTAGATGACTCAAAACACAAATTTGGAAAAAGAATGAGCATGGTCCATGCAGATTGTCTGGGAAGCGTTCCCCAAAGTCCTCTCTGAGAAAAGTACATAAGAAACCATTCTAATGCAGAAATAACCACCTATGTACATCTTTATTTCCCAGGTACTGTCCTGTTGTTCATCGATTTGCTCAAGCAGGCCCAGTAATGTCTCTATTTTGAGACTTGTTGTTACTGTGTTTGGCATATTGAATACGTCACGGGTAGCTTGCCAAGCTTTGCCGTGTGGGCGAGATACTCCTGGTAGCTTGCCGGACTCTCTGATAGGGGCAAAGGAATCAAACCCAGCTCGGCCGGGCTGACTGCGTGCAAGGCAAACGCCCTACCACTGTGCTGTCACTCCAGCCCCTCCCAAGTACTATGTCAGTGATATTACATTTTTTGGTACAAAAAAATTTGAAGCAAACAACTCTGCTAATTTTAGTAATGGATAGAGTGGGGTTTGTCTATGTTTTAGGGAGGTGTCATTTTAATTATTATTTTTTAATCTAAATTTAAGATAATGATATTGACCGATTCTGAATAAGCACAGAAAGTTATTTAGAGATGTGAGCTTTACAATCTTTGGGAGTTTGGGATCAGTGACTGGTAGAGGTTTTCATTGGTGGCATCTCATGGATGGGTTATTATTGGCTTCTAAAAAACCCACATCTGAGACTGGTCCAGTCCTAATGTATCTGTCCCTGGCCAAGATAACCACACAAGAACTCTTTCTTGGTAATCTTTGTCTGCCACATCAGAACCTTCACCTTCAGTCTCAGAAAGACATGTCCCTTTTCCTTTGTGTCTGGCTCTCATCACTGGGTCACGGGACCCTGCAAATGAGGGTCCAACTTGGGGCCTGTAAGCATGCCTGCCACTGTGTAGACAACTGCATTTCTTCACCTTTGCTTGCCCAGACACCAGCCACGCTGATTCCACAGCAATCTCACCCAAGGAAGATGTTCCCATAACAATGATGTGATGGATAAGAAGGGGAGAGACAAAATACTCCGAGAGAGACTGGACAGCTCTCTCCCACTTCGGTAGCTCTGCAGGGGCAGCGGGGTGGAGGGGATGAATATTTTACCAAGCAATTTCATAAAATGTTATGTTAAATGAACAACAAATTACTTTTTTCTTTTACTCGCTTTTAATGCCCATAGTGCCATTTATCCCTGACCTTCAGAAATATGAGATATTTTGAATGACAACATAAAGAGTCCTTGTTTGAAAACGAAAGCTACTTTAGACTGCATATTATTACTTCTAAGTATAGCGTATGCTAGCCTCCCTCGCTTCGGCACCACATTTATATCTCTCTGGTATATATTTCGGTTGACATTTATTGTCCTCCTGCATACGTGTCAAATTCCTTAATGATCGCTCTGACAAAGGCACGGCGCTCGGTATATATAAATTACACTCGTTACCATATAATCAGTGTTATCTATTAGAATGCTGTTTGTGACAAATCATGTTCAAAATAAAAATTGAATTGATTTTTCTGTTCTTTTAATATTGTGCCACTCGCAGCAAGTCTTTGATTGAATCTTAAACACTTTAATGCTCTATTTTTTTGTTGGAGGCAGATCAGAAATGGGGTTTGCGCTCTTCACAGAGCTCAAACAATTTGTAAAACAACAAAATCAAATTTCCAAATGCAGCTTGATGTTCAAATCAAGGGAATAAATTTTGTGAAGCTATCGTTAGAGGGTATACAACTTAATGGCAAAAGCCTCACATACATGTTTAATTTTTATGCATCCATTTCCATCTAAATTAGATTTTAACTTTAATGCAGGGCATGAAAAGCATCTACAGGCCTTTGTTTCTACCTTTTCTCTTTGAGTACTTGCAAGCTTTCTTGACGCTACTACGAACGCTCTGTTGGCCTCTCTCTCTCTTTTCTCTCTCTCTCTTTTCTCTCTCTCTCTCTCCCTCATGGCATCAGATTGAGCTATATTTTCAGCATTCTGAACTCTTGGGGTTCTGTTTCCCCAATCCTCCAAAGGGGTCTCTCTCAATATGATACTATTTGACTCTTATTGCTTAGCAAAAAACAAAAACAAAAAACAAAAACAAACAAAAAAACCATGAGTGGAGTTTGAAGTGATAAATAGGTTTTTTGCCATGCACATGGCCAATCCCCAGCATCCCATGCACATGGCCAATCCCCATGGCCTAGGGAAGAAAAGAGAATATTTTGAAAAATATGAAAATCATATAAAATCAAAATGTCAGAGTCCATAACATTTTGTGGGGGCACCATCCCTACTTGTTCATATATATAGCTGCTTAGCTGCTGACACACAGCACAGCAATAGTGAGTCTATGCGAGTCTATGCTACCATAATCAGATGGCCCACAAAAGCTTAGCTACTGATGAGCCCTTTGCTGAAAAAGGTTTCAAGTCCTGATTCAGAAGGAAGGACCTTAGGAATTAATGACCTGTTCAAAGCACCCTTGGGCAAAAGATTGAGCTGGCACTCCAGTACCACGCCACACGTATGATGACAAAGAGAGGTTTTTAGACATACCGGCCAAAGTATTCTCACATTGTCCATAGCAATAAAAAGCCAAATAAAAGGACAGACCAGGAAATCAAATTACCCAACCCCCAAATGCTCTAGCTGTGATCAGTGTGTGCACTGGTCAGGAATGTTCTTCCAAATGGGTGGGAACAGTCAGGAAGATCCTGAAAAAATGAATTGGAAAAGGTCTTAGATGCTGGGATGAGATTCAGCAAATGGAAAAGGTTTGAGGTCCACTGCCTTTAGGAACGGGAGGGTACCAATGGCAGTCGCTCAGTCCCTGGTCTCTCAGGTGTTCTTGATGTGACCTTCAGATCATATAATGGAAATAAAGCCTGAATTTTGGATGCCCAACATTGCTAACACATCTCAAACGTTTCCCCCTTATGATTCCTTTTTGCCTGAGAAATGCATCCTGGGTGAGCACTGAAAGACACACTTTGATTTCATGACACCTTTGAGTTGAAGTCGGTTGTGGTAATTGCAGACACTTGGGGTCACGACCTGCAACCTAAGAAGCTAGGCTCTAGGTCAGAGGGTGTCTGGTCTCCCTTTTTTATAGAACCCAGAGTCTCAAGAAAAGTGGGGCACCTCAAACTTTGGAGAACCCAGATAAATCCAGGTAGAATTCAAATATGGGCATAGGACTCTTGTTAAGAGCATACCAGCCTCCTAGGAGTTGGGAAGGCTGTATTTTTTTTCCCCTGAAAAGAGGTTCAGTTTTGGAAGACTAATGGGGCCTGGTGTATCCCATTCAAACTATGAAAATATGAGGTAGTAGGGGATAAATTACAGAATTTAAAAGCCTTTTGGGAAAGAAACTTCCAAGACCCACTCTTGGACTGGTGACTGAGGAACAAGGAAGGGACTTGAGGGGGAATCTAGCCCAAATGACCCTTTTGATGTTTCCCTTTTTCTTCTTCTTAGTGCTGTTTAGCTGTACTCTTAGGAAGCACAAAGCACACAGGGCATTTTGTTGTTGTTTTGGCAAGCTACCCAGAGTATCTCGCCCACACAGCAAAGTCTGGCAAGCTACCTATGATGTATTCGATATGCCAAACACAATAACAACAAGTCTCACAATGAAGACATTACTGGACCTGCTCGAGCAAATCGGTGAACAACGGGAGGACAGTGACAGTGACAGTGACAGTTTTTGGGCCATACCTGGTGATGTTGCTTATACTCAGGAATTACTTCTGGTGGTGCTCAGGGGGACCATATGGGATCCTGGGCCTCGAACTCAGGTTGGCCAAGTACAAGGCAGGAGCCCATGCACTGTACTATTGTTCTAGTCCCCATACTAGACATTTTATGCTAACTCCTTGATGCATATTATCACATTCAACCAAATATTCCAGGTCACCTAGGAGGAGGTGTTGTCATCTAGCACCAACTAAACTATGGCGAAAAATGTTATATTTCTCTCTCAAGACCGCTTACTCATGGCAGCAGATGTGAGTCCAGCCAAGTCCAGCTCTCAGCTTCCTTAACCCCTTCCCTGGTCTGAATCTGTGGCATTGTCCAGGCACTTGTGTTTCTCTTCTCCTCACATTTCCTTTCTTACTTGCTTTGCACTTAGAAACTGCCTATAGCCGTGACACAGAGAAGGTAGCTGAGCCCCACCTCCATGCACCCTGGCTCACGATTCCAATTCTGACACTCACTGTGTGACCCTGAGCAAATGATGCACCCTCTGTGTGCCTCAATTTACCCATCTGTAAAAGCGAGAACATTTGTGCTAATTCAATACTCCAGTCTAGGTAAAGGACTTAGGCCAGATCCTTACACAAGCAAAAACTCAAGCCACTTTGGCAACTAGTGGGGTTTTTCTTGGTCAACCATACTCTCTCACCTACGTTGAGGACAAAATCCTTGGGGCAAAAGTGCAACAGAGAAAAGGTGTTTGATCAGGAGCCCCAAAAGCCCCCTTTCTGAACCTTCTCCTGTTAATAACTCAGCATGCTCAGAGATATTATGCCCCGCCTTTGCAACCCTCATCAATGGCAACAATTTCCTTGGTCCCCTTTCTCCAGTTCATTGATAATACTTATTGAGCTTGTATGGGTCAGAGTCACCTGCCTCTGGATCTTCATGGTCATGGGAGATGCTTTCATCATCCCTGATTTGCAACAAAGGCATCTGAGGCTCAGAGAGGTTAAGGAAAGGTCCAATGTCACATAGCTAGTAACAAAGCAAAGCAGATGTCTGAAGTCAAGGATTCTGACACCCTTCCATCCACACACATTTCACAGTTGTGCTGGAGCCAAATAAAAGCTCTGATTGAATACGTCACAGGTAGCTTGCCAAGCTTTGCCTTCACTTCCCTGTCAGGCAACTGTCACCGATCTGCAGCACAGGGACCCAGGCTGACCCAACTTCAGCCCCTGAGGGAACCTGCCAGAAAGGAACACTCAAACCATTCGGAAGTGCAACTAGCCCCACAAAAGAGCCCCTTTGTCAAAGGAAAACCTCCCCAGCCTCAGTTTTTCGGCATTTACAGACCCGAGGAATTTTGTCTTATCAGGTAATGGAATTGTTTTTAGTGGCAAGAATGAGCTCATTACGGATGCAGCTTGTGCTAATAATGATAATTTGCTGCACAGTTAAAATCACCTCTGTACCTCCCTCCCCGACAGACGACGGTCTAGAAATTACAGGCTATGCAGAAAGAGAAAAGATCAAGATTAAGGAAAAGAATTGTAGCACGGAACTGCTTCAACAAAAGGAGTTACTGGTGTGCATGCTGAACTGGGTGATCTTAATCATGGAAGATGCAGGAGAATTAGATCCTATTAAACAGTGTTCTTAATTGCCTTTAGTCAAATGGGTTACTTCTGTCATCGGGTTGTTGCTTTTTTCTTGGTTTTAACAGCTCGAGCCCTATGAATCAGTGCCAAGGACTGATGCCCAGTAAGAGCTAGAGGAAATGAAGGCAGTCCATCCTATCCTGTTCTCCTTAAGTTTATGCACAATCACCAGCGCTCAGAGCAGCCAATACCTTGCGGGTTGGGAGATTAGCTAATAGACCTGGCCTGGGTCTCCTGGGACCTCAGAGTCACATTCCCCATTAAAGACCAGGAAAGACACTCAGAGGGCTCATGGTGCATGGCTGGAGCCCTAGGCTTCACATGCTACCCCAAGCTCTAGCAGGATTCCCCCTGGAGCATCGTCAGTTGTGACCTCAGCCCCTCAGCCCCGCCAAAAGCAGCTAGAAAAACTCCTCACTAGTCACTGAGCTTTCGCTCTGCTCTGCCCTTCGGATGGAGGCAGAGAGGGGTGTGGTTCCCCCCCCCCCCGTTGAATATTCAAATCTCCAAAAGATTAGAATTTCTTTGAATCTATTAAGGATTTTAGCCAGAACATCTGTTCCTGATTATGACAGGAAGGCTGGCTGATTGTGGAAAACTGGGGGGAAACACACACACACACACACACACACACACACACACACACACACACACACATATGCACACACGCATATAAAAATGACCACCACCGAATAGTGGTCATGCCGATGCCAGCTGTGAGCAGAGGCTGTGGGAGTATTTGCTGCTGTGGTTTCCTGTCCTGTTCTCCATGTGATGAATATATTAGGAAGATCCGCCCTATCCCAACTACTTTTAAATTCTAGGATGTCCTGTAATCCCAATTGCCCTGGGATTCGGTGTGTGGTTTCCTTCGCTGGCTTTCTGGTAAAACCTGTGGATCTTTCCTCAGAATTATGTGCTGGGGGCATTACTCTCCTTAAGTAAATACATGAGATTATAGAAGCACCTAGTGATAGTGAAAGAGTATCAAAATATTGAAGAAACAAATCTGTAAACTAATTTATTCATACACAGAATAACAATACCTCACGGGAGAGAGTTGCTCTCGCCTGATTCCAATAAAAAAGTGTTGACCCACATCAGCGTTATCTAAGTCCGAGGATTTGAAAAATGTCTATGATTCCTGTGGGGCTCAGTGACAGGAATAGCTGGGGGTTATGTCAGTATCCATAAATGGGTGAAATACAGCACCCCACCCCCAGCCTCAGAGCTCAAACAACATTTTCCTCATCAAAGTTGACCAATCTCCTGTTTTCGGCATTCAGAATGTTCCAGTCTATAGACATCCTGTGGGGAAATCTCCCAGCTGTGGGAAATCTCCAGCAGCCACTGCGGCAGTTTGGGGCTTTGCACATAGCACAGCAATCTCAAGATTCCAGACGAGTCTCTGGGGTTTGTCTAAGTGATAATGGTGGCAAGGGAGGTTAGAGAGGGATCCTGTCAGTGACAGGAGGGGGTCACCCAGTGCTGTGGGTTCCTGACGTCCACCCCCATAAGATACCCTGCATCCAAATTCCCATCACCTTAGACCTTAGATTTAAATCACGGTCTCTGCAGGTGTCGTGTCAAGGTTCAGATGAGGCCACACCAGAGAAGGATGGGAGCTAATCCACATAGCAAGTGTCCTTTAAAGAAGATGACACGGAGGGGACAACAGGGAAGTTATAGAGATGGGAAGTACATGCTCAGGACCTCTGGGGATTCTCAGTGAGTTCCAGGGGCTCAGGGGATGAGGCCCCATAGGTGGCAGAGGGAGCCTGGCCCTGTTAACCGCTGGACTGTGAACTCCCAGTCTCCAATCCCCACAGGACCATCCACTTTATTCTCTGTCACTCCTCCTGTTTTGTGATGCTGAGCGTTGACTGCCCTCCCTACATCCCCCCCAAATAGAAACAAAGAGAGCTGGGCTTTCCTGGATACTGGGGTTCCAAGAGCCACAGGCAGGGAGGGCTGGTTCTGTATCCCCAGAGGCTGTTGGCCCAAATAGGGACTGATCCACTGTTAGGGAGCTGGCCAGGATTTCAATGAGCGCCTGTCAGGGACACATGGTTATATTTAGGTGGAGAGGGGTAAGAAGGATACCCCTGCTCAGACCCCCATCCAGGACAACATAACCAGGCAAAAACACCACTCAGAAGCCGCCAGCTAATAAGTTTCCTTTTTAATCCCACATGACAAGAAATAGTCTCAATCATGAACAGCACGCCATGGCCGACCCGTCATGGCAGGCAGACGCTGAAACCTCCCGAAGGCCTTGTCGGAGTGCTGGGTGCTGCTGGGGCTCAGATTTGGGCGCCCCTTAAGGCCGCCTCTGCGGGAGGCAGTGCATGCTCCCAGCCCTCAGAGGGCTTGGGCGAAGGCAAAGGCTTGAGGTGGATCCTCCGACTGCAGGAAATGCTGGGCCTCAGAGAAAAGCCATCCATCCCCAGACTGCAGCCCTCCCGGGGAGCCCTTCCCAGGGGGTAAACGCTGCTACCTGGAAGAGAAATGAACCTCCCAGTTCATGGTGCAGGTAGAGACCGACCTCCAACATCCCCTCCCCTCTTCCAAGGGGACAGAAAGGAGTGCAAGCCCCCCTCCCCCCTTACTTGGGACAGAGAAATTCGGATCATCTGGCAACATGTCATCATGTGGCAAGACCTTGCGGACAGGACCAGGAGGCTCCTGTTTTGACTTAACTCCGTAGATCCTAAAGAAGCAGAGAAGACACATTACCCCCATACTAATGAGGCCAAGGAGGACTATGGTTCCTGCAGGACCTGGGTGTGCAGTCGGCTTCTCTCAGATCCTCACAAACTAGTCTGAAGGTAAGGGTTCTGGTTTCCATTACACAGAGGGGGAAACTGAGGCACCAAAGTATTCCCCTAATCCTCCTCCCTTCCCCCCGCCCCCAGCAACCAGGGCACTGCCCTACCCTTCTCCCATGTTACTCTTTGGACAGGTGTCTGTTGCAAATCAGAAAAGGCCACCAATGGGGCTGGAGCGATAGCACAGCAAGTAGGGTGTTTGCCTTGCATGCGGTCAAGCCGGGTTTGATTCCCAGCATCCCATATGGTCCCCTGAGCACCACCAGGAGTAATTCCTGAGTGCAGAGTCAGGAGTAACTTTTGTGCATCACCGGGTGTGGCCCCAAAAGAAAAGATAAAAAAGAAAGAAAAAGGCCACCAAAGGCAGGGGGGCAAGGACAAGGGAGAACAGAGGGGAAACCCCAGAATCATGGAGCAGCCATGGCCATGGCCCCTGCAGCACTCACTCCTCGTAGGGTTTCTGGTGCCCACGCTTGGCTCGCTCTAATACGTCCATGAAGTCCCGGTAGCAGTTCCTCGCCATAACTGTGTAGCGCACGGAGCATCCCAGCTCCGTGACCTTGGCCCTCGGCAGGTAGCCAGCCCAGCCTGGGATGGGGGGCTCGCACAGGGGTTTCTTTATGTGTTTGATCTCTGTGAAGAAAGATCCAGCCTTTCTGAGGGCTCCAAGATGTCACACGGTGGACACTGTGCCCAGTTACAGGGGAAGACAGTGGTTAGCCAGGGGAACCCTGAGGCTTCTACAGCTGGGGGGGTTGATGCTACACACCAGATATACCAGCTACCCATACAATCCCTCACTTAAGTTTTTGACAAACACCAAGAATTGGGTACCATTATTCCTATCGCTTTAGGGAAGGAAACATTCTCAGACACCAAGAGGACTGGAAAAATGGCCCCATGGATGAGCACATGCACATAGCATGTTGGAGGCCTGGCCAGGTCTGATCCCCAGCACTGCACCATCTCCCACCCCTAAGCATTGCTGGGAGTGACTACAAACTTGGGGTACTAGCGGTAATCCTATTTGGGGATAACCAAGTGTGGCCACAAAAACAAAAATAAAAGCTCAAAGAGACTTGGGGACCACTGGTATTAGTGGTAGGGCACCTGCCTTACATAAGGAAGCCAGGAAGTCTGGGCCAGAGGGGGGGAGAGAGAAGGAGGGGGAGAGAGAAAGAGGAGAGAGATAGAGATAGAGGGAGAGAGAGGGAGAGAGATAAAGAGAGAAAGAGAGGGAGAGGGAGATATAGAGAAAGACGGATAAGGAGGGGGAGAAGGAGAGGGAGGGAGAGGAAGAGAGAAGAAGAGAGGGAGAGAGAGAGGGAAAGAGGGAGAGGAGGAGAGAGAGAGGGAAAGAAGGAGAGAGAGAGCGAGGAGGAGGAGGAGGAGGAGGAGGAGGAGGAGGAGGAGGAGGAGGAGGAGGAGATCTAAGTTCATATAGCAAGGCCACTGTTGTCTGATTCCCAAACCTCTTCGACACAGGGAATCAGGAGAAGCTCCCACAGTAGGAGAAAAAACACCACCAGCAGGATCCTTTCTGCTTGCATTAAGGACTCTGGATAGCTCCCATGGGCCAGAGGAAACCTTTCTGCTCTGTGCATCCTTTCAGTTGCTGGAACAATCAAATCAGGCCCCTCAGACCGAGCACTTCAGCATGGGATCGTCCGAGGGGTCACCCAGTCCATTGCTCCCTATCTTGACTGATGCACAGAAAGAGATAACAACCTGCCGTGGATAACACAGCGAGTAGGCTAGTCCCGCTGACCTAAATCCTAATGGCTAAGGCAAATGTTCCTTGCAGTGACTTGGGATCTTTGTTTGGTCCCTGAGATGCAGGGAAAGGTGTCTTTCGTTGTGAGCTGTGCATTCTTCTATGGCTCAGGGCCCTGCTTCCTGGGGCTTGGGAACTGGGCATTGGTCTGTGCTCCCAGACACAGCTCCACTGGACTCCAGGACCAGGGGAAGGGGTTGGTACCCAGGCTCAGCGGGTGGTACTTCTGGTAGTACTGATACAGCACTCCCAGGAGCGTCTTCTCTGAGCAGATGGGCTTCAGCGGCGGGACCGCGGCCACTTCGGCGTGCAGTTCCCTCTGCCGCTCCTTTTTCTCCCGCGTGATCTCCCGGAAGGTCTGCAGACAGTGGGACATGTTGTCCTCATCGGTGATGCCCTCGCAGCTAAGGTAGGGCACGAAACCTGCGGGGCAGACACCATCACAGCCCTCAGGGAGCAGCTCAGAGCTTGCCAACCTCCCCGACCTTAAGCCCTCCAGCATCCCAACCCACTACCTTGGCACTTCTGCCTTCACCAACAACACTGCAATTCCCCACAGGCCATTAATACAAGCGACACTGCTGTTTTCACAGTGGCCTCGGCCTCCCAAGGCTGCCAAGAAATGACCTTGGAGCTGGAAACGGAAAGCTGGGGAACAAAGGCAATGCCCATAGTGTTCTTTGATAGCAGAGGCCCTGATGTCAGCCCGCACAGCGAAATGGGGCGCGCGCTTAATGGGCCCAAATGACAGTCTGAGGAGTAATTGAAATTATTCATCTTTTGAGAGAGAAAGCTTATTTTCCTTGACACTTCCCAAATGCAATTTGGGATCTTTCTTGTCGGACCATAGGAAATTGCGGGCTTATTAAAAGCCGAGACCTATTACCCAAAAAGGTAAATTCATTATCTGCAAGACCCACCCCCCCAGAACAATTTTTCACCATTTCCCACAAAATAACATATAATCATTACAATTAGTGTGGGTAAAACACAACTATTTATTTAAAGTGCGAGCTGAATCCCTCAGTACTAGAATGTTGTCACAATAGCGTCCTTTCATAACGATAAATAAGGACAAACTGGTTACAAACATCAAGCTGAAAAATAAATGAACGAATGACTCATGATTGAAGTCCTTTGTCTCTAGGTCAAGAAAACCTGGTTCCGGGGTTGGAGTGATAGTATAGTGGGTAGGGTGTTTGCCTTGCATGTGGCCGACCCGGGTTCAATTCTCAGCATCCCATATGGTCCCCCGAGCACCACCAGGAGTAATTCCTGAGGCAAAGCCAGGAGTAACCCCTGTGCATCAGCGGACCCAAAAAGAAAAGAAAAAAAAATCTGGTTCTTCAGCCCTGCTGCAACACATGTGCAAGGCCCTGGATTTGAGACCTAGGATTACATGATACCCCCCCCCCCACCCAAGCACCAATGGGCTCCAGAGTCTCCCACCCCCACCCCACAGTACCACTGGACCCAAGTCCCATTGCACTGTTAGACCAGGTATCATCTGGAGTGGCCCCTGGGCCCTTTTTGAGTCCTGTTCGGGGGCCCCTTACCCCCGCCTTAAAATCTGACTTCAGAATTGAAATCAGGACGTTCACCCCCACCACCGTGCCCTGACTCCCTGCCACTTTGGGCAAATGCAAATCCCGAGACTGGAGAGACAGCTCAATGGGCTGAGTGCACGCTCTGCAGGTCAGAGGCATGGTTCAATCCCCTATCCCACAGGGTCCCCTTGAGCACCATCAGGAATGACCTCCAGACTCACAAGGGAGGTCCCCAACCCAACAACAATGTAAAATATAATTATTTGACCCTTCCTTGATTTCTACCCACCATCTCTCCTCAATATTTAAGCACCAATGATACCTCAGTGCTGTCGGGGAAACAGTATAAATGTGAGGGTCCAGTCAAAGTGCATGCGCCCACATCTGGACCCCTCTGGTCTGCAGAGACTTCATAAAACTGTGTGCACACACTTGTGTGTGCACTGGGGAATGTCACCTTTCCTGAGGCTTGGGAAAGGTCGAAACGTTTTCGGTAAGCATAGATGCTAAACCCTGACTCCTCGCCTCAAGCAACCGATGAGCAAGTCCTCCTTTGCCTCTAGAGTGGGTTTGCCTAGAGAGTGGCCCCAGAGTTGGGACCAAGTCCTATGCCCCAGTCCCTGTTAATGTGACCTTACCTGGAATCGGGAGCTTTGCAGCTATAACTAAGGAACACCCTGGACTAGACCCAAGAGAAAGGGAGGGAGGCTTGAAGTGGGCAGAGGGTAATGTGAAAGGCGAAGATGGGGCCTTGCCCAGAGCTTTCAGGTGGTGCGTGGCCCTGGCCCTGCCAACAGCTTGATTCAGACACAGCGCCTCCCAATTGGTGAGAGGCTGCGTTTGCAACAGCCGGAGGAACAAGTGTCCTGCTTTTATAGACATTCTCCCATACCACGGAAAAGTAAATGACTTACAATGACTTGGCAGGGATTGGTGTTGTCATCTGCTAGAAGTCAAAACTGGTGCTCGAGGCCAACCAAGGAGCAGCGTGAGGCTGGACACTTTCAAACTCCCCCCTGCACCCATATATATAAGGTCAGGCCACGGGCCTCCAGGCACTACTGGGTTTGTGAGCTTTACTCCTTGTGTCTAAGCTCTGGAAGTGTCTTAAAAGCTAGAGTCCCTGCACTGGTCTAGTCAGATGGCATAAGCAGTGTGGCCTAGACAGGGATAGTGAGCAGGATCTTGGGCCTCCTGCAGGGCACCTGACCACTTACCACTGTAGCCTGGTGTGACCGGCAGTTTGACCATGAAGACCTTAGACTCCATGTTTTTGCTCCCTGGGAATAGAGGGAAGGGAAAATAAAACAGATTCACTGCAATGTGCCGGCAAAGATCTCACTATGTGGGTGCGACAGTCCTTGGGAACAGGAGGACCTTGCCTGGGAACTGGCATGAAGTAGTGGCATCACCACCAGGGACAAAAATGACAGCTACAGCTGGCCTCATGTGTGCAACCATCTGAGCTGACCAGTCCGCTGGGAGGAAGCCTCACCTTTATGTGAACTTAGGCAACAGGAATGAAGATAGGCCAGCCCATGGACCTTTCCAAACCCTTCCTCAACATCCTCCTCCCATCCACTCAACCTTCCGTCCATCTACCATACAATTCTCCATCCACCCATTCATCCACCCAGCCATCCTTCCATCCTTCCATTCAATCTTCGATCCATCCAATCGTTCATGCCTGCATGCATGCATGCATCCATCCATCCATCCATCCTCCATCCATCCAATCTTCCATCCATCCAATCTTCCATCATTCATCTGCCCATCCATCCATTCATCTAATGTTCCATCCAATCTTCCTTCCATCCATCCTAAACACACACTGATGCCTCCCAATGTGACAGAGATTAGGAGTATGAAAAGAAGCAAGACTGGGAGCACCCAGGTAAGAACAAATTATCTTAGGGGAGAGGGAAGGGGAGGTGCCCCAGCCCCAGAGCCTGTCTTTTTTGGTAGAGTAGTCCAGGATGCAGTGGCAGTTTTGTGACTCCCACTCCCCCCACGCTGTTTGCTGCTCTTTTCCTCCGACTCTCACTTGCTGGACGAGCAGTGGTGGCAACTGTGGCTGTCCCAAGTGGTCATGCTACAGGCATTTAAAGAGAGGCCATGAATGCTGGGGAATACACCAAGGGGTGGTGCCAACAACAAAAGGAGCCTTCTGGCTGGCAGAGACCAGAAGACCCCAAAAGCCCCCCCAGAGCAGGCAGCTATGTGGAGGCTGAGTGGCAGTGAGGCGTCTGGCGAGGCTCGGGGGTCAGTTTCACGTCTACCACCCTGGAGAGGAGGATGGTCCCAGCTGGAAAGGGGGACCCAGGCAGTGGGACTGGGGCCAGGCTGGACTGCATTCTGGTGAAATCCTCACTGCCACACTCTTAGAGACAAGAAAAAGAAGGTGTGGGGGTTAGCGCCCTTTCTGGGGCAGGGTGGTGGTCTCCAAGGGCCGGAGCTCAGACTTTGCAGGCTCGTGCTTCCACCTCCACACAGTCTGCCCCCCACCCCCCACTCCAAATAAAGGTGCTTGAAGGCTCTCGCGCCCAGAGTCTGAGGGGCGGGGCTTTGCTGCCTACAAGGGTGTGGTGGGGATGGGAGCAGTGTCCAGCGGGCAGTAGGCTGGTGGGGGCAGCCCTCAAGTAGGGGGTGGGCCCGACAGCTGCACCTGGAGGCCTGCCTGGAAGCGGAAGCGGCAGAAGGAAGGAGCCGAAAGCCTTGATGTGCTGGCCGTGAGGGCCAGCAAGGGGCTAGAGAGCTCCTACTCAGCGTGGGATTGTGGGTCCCTCTCGCCCCAGCCCTCAGTCTCTCACCTGGGTCCACCATGGTCACTGGATCCGGCTGTGCCTCCTGGCCACACACTGTCTTGCCTCTTCCAGCCTCAGGCCTTTGTGAGCTCAGCAGCCCTAGAAGGCCGGGTGGGGGCGGGGCCTGTGGACCAGGGGCGGGGCCTTCAGAGTGGGGCCGGGCCTATGGGGGTGGGGCGGGGCTTGAGGAGTGAGGGCGGGGCAAGGGCCGGGACTGCAGGGCCAGAGCTGCCATAACCACACCTGCTCCCACAGGGGCTCCTTCTGAGCATCTTTCCTCCCACTCAGAGCTGAGCCCCGCAGGGGCAGGGAAACCCATCCCTGAGTCCTCTAGTGAAATCCAGACTTCTGTCCAACAAATATTTGACCTTCAAATCTCTTCTGGGGAGAGTCTCCCCAAGTTATCCCAAGCCACCCTTCTCCCCTGTGGTCACTGGGGCCTCATTCCTGGAGGTCTGGGGGCGGGAAAAGAAGAGGTTAGGGTGGAGGTAACAGGACCGCTTGGGGCAAGGGTCAGTGATGGTGCCTGAGCCCACCCCAGAGAGCTGGTCTGCAAAGTGGGAGCCAGGTGGGCTGTGGGGAGGAGCTGGCAGGCCTGACCAAGGCAGCTCACGTTCATGCACCCCTCCACCCCCATCCTGTTTCCGCTTGGGAAGCCCAGTAGGAGACGGGTGTCCCAGTGGCAGGCAACAAGGTGCAGGAAACTCCTACTGCTTCCGGACACCCTTATTCCCCTTATGCACATGCAGAGTCTTGGTCTCTCATTGAAGCCATCTGGAAGCCCACCGTGGAGGCCTCACTTTGCTCCCTGCCACCCTCCCTCTGGGTGCCCCCTTGTCCCCACCCTGTACCCAGTCCTCCAGACTCCTCTACACTCCAGGAACTGAACTTCCATCAAAGGCCAATGCCATCACCTGCTTAGGAACCTATTTACAGTCTCCACTTCAGGTTCCTAGGACCCCGATCTCAGACCACCTGGAAGTTTCTAGAGCCAATGGCGGAAGGTGAGCCAAGTAGTGCCTGGAAGAAAGCCAAGGCTCTAGATGCCATCAGATGCATGCAGGGCACTGGCCCAGCCTTGCCTTCTTGTAAGTGAGCCACGTTGGGTGCTGTGGGGCTGTCAATGGCCTTCTCAGAGCTGGGCAGGGCTTCCTTCTGATTTAGCAGGGGCTGGGATATCCATGAGACCTTGGTTTCTAGTGGGCAAAGGCTCTGTCTGGTTAGATGAAGCTTAAGACAAGAAACTGAACATCCACTGCCCCCCTCACCCTGCCCCCCCCCCCCACACACACTCACCAGAAAGAGAGGAAAGGGCAGGAGGGTAAGAATGCACCCACGAACCCGTCGACAAATTCAGACTGATAAAAATAAAAAAGTCAGGTGCTGGGGCCACATGAGTTCCAAAGTTTTGCTTTATTAGACATCTGTGAAGATGGTTTGCAAATACAATCTTGTCGAGTTGTGAGCTGCGGCGAAGTCCTGTGGAGTTTGGATTTATTTTTGTGGTGAACCCGAGTTGGATGGCTGCTGTTTGTAGGACAGAGCCCATTGTTCCAAAGCAGATGAGAGATGGTGCCGCTGCGGCCAACGTTCCCCCCCGTCATGGAAGCCGCTTTCCCGGCATACACACATGTGCAGCTTGATCTCAGCTATGTCACCTCGACAGTGAGGAGTCTGTTCCTCGGTTAGAATGCAGTTTGACTCCGTGGATAGGGGCGCATGCGACTCTTTGCCACCCTGGCGATTTACCAGACCTGGACTCTAAAAGCTAAACTTGATCTAAGGGACATTCTACGGATAGGACAGGCTCTGTAACCTGGATTTATCTTAGCATCATGCTGTAAAAATCACTGACGTCTCCTCTCTCCTATCTTGCCTGTAACCGGTCAGTCACACAGCGTGCATCGATGCCTGTTTCCCGGAAATGGGACTGCCCGCTGATAGCTGCCAGAGACAGCTGGCGAGTGGTCAAGATAGCAGGTCTTGGAGAAACTGTCTAAGATCAGGAAATGCCTCCAAGTATACTAGTCTGGGGCTTTTACTCTAGACTATTTTCGTGGGGGCAGGAGGGGTGGGGGCAGATGAGGGGTTACCCTTTCAGGAGTTCAACTAGTGGGGCTGCTTCTCTGGCGTCAGAACAAAGTTTAACATCCTTGTTCGCTCTGCCATCATCTATCTGGGGTACTGCAGATGCAACCAGCTCTTTAATACGAAAGGGCAGACCAGGAGACATCCTGAGTGTTGGGGGAAGGGGAGTGAGAAGGGATCATCTTACATTTGCCAATATAGTGGGGAACCTGTTATTCCCACTTCCACCTCATCCAGCAGAAAATCCAACACAGCTAACTTTTTTGCACCCCTTGAGTCCTTCCTATAACCCTGGACTGAAAACATCCCACAGAACAGATCTCTGTCCCATGGCCCCTGCCCAAAGAAAGGTGTGTGTGTGTGTGTGTGCGTGTGTGTGTGTGTGTGTGTGTGTGTGTGTGTGTGTTTTGCCTAGTCCCATTGCTCACCAAACCAGATAGCTTAGTTCTGTAAGACTCACAGGAGAACAGGATGCAGGAGCCGACGCACCCTGCAACAGAGACGGTGACCGTTTGGGGATGAGGCTGGTACGGAGAAGGGTCTGATGGCACTGTGGGCCCAGGGAATCGATTCAGGCACCCCAGTCTGACCACAGGCACCTTGTCTGTTGCTCTGTCTTGCAAACATAGGCCGTAGCTGTAGTTTCGGAACAAATCAATAATGCATGGGCACAAGGAAATGAAGCATGGGAAAGGAAAGGCAGCAACGTCAATGACAGAAACCAAACAGCATTTTCTTCTCTTTTTTTCCCCCCTCAAACAAGAAAAGCACATTGTAGAAATAAGGAATCTGTACAGTATTCTAGTATCGTATGTACATAAAATTATAACTAAATTGAAAAGTCTTATTTGGAGTTTATGGCTGGCAACGTCAAAGAAAGACCCCTAACACGTAGCTTTGGAAGCCGAGTGGGCAGAAAAAGAACCCCTGCAAGTAGACTATGAGGCGAATCGCCTTGACTCTAGTTCTGTGGTTGGTTTGAATTTTACATTCAGGGGAGGGGATTCTGCAGCCGGCGATGTGAAAAAGAAGGTGAGGCTGAGTGTGGAAATGCTATTTAAAATCTGCCTAGATCAGGTGTGTGAGTCCAACTGGCACTGGAATTTGCTCCTCATCTGCCTGGCTCCAGTGATTTACAATCACCGAGCTCCGGCAGGTGGGAACCAGGGGAAACGGGCCATGAGTGAAGAGTCCTTATCCCCACTTGGTTTCTGGACAGTGGAGAAGCCCAGCTTTGCACAGGGTCGGGGAGGGAAGGAGGAACACAGGTCCCACAGTTGGCACCACGGGCCCGCAGTTGGCACCTCAGTTGGCCAGCCCAGGGCTTAGGGAAGTATTTGTTCCAGCCTTTTCCTCCTTGGGTTCTTCCCAGAGGGCCATCCTGAGTCCCACTCACAAGAGGGCAGGATGCGGGTGGATCGTGGTCTTCCAGGGGACTGTAGGCCCAGGTCTGTGTCGAGGCCTACACACCCAAATTTCAGCTCAACCCATTCCCCTGTGGCAGATTGTGGCCTCCACTCCTGGACTTAAATGTGGTTCATGAAAGGGTCCAGGAACCTGTTTGTTACAAGAGCTGAAAATTCTCAGGCAGGGAGCGATCTTCACTTTTCTATTCAACTTGTAGGAATGTAACATTCAAATGCAGCATTTCCTATGACATTCTCTGCCCACCTACCACTGAAGTCTCACTTTTAAGATGTGGGAATCAATGGCCACAATACTCAGGGAGAGAGCATGGGCAGGGGTGAGGCGTTTCGCTGAAAATAAATACGGTTTTGCAGGGAAGGGGCAGGAGGGCCTCCTCGGCCTGGGTCTGGGAACAAGGAATCGTTGCAAGCTCCTTGGGTCATGCAGAGCCCTGCGCAAGCCAACGAGAGTGGCCTGTGAATTCTCACATCTGGATTTGGCATTTTGGAATTATATCAGCATAAAAGGGTGCCAGGAGCCTCTGACGTTGACATGGGCACTATAATCTGTGTTAGGCCACTTGCAGTGTGAGGGGCTGGTGGCATGGGCCAGCGTCCATGTGTTAACATCCGGCTCCATCCTCGCAAGGTCATGGCTAGTCTTCACTGCCTCCCACCAGGGAGTTCTCCAGTGAGAGCCTAAAACAGAGCCCTGGGCAGGCAGTTAATTTATCCTTACCAGCTAAAAATCGCTCCCAATTCCCACCGAATCACCACTGCTCATCCTATGATGTGGAAAAGAACTGCAGATGGGTGGCCCCTGATACTGGCTATCATGAAATTTAAAAAAGAAGAAAAAAGGCTCAAAGAGTTAAAGAAGCTCAAAGATTTCATTTCCAATCCAGGAAGGAAGATCTCCTACCCGAGGTTTGCTGGAAGCCGGCTTCATCCCCGCTGGAGGAAAGCTGATTCCCTTTGTCGGGATTTCACCCCTAGAGCCCTAAAAAAAACACCTGCCTTCCTGGGACCCTTAAATATTTCTACTCTCAAACCTCTGTCTTCAGCTCCAGTGGATAATTGACACCCTCCTGCCCTCCCAGGTCCCCCATCATTTCTCTCCCCGATGGTTCTCTCCCTCCCTGGTGAAATTTTGGAGAGGGCCAAGGCCAGGGTCAAGGGCAGGTTTAGAAGAAAAAAAAGAGTCTGGATTGAAGGGTGTGAGGGAGATGCAGGAGAGCACAGTCCTGGGAGGGGAGACTCCCCCCGTTAGTAATTTAAGAAATCGATCCCGACCTTGACACTCTTGGAGGTGGCGATGTCGATGGCCGTGGCCTTGATCTCCGTGTCCCCGAACTGCATGAGGGTCTGGATCTCCCTGCGGGCGGGCACGGCGGGGCCGCCGGTGCCCGTGAGATCCAGGCGGAGGGTGCCGCACTTCTTCACGCCCGGGTCGGTGATGAAGCTCACCTGGTCGCGCTCGGCGCTGTAGATGTTGATGATGATGAGCAGCTGCGAGGGCTTGGCGGGCGTGTAGCTGCGCTTGACCAGCTCGCCCAGCGCCACGGACTGGTCAGCCGAGATGAACTTGTCGAAGACGTCGGTGCACCAGCGCGTGCCGTCCTTGACCAGCAGCTTCTCGGGCGGGTGCTTGCCCTCCACGTAGCGGTTCAGCACGCCCACCCCGTAGGTGAGCGGCGAGCGGCGCACCTTGATGACCGCGGGGTCCAGGCCGAAGAGCACGGCGCCCTTGAGGATGGTGAGGCCCACGTCCTGCGGGATGATCACGCGGCACTGGTCCCCAAAGGCTGTCTGCACCGCCTGCTGCAGCAGCGGCGCCTCTGCGAAGCCCCCCACCAGGAAGAGGAACTTGACCGTGGCCACCTCCGGCTTCTGGAACAGGTCCCCTGCAAGGAGAGACGGGGCGGGATTACAGTGCCCATCACTGCCGGCCTGGGGTGGCGGACGGCGTGGCCCATACCCCTGTGAAGGACCGGGAAGGGGGAGGGTTGCACACCCACCAGCCTCAGAAATGCAAAGTGAAGCGGCCACAAGGAGCCCGTCTCCCCACAGAGGGACGCTGTTCTAGACAGCTTCAAGCAAGTCCCGGGAAAGGGATGTCTTCACCCCCACTCTGAGCTGCAGGGTATTAGATGGGTCCCATGGTTTTCATTACAACACCACTCATACCCGTGGGCGTCATCAGGGGAGGGGTACCAAGTAGTTTTGGGTGGGGGTTTCCGCGCCACAGAGGTCTCCCAAGTCTAGACTCCTGAGCTGGCCTCTGTGAGAGCCAGCAAGAAACTGTTGGGTCTCACTCTCCCAGCCCTCTCCAGGCACCCCCTCTTTGCTGTGCACCCCATCTTCCCTTGTCAGTTACAGTTCTCGATTGGCCCTGACCCAGCACAGACTAGGGGGAGCCATCCAGACCTTCTCCTTTGGAGGGCCCCACTCCCACACACACACCTGCCCTCTGCTGCTGGGGCACCAGTCTGGGACTCCTTGTCATGTGTCCCCTGCCAAAGTGACTTTGCACACACTGGTGGGGGAGACTGGAAACAGCCGTCCCCAAGCTGGACTCCAATCCCCCCCCCCACCTGCCCCCATGGATCCCTGGGCCACTCACGAAGATGCTCAATGATGCTATCGATGGTCGGCTTAAAGAGGGCGTTCATGGCATCGGGGCTCATCCTCAGCATGCCCTGCGAGGACCACTTCACAAAATCCACACTGTAGGACCGGGCACAGAAACAAACAAGAGTGTGTCAAGGCAGACCAGTGTGCTGTCCTCCTGCAGGGGGCAGGGGGCACAGGACCGGTGGGCACGGCTTAGAGGACACACTGTAGATATGGCCAGTACAGGGGCTGGAGCAATAGCACAGCAGGTAGGGCATTTTCCTTTCATACCGACCCAACTTCGATTCCCAGCATCCCATATGGTCCCCTGAACACCACCAGGGGTAGTTCCTGAGTGCATGAGCCAGGAGTAACCCCTGTTCATCGCCTGGTGTGACCAAAAATAAAGAAAAAAAAATGCCCAGTACAGCCTGGACAAGGCCCCAAGACAGTAAGAAGTAAAATTAGAACCTTGCCCATTCCTCTGCTCTGTGCTATGGCCAATCCCACTCAGGACAGAGGGGCCAGGCCAAGGGCAAAGAGAAATGGGTGCCATCCAGAGCTCATGGGCTGGAGCTAGCTGGGGGTTGGAGGGATAGCACAGCAGGTAAGGTGTTTGCCTTGCTGCGTCTAACCTGAGTTCAATCCCTGGTATCCTATTGGGTCCCAAAGCACTGCGCACTGCCAGGATTAGCTTCTGAGTTCAGAGCCAGGAGTAACCCCTGAGCATTGCCAGGTGTCACCCCAAAATGAGACCAAAACCAAAAGGAAACAAACAACATGCTCTCTAGGGACAAGAGATTGTTTGCATGTCCTGCTCCCCAATACCACAAGTCCAGGTGCTGCCCATTCTGGTAAGCATGGGTCCCAAGGCTGTGCTGAGCCTAACCCTACCTGGCTTCTCCAGACGTCAAAGGCCCAGTGGTCAAAGCAGCAAAGCTTCCCCATCTACTCTCAAGTTCAAAGGGGACAAGAGAGTGGGGCCGGAGTGATTGCACAGAGGGTATGGCATTTGCCTTGCACGTGGCTGACCCGGGTTCAATCCCCAGCATCCCATATGGTCCCCTGAGCATTGCCAGGAATAATTCCTGAGTGCAAAGCCAGGAGTAACCCCTTAGCATTGCTGGGTGTGACCAAAAAAGGGGGGAGGGGAGAGAGAGACAGAGACAGAGAGAAAGAGAGAGAGAGAGAGAGAGAGAGAGAGAGAGAGAGAGAGAGAGAGAGAGATCATAGGGCTGAGAACAGTTTGGCTTCATCCCCAGTACTGCCTGATCCTCTGTGCATGACCAGGACTAGCCTTGCAGCACCACCAAGTGTGGCCCCCAAACAAACAAAGAAAAGGGGCATCCAACAAAGGCCTCTCTGTCCCTGAGCAAACACCCTACCTGCTGTACTACACACGCCCTACACACAGCCACATCTTCCAGAAACAGACTCCACCTGCCATCAGCTCTACCCGGGGGTTGCTGCTGAAGGACAATGGGGGGAAGGGGGCATGGGATACCCCAGGGTGGATGGTGACCCCTTCCCACTTCAGGAGAAAGGTGGGCAGGGTTCAGCCCCTGCTGCCAGGACATGCAATCCAGCTGGGAGCACTGCCCTAGGCAGGGAGCAATGTGCCCAGCATGCAGCTGATCTGGCGGTGTCTGGTTCGGACCCACTCCCAGAGCAGGAAGACCCAAAGTCCGGTCTACCTTGTTCCCCAGAAGACACAAAAGAGCCACCCTGTCAGCTCACACTGAGGGATGGAGGTTCCTGCTCAGGCAGAAAAGGTACCAGAGCTGGGAGCATCTCTAGAGGGCAAAGGGCATGAAGGGGAAGCAGGAGCTGGCTTTAGGAGGAGCCACTGGACCTGAAGGGACAGCGTAAACATCAGGAAGTCCATGACCACTGTGGCTTAAAGTACATCCACAATGCTCTGGCTTATGGGCTGTTTGGGGGGGGAGGGTGCCTTCAAGCAGTGCTCAGGGGGTTCAGTGTGTGTGGGCAGGTACTTCCTGAGACATTCAGCCAATCAGCTCTGATGGTTCCATGTAGGACCAGAAGGGGACCAACAGGCCCATTCCTGCAGAGCTGGGGTGGGGAGGGGGTACCAGGTTACAGCCCTCTGTGCTCATGGGACCCGGAGAGGCAGATTGGATTCATGTCCTTCCTATGTAAAACAAGTACCTCAAAACTAGCCCCTGTTCAAATTTATGGATTCTTAGGAGCTCCTAAGTCCCAACAAGAGAAAAATCATAAATTTTAAACATAGTAGCTATGTGAGAATGGCAAGAGATGGGCTCCCTTTTCAAAAAGAAAAGAAAATAGGGGCCAGAGACACAGTACAGAGGTAAGTACATAGTTGCATGCAGCCAACCTTGGTTCAACCCTTAACACCACGCATGGTCCTCTGAACACCACCAGAAGTGATCCCCAAGCACACAACCAGAAGTAACCCCTGAGTACTACTGCGTGTACCTCCCCACACCTAAAAAAATTTTTTTAAACCCAACTATTAAACAAAGGGGAACAAACCATGCATTTTTTCCCCTGTCTTTCGTATGTGGGCTGGTGTGCACAGAACATCCACACGCTGAGAAGTTTCTCTCAACAGCACTGCAGCTACTCGGGGGAGGGACGGGCTAAAGTGCGAGTGACGGGCCACACCTTGAATCAGCGAATCCATTAACTGCTCAATGAATCAGTTCATGAATCATGAATTAATTAACAAAGGCATAGACACACTGGCTGGTTGCGACACGTGGCGGAAGCCACTGGCACAACGTCTGTGTCCCCAGGGAGAGGGGAAGGGAAACCCTAGCACGGTGAGGGAAATGTGCCAAGAACCCCCTCCAGGATGGAATTAAACCTCTAGATCCACAGCCAGGTACAGAATTGCCCCGGGAAGGGGGAGCAACTCACTGCACATGCAAGAATCGACCCTCTCCCTGTGTGCCTCCCCCAACACACACACACACACACACACACACATTTACTCACTCACTGCACATGGGGGGAACCGAATCCACACAGCAGTAATTCCTCAGCAACAAACACTAACAAGGAGGGGCCCCACATGAAGGGGGCCCCTGGGCATGACAAACTGGGGCTGTCTATACCTCCCCATCTGGCTGCTCATGCAAACTGGTGAGTAAGGGAAGGAGCATGAATATTGGGGGGATTTTTTTTGGACCACACCCTGGCAATGCTCTGGGGCTACACCTGGCAATGTGCTTGGGGGTCCCTCCCAGTGGTGCTCAGGCGGACTGAACCAGGTCTCTCCTGAACCTGCTGAGCTGTCTGTCTGGCTCCTGGAACATTTTTGGAGTGGTACATGTGCCATATTGTGGGGCTCAGAGGCTGTTTCTGGCTCAGTGATTGTTGGGCTGTTCTCAGTGGGGCTCAAAGGACCCTGAATTCAGATGACTGAATCTCCATCTCCTGCCTGCAAATATGTGCTCCAGACTTATCCCTATGGCTTAGAGGAAAAAAAAAAAAAACCTTACATTAACTGGCTCTCGAAGATACTGCAGAAGTGTAAGTGTGATAACAGCACCGTGGTTTTGATTTTACGTGTGTTTCCTTTCGCGTGCCATACTGACATGTTTATGGATTAGATGATAATCTAGCTGAGATTTGCTTTCAGAGAGTGGGGGGAGGGTGGGGAAGGATTTAGGCTGCAACTGACACTTGCTGAAGCTAGATAATGAGGCTCTTTTGACACCGCGAATGTGTGAAATTTTCCACGATAAAAAGGTGTTCGGAAACCTATGATTTTTGTCTATTATTTTTAATGCAGCTTTAAAACATCTTCCACATACATTCATTTTGTAACAAGCTGAGCTAGTAACATTTGCCTGCAGTCAGGAGACTCAGAATGGGGGTGAGAAGTGAGGGTGGGAACCCAGGCTCCCAATAAATCCATTCATCAAACATTGGCTGAAAAGGCACCAGCTTCTCCTACAGACAGGAGGGAGTCAGCAGTGACCAAAGGTTTGCTCAAACTTTCCAGCTTTCACCAACTTTCAGAGCAGAGGTTGGAATGGTTAACACAATACTTTCCAGAACCCAGGTACCTGGCTAAGCACTTAAGATACATGAATCTGTTTCACCCTAAAAGAGCGCCCTTAGGGCAAGTAAAACTGGCACCTGCATTTTTCAATTAAAAAAAAATGAGCATCAAAGAAGTTAAGTTACTTCAAAAGGTCACACAGCAAGTGCGTAGAGTTGGTACCCTGAATCCACAGTCCTTTCCTCCATCCCCCAAACTCTCCATCTCCCAGAATGTCTTGAGTGATGGGGAGCCATACTCACTTGCTTTTCCTCAAGGCATGTTCGACGCTGTGACCCCGGAACTTCTTGTAGTAGTCAATGAAGGAGAAGGGCAGGGTGATGTTTAGGGGGTTGGTCCGGTCTGGGGCAGCCGCCCTCTTGCGAGACTCAAACGCGATCATTAAGTCAACCCATGCTGCAGGACGCTTGATCTTGAACTGTTCGATAAAATCCTCTCCAAATATCTTACACAGGAGTTTTTCAAACTCATAATCTACTCCCAAGGATCCATAGGGACCACCTGAATCAGGAAAAAAACACGGGGATCTGTTAGAACCCATTAGAGGGGCCTGAGAGATCACATAGGGCTTAAGGTGACTGCACTGTGTGTGGCTGCCGAGGCTGGCTCCCTATCACTGCAAGGTCCCCCAAGCACCCCTTGGTATGGCCCTTGGAGGTTCCCCGAGCACCAGCGAAGTGCCCTGGTTAATCTCTAGCACCATGGGCTGAAGTTGCACCACTGGCCCGGTCAGCCAAAAGTCACTAAAAGGGTGTCGGGACCCTCTGCACACTGCTTGGGGGACCCAGTCTGAGGAAGCCCACCTGCCCCAAGTTCCTTTCACTGCTGAGCACACAAAAAAAACACAAGTGCTCAGCACACAGTCCTCAGCCTCAGCATTCACTCACACTGTCCAATGCTTCTGGATTTTTCTTCCATGGGAAGATTTGTTGTCATTGTTGCAAAGATGATTCTTCAACAATGGGTCTACATTCAGTTACCTTTTATGCAAAACCAATGCATGTAACCTACTAGGAACATTCTTGTATGGCCACCCTAGAAAGCCCAGGCCAGGATCTGGGAAACCAGCAGGCCTTGCTCCATCACTGCAGTCCTAACTGGTCCTCTGTGCTCGGGCAATCTGGAGCCTAGCTCAGATGTCTTGGGGCCCCACTGGAGAGATGCACCGTGTTCACTAAGTCGATTAGCCATCAGAGTTCTGACCCCAATGACAAGGCACTGCGGGATAGCACAGGAAGTCCCCTGGCGAGGACCTAAAATGGGCGCACTTGGGGCCAGTCAAAGTGGCAGATACGTGCAGGCCTCAGAGCCCTTTGCTGCGGATGCCAGAAGCTGGTGGCACAGAGAATGGAAATTCAGAAACAATTGAGGAAAACACTCTGGAGGAGGAATGTGCTCACCTGTAGCTTTGTAGAGTTCTTTCAGGTGGCCCTCAGGCAACCGGATCTGATGCACGGTCAGGTCCACAGTGCCACCGCCGCTGTCCACAACCACATACTTGTCACCTAGTACAAAAACAACCATCCTGTACACAGCCCCCCACCCAAAAACAAGCTGGTGTGTGGGGGTTGCTAATTTGGGGTCCCCAGCTAAGCACTACTGCAACTTCTCATTTAAAGCGATGGTTTGGCTGATGAGCCCACACAGAGAGTTATTCATGACTCCAGAAGGCAGCTATGCCTGCCCAGGCATGCAGTTAGCGTGGATGGGAAAGGACCCTGAAGAGGGATCTTGAAGACTCAAGCATTCTGCAGCTCACTGCCACATCCCTGGACATGAGGACAACTTCCTGCCATGGTAAGGAAACCCCAAAATACTGCTGTTGAATGCCAGACAAACTGTAAAACTAGGGGATTCCAACTCCCACCTTTCTCTGGCAGAGTATAACATGGTTTTATAACACGCAACGTTTTAAAAAACCCACGTTTTAAAACATGCTTTAAAACTCACTGACACTGAACATTTTCCAAAAGTGCAAATGGAACAGGAGGTGGTTTTCTTTGGTGTTTTTCCCCCCCAAAAGCAAGCGTGCACACACACACACACACACACACACACACACACACACACACACCCACATTCCAGCAAGTGCAAAGGGCATCTGAACACGCTACCTTCCTCCAGTTCAGACCAGATTTCGCCTATGACATTCTCCACCAAGAAGGTCCGGCTCTGCCGATTGCGCCGTATGTGCTCTTTAGCTAGTGGCCGACAGGAAGGAAAGGACGACGGGTAAGAAAGCACGAAAGAGCCGGCAGTTGCCTGCCAGGAGTGGGAGCAGCAGCGCAAGGAGGTTGAGGGACAGAAGATTTAGAACATTCACAAGGGTCAAAATCATGAAATAAGCACGACTTCGGGAATGACAACCAACGCCTGCACCTCCAGAGACAGCCCTTCCCCCGGCTGTCACTCCATGTCTGTGTGACAGCTCTGTCCTCTGCCCTGCTCGCAAGGCCACCCCAAGGAGAATCTCTCAGTCCTTCCTTTGACACATGGTGGAGAGGGAGGAGTAGGAAGGGTTAATACAACCGGTCCATTTCCCAGCTGTGCTGCCCCGGAGGAAACTGTCTGCAGAACAGTCAGCACTTGATTAAACAGCGGCACTTCAAGGCGCCCTGATACAGGAATGTGGGGTATGTTTTGCTCATCTGGATCCCGGATAAACAAAGGGGTCGGAGCCATTTCCTGGCCCCTGCTAAAGACAGCATAAGCTTCCGCCATCTTCGGCCACAAGGTGGCACCTCTCACCTAGTGGAGCTCACGGCTAAGGGACAACCAGGCTAAGATGCCTGGTTTGCCTGGCACATGGGATTTCATCTCCACGGGCCTCCTCCATAACTCTGGGAAGCAGACAGGGCACAGATAATCGGGCTGGTGTTCTGAAGGCTTCAGAATACAGCGTGACACTTCCCCAAGACACAGCAGATGATAACGAAGGCAAAGCACCAAGTGTGACACTCAGTGCCCAGCCAACGGTCATCACTGTGAACCATCAGAGCTGCCCTTGGGGTTGCAGATGAAAGCACTGTTCCCCGTTCTGCTGCCCAGTGCTCTTGAGTCACTAAAGTCCCACTGCCTCTTGCAGCCAGGGACACGGGGCATACAGGAACAGTCTCCTCTGGGGGCTGGACCGATGAGCCTAAGTAGCAAGTAATTCAGGGTCTGCGGTACAGCAGAGAAGCCAGACCTGGTTACAGGGGTCCTAGGAGGGAACCCTAAACTCAGGACTTCTATCTTGTGGCCATGGGCTCTGGACAAACCTCCAAAGCAGACTCCATGGGGGTCAACAGGGTTTTCTGAAGCAACCCCAAATTAACAAGATATTCTCAGGAGTCTCAGGGGTCTCAGGGGTCGAAGGCACAAAAGCTTATAAATGGGGAGCCAGATCAGGAGGCCACGCCATAGGCTGGGAGGCACAGGAAGGAACATGTCTGGGACTGGAGAGGCAGTACAGCAGGTAAGGTTCTTGCTTTACATGTGGCCAGCCTGGATTCGACCCCTGGCATCCCATTTGGTCCCGAGTATTATCAGAAGTGATTCATGACAGCATAGCCAGGAGTAAACCCTGAGCAACACCAGGTGTGGCCTAAAACACAAACACTAAAAGGAAAAGAACAGATCTGAGGGGCCTGGGTCTGGAAAAGGCTGAAATAGGCAGTTCAAGAGGGCAAAAAAATGGCCACAAACAAAAATGGCCGACTTGGCCTCACTGCACCTCTGTGGGGGTGTGGGTGGGGTGGCCATCTGAGAATCTCAAGACCCCCAAAGACACTCTTATAGCACATTCCACAAAGCACAGGAGATGCTCTCATGCGCTCTCGTGCCAGCCCATCCTGTCTACACCAGTCCTGTCTACACCACAGGGAACAGTGTGGTGTAGAAAGGACTGGTGTAGTCAGGACGGGCTGGCAGGAGAGCACAGTTCTTGAGGATGGCCAGCACCCCCAGACATATCACACCCCTTCCACCATGAGACTTTGCTCCGGAGGATGAAGAAGCGCTCCACTAGAAGCCGCTGATTCGGACATGAATGTTTCATTCTGAACCAGCCAAGGAAGAAGCGACATATTGGACAAAACCCGCGCAGCCCTCTCAATTCCCAGGAAAACCCAAAGGAAGGAGATGAACGGCGGCATGGCAGGCAGGAGATGAAGCCCTAGAGCATGGCCTGCACCTGCAAGGTGGGCACTTCTCCTGCCCAGCACTGCTAGAGAAGGCAAAGCCCACTCAGACTGGAGGGGGGCCCAGCGCCTTTCATTCCAGGGGAGCTGTGAGCAGGGTGCGAGCATGGTGCTGGCAGACTGGCATGACAGCCTGGGGGCTGGGAACTACTGACCAGTGCCCTTCAGGCAGGAATCGCTGCTAAGAATAAGCCTGGACCCCAGTGCCTCAGGGGTGGGCTGGCACAGACATGGGTTTTGATTCGGGACCAGGAAAAAGTTGGGAATGGGGCTGCAGGGAGAAGGAGCAGCCCTGTAGCAGCTTCTGCTCACATCATCCTACATCTCCTGGACCTGGCTGACAGGTGGGCGTCTGTTCCCACAGTGACCCCCACTGGGCCCCACACTCATTCCCGCTGGGACCCAGACCCTGACCTAGAGAGGTTGCAATCTTACTTAGCCAGAATCACAGAACCCTGGATGCCACGGGAAAGAGTTCTGGGGACTAAGACTGCTGGCCATGGGCATGCAGACAAAAAAGCAAAAGAAAAAGCTTCTGTGGAAGCACCCATCCTCGTTCCCCCCAGACCCGCTCTCCTCCTCCCAGCTACACCAGAGTAGGTGTGCGTCCGCGGGTCCTGAAACCAACCCATTCCCTGGGTCCCACGCTGGTTCTGCGACAGTTAAGACACACAATGAGCTCATCACACACCAAGCGGTCCCAGTGAATGAATGAGTCAGTGATAAATCAACAGTCTTAATGGTGGAATTAATCACAAGCACGTGGGATTAGATTAAGACCCAGTTAATAAACAGACGAGATGAAGAGCCCAGTTAAATACAAGGCCAAGGACTGCTCTGGGGCCACCCTGGGGTCCTAGGGGAGAAGCACCCTCCCCCTTAAGGCCATTGCACTCTGATGAACCAGGGGGAACCCCGGCTGAACTTATGGGGGGGAGGGGAGTCCCTGGAGGAAGCAAGAAGGGAGGCTGAGAATAGGGGTGTTTAGAGCCATGGGCATCTGAGTCCTCCATGGCAGCACCCAAGTGCTTCTAAAAAACTGGGGCGGGGGAGGCGGGGCTTCAGGGGAGGGGCGTGGCTATTCTAGGAGAGGGCGTGGCTATAAGGAAGAGGGTGGGGCTCCACGGGAGAGGGCGGGGCTACTGGGGCGGGGCCAGCGCAGGGAGGGGGAAGAGAGAGCAGGAGGTACCCTGTGTAAACCCAGCTCCTACTGTGTCACTGGAGCTGGACCCATTGACGGCAGCCTTGCTGCTCAGCTCGATCATCTGGTGCAGCCGCAGCTTCCGGCAGTAGATAGAGGCGGCCTCGGGCTCCAGGGCGATGATGAGCTGCTCTGAGTTCTCGGGGGAGGCCAGGCCCGCCTGCAAGACAGAAAAGGCAGGGAGGGCTGTAACTCTGTGCTCTGTGAGCAGGCTCACTCAGAAAACGCCCCCACTGGGTACTCCCTCTGCTCCCAAAGAAGGGGGCCATCCAGTCACACTCTGCTGGGTGGGGAAATTCCCTTCATGTACCTACTAGGAACCAAAACCACTGGGTGACAGGGTGCTGGCCCCAAGCCAGGTCTGGCCCCAAGCCAGGTCCCCAAGAAACACTGAGTGAGCCAGGAAAATGTGGGGGTGCACCTAGAAAACGCCAAGCTCTCTCGGCTGCAGGACTGGCTTGACCCATGGTGAGAAACACCAAGCTTGAACTTGGCAGACCACCATAAGCAATGGGCAGGAAGGCATCTATTCCCAGTCCTGAAGGACCACCTAGTCTGAGCATGCTGGAGCCAATGCTCGGTTCTAAGGGCCCAGGAAGTGAACACACCATTTTGGGGTGGGGACACTGTGCTGTGACCTCAGCTTCCCCATGGAAGACTTCAAGCTGTCGTTACTGAGCACCAGGAGGTTCCCGGGAAAGCTCCTCCCACTGACGGGATAGGGAACCCCAGAGGAGACCCCGATTTCTACAACAGCGGCACTTCCTGCCCAAAGTCCTTGCTCCCATACAGTGACAGTTCAAGGAAGCCATGAACTTTGTCTGTGGGGCCCTGTGCAGGCAGGGGACATGGAACACTTCTCCCCTGACACCAAACAACTGTCAAATAGCAGAGGTGCTCCTGGGAAGTGGAGTTCACAAACCAGATGTAGCAAAAGGAACTCAGCACTGACCACCCTCATGAGGCAGACCAGGGCCAGAGGCTAGGGCTGCCAAGTTGATGGGCCAACCCCCACTGACTCAGTTATGGGATGAGACGAGTCCTTACTCCTGTTCCAGGGCTCCCATGGCCCCTCCCTGAGTGTCACTCAAGGGCCACAGCAGAGGCCTTAGGAGAGGGACAGGGCGTTTCAGCACATGGTGAACAGAGATGTAGGGCACACCCAGAACCACATCAGAGCCAGAGGACACCTAAAGTGAAACCAAAAGATCGTTCTCCTGGTTCTCTGCCATCTTCAAGGTTTGCCAATAACCTTCTAGAATCTGACAGGCTTGGCCCCATCACACAGGGTGAAGGCAGAGGAAAATTCTAGCCATGAAGAAATGGCTGCACTGACAGGTTCCAATGCTGAGAACAAATTTGGGGGTACAAGGATACAAAGACTCCCCCCATTCCCTAGGGACTGGCCTGCCCTAGGTCCCATAGAGGGTCACCAGCAGGCTCCCAGATGGTCAGAAAGAGCAACAGGGGCGTGAGCTGAGCTTTGAGGGGGGCTGGGCAGACATGGTGAGAAGCACGATACTTATTCTGGCCTTTACCATCTGACAGCCCCACTCACACCTGGATATGGGCATTCATTAGGGAGTCACACCACACATTCCTGCTCTACTCTGCCTGGGGCGTACTTTAAAATAAACCTGAACAGGCAAGCTGCACCGCAGAAGAATCAGGTTGGACAGGCAGACCGCCCATGTGTACCCCCACTCCCTGCCCATCCCCAGCTGCTTCTCAGCCCCGTACGTAACCAGTTGTGACACTCTGCCTTCTTTGTGCAAGTGCATCAAAATGAAGCGATCTATCAAGATGAGCCTGTGGGCGGTGCCTTTCCTTGAAGTGGGAGCAGGGAGCTCCCTTGGGCTCTGGTGGGTGGTTTGTCCCCAGCACTATTGGCATTTCTTCAATTTGCACCAGCACTAATTTTGGGGCCTGAGCAAGGCACTCCACACCCCATCATGCCCAGAGATCACTCTGATTTAGAGGTGAAACATGCATCCCAAAACAATCTAATTCAGAGGTTTTGAGGAGAAAGAGCCTGGAGCATATAATCATACAGTCTGCAGGGGTGTCCCAGTGCATGCTCACCACCCTGGGGCTAGCCAATAAAGAAGGAGCAGATGTCCCGCTGACCCCCATCTGCAGGGCTACACCCCTTCCAGGTGTCCCTCCTAGCTGGGAGGGTCCCCTCATAGCAAAAGCTCTGACCCTTTTCCATGGAAGGATCTCCTGGTACTCGGGAGAGGGCAGAGAGAGAGCATGGGAAGGACCCAAATGAGAAAGGAGGGACAGGCAGGGTTTGAGAGAACCCTGGGCATGCTCCGGGACACAGGACCAAGAGACCACGCTCTTCCACTTGAACCTGTTGCATTGCCCTCCACAGAAAGAGGGAAGAGCCGCATCCCCATCAGCTCTTCTGAGAGTTCGTTGAGAGACAGAGAAGCAAAGGCAGCGCCATGACAGGATCATGAAGAAGCCAGAAGAAGCTAGGCCTAAGTTTCGGTTCCAGAATTCCTGGAATTGAGCACAGATACCTGGAACTGAATCATGATTTCCCTGAAGTGAGATAGCCATGGTGAGGTCAACTAAGGGTTACCAATTAGATGCAGGTAGGGAATCCCCCCCCCACCCCAATATAACACTTATGTAACTTTTATGCAACCCTTATGTAACTCCGACTTATACCCAATCAGCTAAGTACAAGTAGTGAAAAGCCCCTCAGACTGGCCAAAAGGGTGGTCTCTCCAGGGTGGCTGTTATGTGGAAAGTCCCTGTCATATAATGTTATGGTATAAAAGTCCCTCACTTTTGAGACTTGGGGCCGCTCATTCCAAGAAGTCTGCCACTGTGTTGGTGAGCTGGACAAGCACCCTAGCTCGAGCTAGCCAATAAAGACCCTTTGCTTATTGCATCACAACTTGTCTTCGTGTGATTCCTCTGGGGAAATCTCACCTGGTTTAACACCGTATCCCCAGGTGGGGTTCCAGAGGTGCGTGGACTTCAATGAAAGGTGTAAAAGGTGCTCAAAAACCCAGAAGCAGCCAGGTCTGGGAGGTGGGTCCTGAACCAGAAGTGTCCTAGCCCCCTGGAGATCAGGGTTGGGCCCTGATCTCCTGGGAATCACACCACAGTCAACAAGGGCAGAAGCGACCTCTCTGCTTGGCTAACTCTGCCTCAGGAGCTGCTCTCTCCAGCCACCATTCCCGGTAGCCCTCCCAGCCCTGCACCCAGCATGCCCGGCTCTGGCTCCACCTAGGCTGATGGGGTCACCTGCAGCCTGGCCTGTGCACTTGTCAGTGCCTCGGTCATGCCTTCCGCCCTGCGGCACCAAGAGGTGCTCAGAAGGCATGAAGGACCCAACCCTCACATCTCTATCGGCTGAACTCCCTTCCAATCTCCATGAAACCCAAAAAGCCAAGCATTCCTCCATGGAATCAAGGGCTGCAGCCTGTCCACATGGCAGCTGAGTCCAGGGCACACTACCCCATTTGGCACCCGTGCAAATCTAGGCCAGCAGGAACACCACCACAGTGGCTGTGCAGAGCGTGGCCACATGGTCACGAGCTCCCATTGGGCGGGGCTGGAGGATGGCGAGTATAGACCAGGGAGGAAGGGGATGCGGGTGCCACTCTCACTGCTCTGATCTGCACTCTGTGCACATCAGGAGAACACAGCAGGGCTGTGTCCACAGCTGGTCACTTGATCCCAGCCCTGCGTGCATCAGGGAAACACTCCAGGACAGGGCTGTGTCCACAGCTGGTCACTCTGTGAAGCACTCGCTGGCCCGGGCCCAGCCACGGGGCCAACAGTTGTGCCGGCAGCTCTGCTGTCCAGGTGGCTATTGTGTTTTGTTTCTGTTGTCACTGCAGTCACTCATCACTGTGGTGTGTCCAGAAAGAGAGGCAAAGGCAAGAGGCTGATCCGGGTCCCCCGGTCCTCGCTCATACAGAGCATCACTAGGTTCACAGATACGGGGACCAAATGGATTTCAGGCAAAATGAAATTATGGGCTGTTCCCTCCTGCCCAATGAGGCCGGGTCTGTTTGGCCTTTTCAAAAGGAGGCCCATCTGTTTTCTCTGCTCCTCTCCAAGTGCTCGGTGCTTTTCTGCAATGCCAGGGATCAAACCCAGGGCTTCTTATGTGCCCAGGTGTGTGTTCAACAACTGAGCCATATCCGCAGGCCAGCCCTCTAAATGCTTGTCATGGTGCTAAAGGGTATTGAGGCTGCGTCTGGCAGGAGGAGCTTTAACCAGACACTCGACGCTGCCCCACAAGCCTAAGACGCAAGAGGAGTTGGGCATTTTCAGATGAAACAGTTCCCTCTGGAAGACGTTCTGTCTCCTTTACTGGCCATGAATTTCAGACCCCCTAAGCAGAGGCCTCGGGCTGGCCTACCCAGCCTGCTCACTGCTCACCCCACGGAAAAGCCTGAGCCCCGTCTCTTTCCCCACTGCCAGGTACTCTCCTGCACCAGGCTGCTGTGAGACTGAAGTTTCACCCCTGAAGGCTGAGTCGTGAGCCCGGGGATTCAGCGGCCTCGCTCATACAAGTAAGTGATATATGGCAGCTGGCCACCAACCCAGGGGCACCCCCAAGCCCCACCCTCTAGGCTCTCCTGTTGGAAGTTACACTCTCCCAAGCCAGGAGCTGGCTGGCTAGCTCAGTTTGCTCAGAACTGAGAGAATGCAGAAGGCGGCTTATTAGGAGGAAGCTGACACAGTGAGGGAGGCTGGCCAGCCCCAGACTACACCATCGTCAGCAGAAGACCTGGAGGAGCCCGTGATGTGGGTCTCATCAAGAGTCAGAAGGAGCCAAGGTTTCTGTCAGAGTACAGAGACAGGAAAAATCCAAAATGCCTGCAAGAACGTGGTAAGGTAGGAAGGAAGCGATCCTGTGCAGGGTTCACACTTGCTTTTTCTCTGAGGAGCTGCTTCATGGGACTGACAGTGACTCTCCTCCCTTCACCAGGTTGGATGTGGCCCACCCACCTTTTGGCTTTGGTATTGGCTATAGTTAAAAAACACTGTGTGGATTTTTAAAGAGGGAACTAATCAACCCATCATTCTCTGTTCAGCAAATAAGCCCCTACCACATCAGAATCACAAAGGACTCAGAGTCAAGGTGCAAAAGTACAGTAGGTATTGTAGGCGGGGCATTTTCCTCACATGCAGCCAATCCCCAGCATCCCATACAGTCCCCGGGAGCCTACCAGGAGTGATCCTTGAGCACAGAGCCAGGAACCAGCTCTTAAACACTGCCAAGTGTGGCCCCAAAACAAACAAACAAAAAAAAAGAGGAAGAAGAAAAAACAGACAACAGCGAGCCCTCAGAGAGGAGTTTCCTCTGCAGCAAGCCAGCACCCCCAGCCATGAATGCTGTACACACAGGCCTTGCCGGTCACTCACTGGCCTTCCTGCTCTCTGACCACAGGCCCATCTTTATTTTTCAGGGAAAGAAGGAAAGAGAAAGAAAGAAAAAAAGAAAGAAAGAAAGAAAGAAAGAAAGAGAAAGAGAGAAAGAAAGGAAAGAAGGAAGATAAAGAATGAAAGAAAGAAAGAAAGAAAGAAAGAAAGAAAGAAAAAGAAAGAAAGAAAGAAAGAAAGAAAGAAAAGAAAGAAAGAGAAAGAAACAGAGAGAAAGAAACAGAAAGAAAGATAAATAAAGAATAAAAGAAAGAGAGAAACAGAAAGAAAGAAAGAAAGAAAGAAAAATAAAGAAAGAAAGGAAGGAAGGAAGAAAGGAAGGACAGAAAGAGAAAAAGAAAGGAAGAAAGAGAGAACGATCAACCAACCAAGCCCCCACCCCCACCCCCCCAAAAAACCAGCCCTTTCTCTGTTCACATGGGTGCTGCTACAGTCTTTGAGAGAACCAGAAAATAAAGGTGTAAACGGCAAATCTTGCTTCCCTTGGAAACACCTAGAATCCTGGGCTGGGTCCCAAGAGCTAAGCATGCCCTGGTGTCCAGAGGTGGCCACTGTAGCAGGACCCCACAGGGGAGCTTGGGCATGCAGAGATCTCTGAGCCAGCTACGCTGTGTTGAGCGCCTTCCTATCAAAAAAAAAAAAAAAGGCCTTTTCTCCAACGCCCACCCTCTTCCTCTATCCGTACACAAACAAAGCTATTTTGGGCCAGTACGTGGATGGAGGCAGATTCTCACGGTGGCTCGAAGAAGGAGAATGCAGAGAAGATGGTTCCTCCTTGGACCTGATCTGTGCCTGCCGAAAGCTGGAGGCATCGAGGTGTGCAGAACCACACAGCCCTTGATGTCCGGGACCCCTGCCAGCCTGAGGCACACAGCCTCCCGCTGCCATGCCAGACCTGTCCCCTTCATGGCCACCGGCCTCCCGAGTCCTCACTGATTCAAATACTCTCCCCACTATTCCTCGAGGGACTCGTGTCCAGCCACCCCTGAGCAAAGTCTCTGAACCCCAGTTCGAAATCCTAGCCCTCTGGAGATGCCGTGGAAACCAAACCAGAGAAGCAGAGCACAGGAGGGGATGCTGGGCCGGCCCCTGCCCTCGTGACGCTGATCCCTGTCCTTCCCTTGGGAGGAAACGGGCCTGGGAAGCTGCCTTCCTCATCCCCTGCCTGTCCCCTGCCTGTGGGGTCCCCGTTCTGAGTCCCTGCAGGCCTGGGAAGGCCGAACAAGCGCCCCTGAAGCCTCACCTGGTAGGCGGCTTGTCTCATGAACTGCTTGGCCGGCTGCTTCCAGATGGCGGGCACCGTGATGACCCATCTGACGTCCGAGTTCTCAAACTCTGAGCCCGCCTGGTCGCTCAGCTCCTGAAGCCAAAGGAAACGCAGGAGCAGAGGGTCAGTGGGGACTTCAAGGCACAGGGCCCCCTGCAGCTTGGCCCAGAACCCAGGGTGCCTGGCTGTGAATTTTGCCGGGCATCTGCATCACAACCCTGGGGGGCAAAGGTCAACCTGTAAATAGTCAGCGAGCCTGGGGCTGAAGAGATAGCACAGTGGGTAAGGCGCTTGCCTTGCACACGGCCAACACCATGTTCGATCCCTGACACCCTCTGTGATTCCCCCAGTCCCACCAGGAGTAAGTGATCCCTGAGCACAGAGCCAGGAGTAAACCTTGGGTACCCCCGGGTATGGCCCCCAAACAAAGAAACAAATCAAAAAAGAATGTTCAGCAGGGAGGGTAGCCAGTTCCTCTGGTTCCCTGAGCCTATCTGAAGGCCTATGAGACACCAGCAGCTACTCCCTGCTCACCCGAGCATCTCCAAGGCCTCAGTTTATGAATCTGCACAATGGGGTGTGCAGCTAATACCTAGCTCCCAAGGTTGCTGGAAGGAGTGAGAATTTTCTGAGCGCTTGCTTCCCTGTCAGTCGTGTGAGACCCTCTGCATCTATCCACCATCTCCCATAGCTCATCCCAGAACCCTGCGGCAGAGGGGCTCGTCCTGAGAACACTTTTCTCAGAAGGGAAATTAAAGCCCAGAGATGGCCCATGTCCTTTGAAGAGCTGCGTAACTCAAGAGTGTCAAAGTCAAACCAGGTCCTGCCAGCGTGCCCTGGGCTGCCAAGGCTAAGACCCTCGCTAGACTGTCATGCACAGTCCCAGATGTGGCCCAAGGTCTGGTCCAGGGTCATCCCCAGAAGACATCACTGTTGGCATAGCCCTCCACCCACGCCAGGGGGCCCACGAGGCACGGGGAAATTTCCTGGCAGGAGCAAAAGTTAAAACACACCAGCCGGACCCCTGGGGACAAATGGGACCAGAGGCTACATCAGAGGATTCTCTGTGATCTGCAAAGACAAAAAATAGGGCTGAGAAGACTCTGGGCATCAGGCATCAGAGATCCCAGCTGTAAAATGGGCCAACTCACGCCCGCCTCAGAAGTGTTGGCAGGACTGAGAACACACAGGGAGGCCCAGCTCTGAGCAGCCTCCAAGAACGCTGGAGTCCACACACGCCGGCATGCCCATAGCTAATGGCGAACGCGCAGCCTGACCTCAGCACCCCACACCCACTGCTCCTCCAGGACACGTACACTCATTAACACATGTAAGCACCTGAGCACACATAAGCACACGAAAGCACACGCAAGCACACAGGCTCAGGAGCTGGCAAGTTGCTTATTTTTCCTGACAGTTATATCTATTGTTTCTTTTTTGTTTGTTTGGGGGCCACACCCAGCAGTGCTCTGCTCCACGCAGCAGGAATAGAGCCTACTGACCACCTCCAGTCACTGTGGTCAGCTGTTTACCACCCACTCCATTCCGAGGACCGTCGCACATGGCCATGGACCTGTCTTCTGTGACCATCACTGTCCTTTCTCCTCCGTCTCTCCCCAGGAGTGGCACCGCGGGGTCCGAGGGGGCAGCTCACCACTCCCCCGCTGCCCCATGTACCCTCTCACCAGCAGCATGAGCCGTCCCAGCACCCTCCCCCCACTGGCACCTCCTACCTTTAGCGCCTGCTCCTTGAAGTACTGCAGAGCGTAAGCGAAGATCTCCAGAGCTTTGACCTTCTTGCCATTGGCTGCTGAAAGGTCAGTGTCCATGGTGAGGTCCTGGTGGGGAAGAGCCAATGGTGAGAGCAGGTAGGCGAGAGACATCGATGCGCCTCTCCTGGGAGGGAACTGCTGCTTGGGGTCTGGGGGTCCTGATGTCTGAGAGCAGACCGGGAAGAGCCCCCCAACCAGCCTATAGCATCAGCCCCTCAGCATAAGGCCCCGGCTAGTCGTACAGGCTCCACTTCTGCCTCCTATCTCCTACAATTCTCTCTCTCTCTCTCTCTCTCTCTCTCTCTCTCCTCTCTCTCTCTCCTTCTCTCCTTTCCACCTCATTGCTATGCTATGGACCAAGATTTTTTTTTTTTTTGCTTTTTGGGTCACACCCAGCGATGCACAGGGGTTACTGCTGGTAGTGTTCGGGGGACTATATGGGATGCTGGGAAACAAACCCAGTCGGCTGTGTGCAAGGTAAATGCCCTAACCACTGTGCTCCAGCCCCCACTATGCTATGGAAAGTGGCTCCAACATCCCACCTCTCTTTCTCCCTCCCTCCCTCCCTCCCTCCCTCCCTCCCTGTCTCTTTCTCTCTCTCTTTCTCTCTCTCTCTTTTTCTCTCTCTCACTCTCCCTCTCTCTCCCTACCTCCATCTCTCCCTCACCCCCTGGGAGCAGACAGAGATTTCAGGCAGAGCCTGAGCCCAGGAACAGAGAAGCAGCTGCTGGCACCACTTCAGAAGCCATTTACCTATTTCCACACTCGGACATGCACGGACACCCTCGGGAAACCCCCTAATGAAGGCGGCGGCACACCAGCTTGCTGGACCCATCATGCTAATCAGAAGTGCAGCTGCCCATCCCCCAACAACGAAACAGAAGCACCCCTATCCCAGTCTGAGCCCCCATCCTCTTCTCTGCTGAAAGCTATAGCAGCTGAGAGAGTAGTGGTGGACAGCGGGCATTCAAAACGATAGGAGGCCAGGTCAGGGGGGCTGGTTCCATTCCACACACAATGAATATCAAATTTTTTTTAAGTTTTTTTTTTTTTTTTTGCTTTTTGAGTCACACCCAGCAATGCTCAGGGGTGACTCCTGGCTCTGCACTCTGGAATCACTCCTGGCGGTGCTTGGGGGGACCATATGGGATGCTGGGGATTGAACCAAGGTTGGCTTCATGCAAGGCAAATGCCCTACCTACTCTGCTATTGCTCCGGCCCTAGATTTTTTTTTTCAGTGCTAAGAAAGTCCCTAGAAGGTACAGATGGGCAGAAAGAGAGGGCAAATATCAGGAAGAAGTTGCTCCCAAGTCTTCGGTCTTGGGGCAAGTTCCCGACTGACAAAAAAAGAGGAGTCCCCTCTTTGGCTGATGATCAGGCTTTGCCTCTGGAGTATGAAGGGGCATTAGCTGGTACCAGCTGTGCACAGCCCATCAGTCATTTTGCCGGTGGCATCTCCGTAACCCGGCCAAGGCAACCCTCCTTTGCGCCCACCTGCTCCTGGCTGCTGCTCCGCACTGAGCCCCACTGGGCATAGGGGGAGGAGGCATGGGATGGGGGAGGGGAACAACTGCTTCTTGGATGAGCACAGAGCCTGGGAGGGCGGGGAGCTGGCTGCTGGGGGCTCCCAGAACATCTGTCTGCAATCACTTAATGGGAAGACAAATGGAAGCCATAAAGAGGGAAGCCAGCCATGACCCGGCGCTCAGGAGGGGTGAGCAGGGGCTGCGGCGGGCAAGTCCTCACCCCGAGGAAAGTGCCCTTACTGCCCCTGCTCGCAGAGCCCCAGTGAAACCCGGCTCAGAGAGGCCCAACGTCCCGCCTACTCCTGCAAGGCTGCAAGAGGCAAGGTTTCCAAGCGGGCAGCCAGTCCCTGGAGTCTGTGGCTTCATGCTGTGGCCATCCTTTACCTCTGAGTACTGAGGTGAGGAGACTCACAGGGATCAAGCAGTTGTGTGGAAGAACCTATCCTCCGGCCTTTCTCTGAGGCTGTGGCGAGGGCACCCCGATGACTTGTTGGGACACAGGACTGCTTTGCAAGCTCCTGATTTTAGATGTTTTTGTGCACGCGCATGCTCACACACACACACACACACACACACACACACACACACACACACACACACAGACTTAATGGTCCAGCTACTAACAAATACCTTCAAACATGTTCATTGCAACAAGCCCCAAGTGCCCAGGGTGCCCCCTTTCAGGATCCCCTCATCTCCCATCCCTCACATCAAGCAACCCAAGAAAGCACAGCAAGACCACCCAGCCCCAATGCCACTGGTGACGTCCTACAGTGACCAAGTCCTGAAACACTCTTCGGTGACCACTTGTATATCAGTAAGCACCATGTGCTCTGGTTTCTAAAAACCCAGGCAAGTGGAGTCTGTTTCTGCAGAGGAGAAACCCGTGTCCCCCCATTCCAGCCCCATGGTTGGGAAACCAGAGCACTGCCTGCGACAGGCTCACACATGCGCGCATACACACACATACGCACGCGCACACACACACATGCACATACCCAACACACACCACACACACATATACATACACACACATGCATACATAAAGCACTTACACATATACATACATACATCCATACATACACACACATGCACACACACACATGCACACAAACCCACTGACACACACATACATACACACATATATACATACATACACACACTGATACACACACAATGACACACATATACATACACACACACGCACAGACACACACATACATACATACACACATACACACACATGCACACACTGACACACACAAACATATGCACATATACACACATTCACACACTCACACATACACTGACACACACATACACACACACTTACACATGCACACATGACACACACATATACACACATACATACACTGATGCACACTTACATATAAATACATACACACACTCACACACACACATGCACACATACTCACACACCCACATACATATACACACATACACACACTGACACACACAGATACACATGTATATGCTCACACACATACATACACACGCACACGTATACACACATAAACACACATGCATGCATACACCCACTCACACTCACACACACACATAGATGCACTTACCCCTGTGGTATGCAGCTTCATCTTGAACTTCTCCAAGTACAGCCACTGCTTGGCCTCGGTGGGGTCCAGGTCATGGTAGAAGTCTCTGGCAGCATACCCGAAACTGTGGAACTTCCGGTCGGGGGTCAGCAGGATGGTGGTGGGTGTCTTCTGGTTGGACACGCCGGGGTCGCCCCCTTCCCATCGTCTGCCAACAAGCAAGGCACGGATTATGGACCCTTCTCTGTTAGCCCACGGGACTACAAAGCCCAGCACAATGTATCCTCAGGGTCGTCCTCGGCTTGGGAAGTTGGGGTGATGGTTTAGAAAACCATCTTTCACAAATTTGTCACTTAACTCCAGTGCCCGGACAGCCCAGCACCTGTCCACTGACCTTCCCTGCCCGGTGATTTTTCCCATGCAGATGTGTGGGTGGGAGGGGCTGGGATCTGCTGGGTGCAGGCGGGGGCAGCGTAGACCTAGGCTCACGCCGCTGCTTATTCTCTAGCATGCTGCATCTCTGCCTGCTGCTGACACCCCAACTTTCTCAGCCCAGAGAGGTTCCCTTTGAGCCTGCAGGCCCCGCCTCGGGCCAGTGAGCCAGCACTGGGCAGGGGGCACCTCCCATGGCACAGCCACGCAGGCGCCATCCTGAGTGGCTATCAACCTGTGTCCACCTGCCAACAGCAGATGAGCACCTGGAAATTGTTGGTTTCAAAGGTCTAGCAACTGCCTGAGGTCACGTGAGCAGTGGGGGGCAACTATCACAGGCGCCATTTTCCCTGTCATCCAAGCTGGACGCCGGAGTCCAGCAGCCGGTTGTACACATCCCCTCTGCACTGTGCTCTCACGAGCCACACCTGTACCTGGCCTGGGCTCTGAGGGTGGCCCCGTGGCCCAAGGGATGGACCGGGTATATCTAGGCCAGGACTCGTCCCTGTCCACCCTCGCCTGTCCCCTGACCTGCCCCCAGCCGCCATCTGAGGCTCTCACCGCATCACGTGGATGCACTCAGGCTCCTTGGTGAAGCTGTAGGCGTAGCCGCTGGACGTGGTCCCAAAGTCGATGGCCACCACCACCAGGAATGATGGCTGCTCTGACACACTGGGGTCGGCATCGTTCTGCAGAGACACGAGTGACCGCCAGGCTCAGGACACCCCGCCAGTTGGGCCCGGGGACCTCCCAGGTAGCCATGCCATGTGCTTTATTGCACCAGAAGGACAGCTCAGCTCAGGAATGAGATGAGTCCAAGCCAGCACACCTGAGCTCTGGAGACCTGTGCCTCGGGGCCAGGCCATTCAAGTCTCTGAGCTTCTCAACATGCTGCTCTCATGGACCACCAGTGGTACACACTTGGCTGTGGCTTATGTAACACAGGTTGCTGCACCGGCGACAATGTGTCAGCAGTGCAGACATTCTCTTATCATAGAACTCTGAGTGGCAGAGTGGCTGTGAGATGTAGGATCCGGTGTGTACTGTTTGGGGCCGGGAGTGAGACCTCCTTCTCTCCGGCTTCATCTCACACTGCCCCCCACATCCTCACCCTGAAAGGTAGCCCAGAACCCACAGGTGCGGCTGAAAGCCACAGGAACTGGTCTCAGGGGCAGCACCTCTTGAGTTCTCAGGAGTGAGGGAGGAGGCATGTTCAGGGCCAAATGGGACAGGGGGGTGGGTGGTCCCTACCTTTAGTAGCTCCCAAGTTATCCTCTTCCAAAACAACTGTGCCTGCCCCCCCCCCCCATGAATGTGAGGCCTTGCTGGGCCATGAGGGGCAACCCAAAAAGCCAGGGTAATCCGTGTGCATAGGTACACACATGTACACACATATACCTACACACATGTGCACAAAGGCACACCTGTATACACACGTGCATCCTTGCACCTAGAAAGCCAAGGCAATCAGTACACACATGTACACAAGACATGTATACAGACACATGTACATGCTCATATGTGAACACATGCATACCTATCTACACATGCAAATGTGCATCGGCTCACATGTAGACACTCATGCACACATATGAACATATCCATACACGTGTGCATGTGTACATGAGTGCACATATGCATGCATGACACACACACATGCACACGTCTTACCGCAATATGGGAAGGCGACAGAGGTGTGATTCCTGTGTCCCCGAGGCTCCGGGCTGGAGATGAATATGCAGATGTGGGGGCCGTTTCTGGAAGAAAAGACAAAGTACGTTGCTTAGAAATGAAAAGGAAGAATCCAGGCAGAAACTTGCATGTGTGTCAGGGAGGGGGCGCTGGGCCCTAGCATGGGGGCAATGCAGAGCTGAGCCAGCAGAGGCAAGTGAGTGTCTATACCCGAAGCCCACCCTGCCCAGGGCCTTTCTTCCTGGCACCCCTGCCAGGCCTCTGACCAGGCACCTCCGGCCCCTCACAGCCAGGAGGCTGGCCCTCCCCCAATGCTGCTACTCCCTCTCAAGCTGTCTGTCCCTCTGTCCCTCTGTCCCGTGTGGCCTGAGCAGCCCGCAGCTGCCCAAAACCATGTGCAAATATCTACATGCAAACTTTTCTGCGGAAAGAGCATCCACAGCCCTCCAAAGGCTGTGGGACTCCCTCAAAAGTTAACCACCCCCACGGCGGGGTCGGACGCAGGAGTGAAAGATCCAGCAGGAGTTCCCTTGCTCTGGAGCTCCATCTGCTTTTCTCACACGGGGATACGGAAAGGGTGTGGCTACACAGTAGGAAAGCCCCAGCAAAATGACTCTCCTCCCGGGCCCACAACACAGCAGAGGTTAAGCCATAGAAGAGCCAATGGCAAAAAGCACCAAGACTGTTCAGTCCATCACCCTGAACAATATTTGTGTGTCCCAACCCCAAACCAGAAAAGGGTACCCGAGGAGAAGACACACTGTCAACGGTCAGTGCCAGGAGGCCCCAGTACTTTCTCTGCCCACTGCCCAGGAATGGCAAAGGTGGAGCTGCCAGCTGTCCCTGCAGGAGACAGCCCAGGGTCTTATGCAAGTCAGGTGCCCTCAGGGGGGCTGCAAATCCTGCACTACTGAGTGCATGGCCCTGTCGAGACAAATGGGCCATTGCCAAAGTGACAGTCAAGGGTGGGAGTTGTCTAGAGAGGCCCATCTGCTCCCCAGGAAGGTACCGGCAGTGGCTCCGCTTGCCCCTGCTGCCTAAAGACTAACCCTGCACTCACACAGGCCTCTCTTCCTGCTGGTGAGACCCCAACAGCATCGCGAGAGTGGGAGCCCCGAACGCTGAGTCAGTGTAGGGAAGGAGAGGGGGATAGAAGGCGGGTGTGAATGCGAAGCCTCAAATCTGCAGTATCCTCTTCTCGGGAAGATCTAACATCGGTGGTCTCCCCCACCCCCCACTACCCTTTGACCCCCACACAGCTCAATTCCAACCTCTGACCAATAGGTTCTGGGGCCAGTGAGTACAGACAGGGACAAACATACAACAGCAATAACAAAAACAACCAACAACTGTCCAGCAAACAAATTCAACATTGTTAGGGGCTACCTTGCATATGGTTGACTCTGGTTCAATCCCTCATGGGCTCCTCCTGAGCACAGAGCCAGGAATAGTCCCTGACCACTGACCCCTCCCCCCACTCCAAAACAAATTCAACATCTTTTCCATGTAAATGGCCAATGCACCCCAGAAAGGTCCGTAAAGGGGCTGGGGCAATAGCAGAGTAGGTAGGGCATTTGCCTTGCATGCAGCTGACCCGGGTTTGATTCCCAGCATCCCATATGGTCCCCCAAGCACTGCCAAAAGTAATTCCTGAGTACAGAGTCAGGAATAACCCCTTTGTATTGCCGGATGTGACCCAAAAATAAAAAAAATAAATAAATTAAATAAAAAGGCCCATCACTGTCACTGTCACTATCCTCCCGTCACTATCCCCCTGTTGTTCATCGATTTGATCGAGCGGGCCCAGTAACATCTCCATTGTGACAATTGTTACTGTGTTTGGCATATAGAATACATCACAGGTAGCTTGCCAGGCTTTGCCGTGTGGGCAAGATACTCTCGGTAGCCTGCCGGGCTCTCTAATAGGGGCGGAGGAATAAAACTCGGGTCAGCCATGTTGGCTGCATACAAGGCAAATGCCCTACCCGCTGTGCTATTGCTCCAGCCCAAAAAGGCCCATAAAAAGACAAATATTGTTCGTCATTCTGGACATGCAATCCAAAGTCACAAGGAGATGGAACTTCTCTCCTACTAGGATGACTAGAATTGAAAACAAAGGGAAAGAACAAATGTTTAAAAGAGGTGGAGAAATTAACATCCATGTATACTATAGCTGGCAGAAATGTCAAACTGTACAGTCATTAGGAAAAAAGTTTCTGGTTCCTCCAAGTCAAAGATAGGTGATCTTATAAGACCTCCAAGCCCACTCCTTAGTCTCTACCCCAGAGAATGAGGAATGGGAATCCACACTCAGATTGGTGTGTGGATGTTCACTGCAATCATATTCATAACCACTAAGAAGTGGGACCAACCCCAGTGTCTCATGACCTCTGGATGGATAATAGTGATCTAGGCTCACAGTGGAAGCTTATTCTGCTTCAAAAGGGCAACAAAAATCTACTTCCCCTGCAACACCCAAAATAGGCTAATCCACAGAGACAAAAAGTAGATCTGAGGTTACCAGGGCTGGGGAGAGTGAGAAACAGGCAGTTCTTGCTTCATGGGCTGTTTCTTTTTAGTATAACAAACACAGAGGTGATAGGCCCACAATACTGTAAATGTACGTAACGCCACTTAATCCACTCGCCATGATTCAAGTATTAAACGCTGTGATGTTCACTCACTTCCCAACAATAAAAAGAAAAATTTTAACCAACTCTTCATCTGCAATGAGATGCAGTTTCTGATTCCTATTAGCAGGCTCTGCTCGGTGCTCTGGAAATGAGAAAGGAGAAGTCTTGCCTTTGGCCACCTGCTAACCCCCATTTCCGAGTACAAAGATTCCCCCTGTCCATTAAATCAGGGGGGAACTTGGCCTCTCCCACCCACAGGCCCAGCCAGATGGTGCTTCTACCAGTTGGCAAGAGGTGTACCTGCCCCCAGCCCCTTGGGATGGAGCAGAAAATGATACCTTCTTTCCGCCTGCAACCTGGAAGGCCCGTGCTTATGTGTCCAGCCACACAGAAGGCCTTGGAAGAAGCCAAACATCTAATTGCCCAGAAAATCTGGTGTTGGCAATTAACAAACAAGCTATTATCCTCAGCCAAACCCTCCACCCCGCTGTCTTCAGGCTTCTAATTAGCCCGTCACTTGGCCTGCTCAAGGCATGTCCTGGGCCGTCCCCCAGACTTGCAAAATCAACATTGTTGAGCCACACAGTGAGTCCATGCCTTAGGCCCCCAGGGCTCCAGGGACCTCCAGGGCAAAAGCCAAGAATCTGGGGGTGTTCTCCCTACACTCCCCTTCCCCGTTGATACTGAACAAATCATTTGCTTTGCTTCTTGCTCAGCCAGGCCCATTGGCAGTAAACTTCACCGACTTTCACCATCAGAAATGTAAACGCGACTCCCCTAGGCCATGAGCTTCCACTGACGGGCACAGGAGGGATGAAGGAATCAGGATTTCAGAAATCTGCATGTCTCACTCACTCACCACTCTAGCTCTGTATAGGCCCGATCCAAGCTCATTCGCTAGGTGACCGGGCCCAGCAAGCAGGGCAGTGCACAAAGCCTGTATGTAGCGACAGCTCTATTCTCTAGCTAATCTTTTAACAATTCGACATGTAGAAACTTCAGTGCTTAAAATCTCAGTGGGAAGGAGACCAGGAGTTAGCTCAAAGGGCTGGAGTACATGCTTTCTTTGGGTGTTGGAGACCCAGGTTCAAACCCAATCACCGTATGGTTCCCCCTATCACCCGAACAGAAGTAGCCCCTGAGTTCAGGGCTGTGGCCCCCAAACAAGCAAATAAATTCAGGGGATGGAGGAAAATATGGAAAAACCTGCTTTGTGGCGAGGGGTTGCGGAAAGGTTAATTCTGATGAGCAAAGAGTTTCCGACCACACTTGGGGCTCTCATTCAATGGGTAAGTGATCAGGCCCCTTTGCAAAGGATCAGCAGAATCTAACGTATTGATCCATGCGTATCTGCCATCTGCTATACAAGGAGCATGCCGGATGTCATGGCTCCCTGTCCCACATAAGCCATTAGCCACAGTACGAGAGACTGACATTACCTGCAGCCAAGTTTCTGCTTCCAGACCAAGGCAGCACCCCCTCGGCCCCAAGAACAGCTTCCAGCTCAGCACACATGGGCAAGGGGAGAGAAAGACAGAACTGACAGCTGGAGAGGAATAGAGATTTCAACCAGAGATTTCAGAGGGCAGGTTTGGGGGAGAGAGAGAAAGGGTGCTGATGAAAAGATAAACGAGACCCATCTGCAGAGGGAAGGAGGCAAGACTGGAAAAGAGACCAAAGGAAAACGTTTTGCCAGGAAGTGTGTTCAGGAGGGCCAAGCCCAGGGGTCTCAGGGTTGAACTCGCCCCAGCTCCTGTTGCATTGAATCCAGATCTCAAAGAATCTCCCACTCAGATAGACACAGAAAGATTGCATTCATCTGGGGAACATAAAGCAACAAAATGGGAGACTAACACCCAGGAATGGCTGAGATTAGTACCAGGAATTTTGCTCCATGACTTGGAGGCCAGCCACACGTGCTAGGGGAAAAGGAAGCTCAGATACAGAAGAGAGCACCAAATAAAGGGTGTTGTGAGGATCCTCCCAGGGTGGGAGAAGCATGCTGAAAGTAGACTATAGACCAAACATGATTGCCACTTAATGCCTCTCTTGCAAAACACAGTACCCAAAAGAAGAGAGAGAGAACAAGGGGGAACGCCCTGCCACAGAGGCAGGGTGGGGGCTTGGGAGGGATGCTGGGACCTGTGGTGGTGGAGGATGGGCACTGGTGGAGGCATGGGTACTTGATCACTGTATAACTGAAACCCAAGCACAAAAATTTATAACTGTACCTCATGGTGTTTCACTAATTAAAAAAAATTTAAAAAAAAATAAAGAATCTCCCACTCAGAGTCCCCGGTCACCTTGAAACGCAGGCTCAGAGGGATTTGATGACTGTGCCTCAGAAGATCAGTCAAACAGACCATTGCAAGAATGCCAACTAGCAGCCACCAAAGTGTGGTAAGACTGCTGAGAGCAGCTTTCTAGGAGAC